ATTTGAGGCAATGCTTTCACCATACATAAAGTAATGTTTTCCTCATAACATAGTCAAATGTAATGCCCCGGTAATATTGTAATATAAGGCAATGCTGTGGTCATATGGTAATACAAGGCAATAATACCTCTGCCCATACTATTGTACGAAGCAAAGCCCCTGGTTATACTGAAGGGGTAAAACAATGCTTGGTCCATACTGTAATATAAGAAAATGCTCTAGCTGTACTCCAGTATTGTAGATAGCCATACTGTAATATAAAGCAGTACAATGGCCCATACTGTAATATAAAGCAGTACAATGGCTATACTGTAATATAAAGCAGTACAATGGCCCATACTGTAATATAAAGCAGTACAATGGCCATACTGTAATATAAAGCAGTACAATGGCCATACTGTAATATAAAGCAGTACAATGGCTATACTGTAATATAAAGCAGTACAATGCCATACTGTAATATAAAGCAGTACAATGGCCATACTGTAATATAAAGCAGTACAATGGCCATACTGTAATATAAAGCAGTACAATGGCCATACTGTAATATAAAGCAGTACAATGGCCATACTGTAATATAAAGCAGTACAATGGCCCTGTAATATAAAGCAGTACAATGGCCATACTGTAATATAAAGCAGTACAATGGCCATACTGTAATATAAGAAAATGCTCTAGCTGTACTTCAGTATTGTAGATAGCCATACTGTAATATAAAGCAGTACAATGGCCATACTGTAATATAAAGCAGTACAATGGCCATACTGTAATATAAAGCAGTACAATGGCCATACTGTAATATAAAGCAATACAATGGCATACTGTAATATAAAGCAGTACAATGGCCATACTGTAATATAAAGCAGTACAATGGCCATACTGTAATATAAAGCAGTACAATGGCCATACTGTAATATAAAGCAGTACAATGGCCATACTGTAATATAAAGCAATACTATTGCCATACTATAAAGTAAAGCAATATAATGGTCATATTGTAATGTAAAGCAATACTATGGTCATACTGTAAAATAAAGCAATACAATGACCATACTGTAGTGTATAAATGTATAACAGTACAATTACTATACTGTAATATACATCAACATCAAGTCCATATGTCACTCAAAAGAGAAAACTAGCTAGTTCAGACAATCATCTATGCTGAAACACCACTAAAGTCAACGGAAATCAATAAACACTTCAGTAGTTCGTCATAAATTCGCTTACAAATCCCATGAGATACCCCATTTTCCAATTAGGCATTGATATTGTACACAATACTTACCCATAAATATAGCCTTGCACCAGAAAATATAAACATTGTTAAGTTGTGATTACAAACCCAGACGCTTACAAAGCTGCAACTTGAACTGGAGAGGAGACATGTTCATGGGGTGAGAGATCCAATGGTTTATAATGTAAGTAATAAAATGTATGAGAGAGAGAGAGAGGAAGACTTGGCAGTGCTGATGTCAAGCATCCAATACAGTAAAATGTGTGTAATTACCCAAGTGTAGGTAATTGCACACATTTTACTGTATTGGATGCTTGACATCAGCTCTGCAAAGCCTTCCTCTCTCTCTCATACATTTTATTCCTTACATGATAAACCATTGGACCTCTCACCCCATGTGTGTGTGTGGGTGTGGGTGGGTGTTTAGAACACGGCTCAATGGGATGATTACAATGTTATCACGGCACTGACTACCAAGTTTGTATTTAGATACTTAAGTAATTTGCTTTCTTGGCCAAACTGGGAGAACAGAAGCCTGAGATTTCAGCCTATTCAAAGTCATGTACAGAAAAGAATACTGTATATGCAGCAAACTGGCTGACCAGCTGCAAAGGATGGCATAGCTTACAGAATGCATTTAAAGTCTGCCTGCATGAGTGGCTAGTCTGGCAAAAATCTTCATTTTTCATTGGGAAAGGGAAAGAAGGTAGGAGGAGGTGCGAAGTAGATGTTAAATTCAAGGTGTAAATAGAGAAATTACAAAAGAGACAAAGTTTCTTAAAAGGAATTTTACGAAACAAGTAATGTGCAGCACAAAGACGACTGCATGTTAAGAAGACTTTTATCTCCCACATCCAGTTATTTAATAAATTTATTACATTTATCACCCCTTAAAGGGCTCAGCTAAATAAAAGTCCAACATCATGATGTACATTTGGTGATTTGAGCACAGGAGCTAATTGCAGTTAACGAATTGGAACTGTCTAAGGAATAAATAATCAATTTATAGTTAACAGCAACTCTATAGGTCACTGGACATTTACATTTAAGAGGTCTCTGTGACTTCATAACCCCTCATCACAAAGACAGACATTCCGAATTACCTCTTTCTACTTGTTCAAATCCCCGGTGTCTCTTACCCAATAAGGGAGGGTTAACAAGTGGAATGCACTGAAATTAGAAGTTATGGAAGCCACTGCCATCTACAACTTTAAAGCCAGATTCAATAGAACCAGCGTTGAATGTAATAACACCATTTTCTGGGTGAGCCCCGGAGGCTCCCTTAAGCTATCTGAACTGATATGTGCTATATTAAGTTTGAGGTAATCAATCACAGGAGTTCTTATGTCTGCCGGGAAACACGAGCCAGAATCTGGTCCTCTCAGAGAGGTGCAGAGAACAATGCTCTGGTGAGCACTTTACATCTAAAGTATGTCATAATTGCATCGACCGGGGAAGGACCCAGAAAGGTAGGCGAATCAAAACAGACCACTGTTTGGTTAACCTGTGCAATCTATATCCCAAAAGATCAAAATAACTCTCCTAGATAGAAACCAAGCAAGCAACCATTCATGCGACTAGCACTTTCGCTTGTTAGTGCTACCTCTCCCCCCACTCCCCAAAAGCGGGGGAGGGGGAAACCAACAGCCAATCACTCCAGTTCTTGAACAATAAAAAACTGCCAACCAGAGGGAGGGAGGGAGGGTATCAGGGACCCTCCGGGGCTCACCCAGAAAATGGCATTTCATTACATTCAACGTTGGTTTTTTGTGGGGAGCCCCGTTGGCTCCCTAAAGCTAACTACCCAAAGATAAATAAAAGGAGGGACTTACCCGGGAGGTGGCAGCACTGTAGGTCTCAAGACGAAGAACAGACAGACAGCCGCCCCAAAGCCACCCACGGTCGGGAAGGAACCAAAACGTTCACTAGATATCTGATGCCCAGGACCCTGTTCGACCTCCAAAATCCCCACGCCCAAATGTTAACCCAAGACATGTTGCCAAAAACCTCAGCGAGAGCAGCATACTCCTGAACGTCATGGGCATGAGGGTAGACCACAGGCTGACTGGACTTGAAAACATTGTGGACAACCTGAGACACACGAGCCCTGTAACAGGAAACCGAATTCACCCAAAGAGCGTTGACTGTTCTTTGGAGACAAAGCCTAGATACTGCCGTTATCCCTGACATACTAAAAATAGCAGATAGCACCACTTCATAAAGGAGGAAATAAGGCAGAGGCAAAAAATTACCGACCGATAGCACTAATATCACACATCATAAAAAATCTTTGAAAGAGTGCTAAGAAGGAAGATCACAAAATACCTGGAATCACAGCATCTCCATAACCCTTGACAACATGGTTTCAGAACAGGGCACTCTTGCCTATCACAGTTGCTGGACCACTATGACATGACATTAGATGCCATGAAAGACAAACAAAATGCTGATGTAATTTACACAGATTTCACAAAAGCCTTCAACAAATGTGACGACGGTGTTACTGCACACAAAATGTGTTTAAAAGGAATTACCAGAAAAATGGGCAGATGGATCTACAATTTCCTGACTAACAGAACTCAATGTGTAAGTCAACAAAATAAAATTCGGTCCATCAACTGTAAGAGCTCAGTTCTTCTGGGTATTGTGCTTGCTCCAGTAATTTTTCTCATTCTCATATCGGACATAGACAAAGACACAATCTATAGTACTTTATCATCCTTTTCAGTGACACTAGGATTTTTATGACAGTAGACAACATAGAGGACACAGCAAACCTCCAGACAAATGTAAATCAGGTCTTTTCATGGGCTACAGAAAATAATATGGTGTTTAACAATGATAAGTTCCAGCTCATTCACTATGGAAAAAATGAAAATATAAAAACGAAAACCACTTACAAAATGCAGTCAAATCATAACACAGAAGGAAAGGCACTGTAAAAGATTTGAGTTTACTCATGTTGGAAGACCTTACCTGTAAAGAAAACAATAAAGTAGCCATCACATCTGCAAGAAAAATGACAGGTTGGATAACATGAACCTTTCACATTAGAGATGCTATACCGATGATGATACTTTTCAAGACACTAGTGCTCTCCAGAGTGAAATACTGTTGCACAATGACAGTCCCATTCAAAGCAGGAGAAATTGCTGACCTGGAGAGCGTGCAGAGACCCTTTACTGCTAGAATCCACTCAGTAAATTATCTTAACTATTGGGACTGACTAAAATGCCTAAATCTGTATTTCTCTTGAGTGCAGGCGAGAGATACATAATAATTTACACGTAGAAAATTGTCAAAGTACTGGTCCCAAACCTGCAAACAGAAATAACACCTCATGAGATTAGAAGGCATGGCTGGATGTGCAGAATACCCCGTTGAAAAGCAGAGGTGCAACAGGTACTCTGAGAGAGAACTCTATCAACATCAGAGGCCCAAGACTGTTCAACACACTTCCATTACACATAAGGGGCATAACTGGCTGACCCCTCACAATGTTCAAGAGAGAGAATTTGACAATCACCTCCAAAAAACACCTGATCAACCAGGCTGTGACTCATACGTCAGGCTGCGAACAGCCGCGTCCAACAGCCTGGTTGACTAGTTCAGCAACGAGGAGGCCTGGGCGGTGACCGGGCCACGGGGACGCTGTGCCCCGAAATCATCTCATGGTAACCTCAGGGTAAGGTAACCATCACAAAACCAGTGGCCCGCAGGTAATGGTGTAAAGCTGCCACCGGACACAACATATGATGCACCCACAGCCTAACCAACCAAGCATTCACAACCAATGGACCCCTCTGGAAGTCCACCGTCTCATCGGCGGGCTTCTAACCCTTCCCCCCACAGGGGTAACCCTAACAAGCGGAACTGCTAGTCATATGAATGGTTACTTGTGTGGTTTCTTTCTAGGGAAGTTATTATGATCTTTTGGGATGTAGATTGTACAGGTTAACCAGAAGGTGGTCTGTTTTGATTCACCTACCTTTCTAGATCCTACTCCAGTTGATGGCAATTATGACATATTTTAAACGTAAAGTGCTCATAGGCCATTACTCCATGCGCCTCTCTGAGGGGACCAGGTTCTGGCTCGTGGTCCCTAGTAGGCATAAAAACTCCTGTGACTGATGACCCCAAACTACAATAGCACATATCAGTTTGGATAGCTTCAGGGAGCCGACGGGGCTCCCCACAGAAAGAATTTGAATGTGAAAATAGCTCAATTATAATGCAACTGGCAGAAGGACTCCGAGAACATAAATTTCATTTGTTTTAAAAAAAGATGGTTTGTAAGGATTAGTGTGCTTGAACAGCACAAGAGATATTCACTCCCTTTGTTCATTGTTATGAAAGACTTTTATCCAACTTCTATATCATAAAACATTAATATAAACTAAAACAAATAAATATCATGAATATTTTCAGGTTAAATAATTCAGGGGAATTTCTCCTAATATACATAATCTACATAAATTAGGTGATAAAATGTTTTCCATAGGAAAAATATAAGGTCAACAACACTATATAATACTCTACTGTCTCACTATTAACTACTCTTTCAGCAAACAAATAAGAGTTAGCTTAAAGATAATTACTAGAGCATATATATATTTCAGTTGTAAAAATACAATAAAGTTTTAAACTTCAAATAACAAAAAGAAATAACAGTTTTCACCTTGATAGTAATCATTCTGCATACATGACATATGGATAAGTGCTACCATCTTGGGTACATAAAAATAATTTGACTAGAGATACCATTGTTCAGAAAGTTAGAATTGTTGCCATGTTCTCGGTAGATTGTATACCATCGGAGGTTATAGGTATGCTAATTATATGCTCTGTTGCTGAAATCTGCTGTGATGTCTGTGAAGTCTGCTGTGACTGTTGTGGCTGGGGTCTGGGGGCCAGGAGAGGGCCATGACTTCGAACACCTGTCATGGATTGACCTGGCATCCCCGTACGTGGGTCTCTCGATGTCAATAGTTGGCCATTATGCAGGTGGTCAAATTCAAACTTTATTCGTAGCTCACCTATAAGAGACTGTGGAAGAATATCAGGAATCCATTCAATGATAAAGGGTGTTGGTTCCTTTTGACCTGGTGAAGTTGTACCGATACGAAGTCTTGTTTTGTATTCCTGCGGCCGTAGCAGTGGTTGCGTTGGGCTGCCCTTGGCATAAATAGAATCCTCATCACGATGATGAAACAGCTTGTATGTGCCATCACGATTCTGAATGAAACTACGCGTTATTTCCAAGGGCATATCATAACTATCAAAAATCTGGCGCACATGGAGATCACTTACAATTTTCCATGTATATTTTGTAAATTTACCTAAAGGAACAGCATCTTTTCTTATGAACTGCTGTGTTTGATTGGGCAATCTTTTCTTTTTTGATCTTGCATTTATTCTCTCCATAAGGCAGTCAAAAAATAGCTTTGGCATGTGAAATACTAAAGGTTCCGGTTTGCCACTGAAACCGAAATGCATTGTTTGGTTTATCCTTTCTGTGACACTTCCTAACCATGTCAGAAAACTAAAGGAGGCTGTGTTCTCATCCACCGGTTCCTTAGCCTTCCTAGCACATGCTCCTGTCAGTGGTCTTCGAGGTGAAGATACCTATTGCAAAATAAGATTTTAAGCTAGAGAAAATAAATATTATTTTACGGAAAAAAAAAAAGATTTCTAATAATTTAACTAAATGTTAAATTCGAACCCTTCTCTCCACTATCAATTCTTCACAATTATACAAATTCACAACTTAGAACACTCACTCAACAAAATAAGACTGTATACCAGCTTGATTCATACCTTTGCCATACGCTTTTCCTAAGTCCACAAGTACCATGTACACCCTACAAGCTCACCTTCATGCCTTTACAGATACAGTATTCCAATAGATAGCTGATCTACACACACACACTTCAACCAACATTCTCAATTATTGATCAGTTCCCCAGTAATTTCCTGTACTCTTCTGATCACTATCCTGTCATATATTTTGCTCACTACTCCTACACTAAAGCTTAAATTATAGACTTTCTTGCCCTACTCTTTTCCAATCTTCTAGCACATTACCACTATTACATGGGTGCCAGAAAATTCTCCATAACCACCCCATTCCTTTTCTTCAAGACATATACCTGTACCTCATTAACACCGGCTACTTTCTCACATCTTAGCTTTTTGTTTATTTTGCTCATCTATTCCATAGATATATCAGCTGTCATATGTTCTTGCACTGTTCTCACTCCATGTAAACATCTAGTCATGTTTACTGTTTTCTAAATAATTTTCTTTCAATTAGCTTCCTTTTGCCCCTAGTAGCTCTGTTTTTTCGACTTCAACTAATCTTTTACACACCTTTTCCTCTCCTCAAATTCTGGGTTTCTTACCTTCTTGGGTTTCTTACCTTCTTGGGTTTCTTACCCCCTTTGTGATCAAGAAAGGCATAAGATGCCACTCATTTTCTTAGCTGCTTTTGCAAACTCATTATCTAAGAAACCACTTCCCTCTCATTTTTCTATCAGTTTGCACAACTCCACTTGTCGTTTTTAATCAAACATGTCTTGAATACATTGCACATGACACAGAGGTTCACTTATTCATAGTATCTTCCTCCAAGTTCACTATAATTGTTTTTATAGTCCCCAACCATCCAAGTGGTTAGGCACTTTCCCCTTCCTTCCTCCCTATTCTAACCCTAATCCTTATCCTGACCCCTTCCAAGTGCTATGTAGTCTAATGGCTTGGTGCTAACCCCTGACAGTTCCCTTCATCTACCACTTCTTTCACTCAACTTCTAAACTTTCATTGTTTTATCACCAGAATCCTTATGAGGTGCAACTATCCTTTTACCACTTAATCTTACCACACAGCACCAATATGTGGTCAAACTATCTACCAGAAGGAATACAGACTTACATAAACATGTTTGCTGATGATGCTAAGCTGGAGAAGGGAAGATGAGAAACAGACGATTGTCATGCCCTTCTAGAAGACTTGGCTAAAATAAGTGCATTAAGCAACACTTTGTTCATTCACACCTGTCACTATATAGTGTACATGCGTTAACAATCACCAACTTAAACTGCATTAAGAGTAGTTATTAATTGTGCCATACCACTCTTTATTCATAAACAGGCATACTCCTCCCTTTCTTTTCTCTGTATCACTCCTACTATACAACAGTTTCCTCAACCGTTTTACTCCACTCTTTCCTGATCATTTTCCATTATTTTACTCTCTCGTTAACTTAGCCAATCAGGTTCGTTCACTTCCAGTTTCTGTTCTTGACCTATTCCTCTTACATTCCACACAACAATATAAACCTATCTTTCTTTTAAGGGACTAGGGATGGTGCAGGTCTTTGATTCACAACTATTTTGATCTTTAGTATTAATAATTTTGGGGGGATAATGGATCACCAGTCCAATCCCACCTCATACATAATGTAGAGGCTGCAAGGCTGCTTACACCATGTCTCTACACCACCCATATATCACAGGAAATGCAAGGTTGATTACACCACTGTGGTGGACAGTGAGGTGGTCACATCCTCATACACCTTCCTAATAAGATGTAAATACACACTTTAAAACATACTGTTTACTAACCTTTTTAGTGCCGCCCTCCTGAAGGGTCAGTAGAGCAGAGCTGGCCTGGACAACTGAATCATCTTGTCTTCTCTTCAGGCCTGTTACTGGCAGGTTGTCAGGAATTTGGTGGACGGAGATACTGCCACCATCTGAAGTTCGCAGATGAATGCCCTCTGGAGTTGTCAACTGAATTTCCAACTTCCCTTCAATATCTTCCTGTTTGTTATAGCAATTGTTTACTAAAACGAGGAATGGCTTTATAGTAGATAAGAAAAGCACCATTCTGAGCAATGCCACTTGGTTGCACCTAAAGGTTAGATCTACTGTGTCCTATGGACAAGGACCAGTACAGTTAGTTAGGAGACATTCTCAGCATCAGCACTGCAGGGAACTTTTCAATTGGTCGATGCATGGTCATTAAGGTTATGGAGCATAATTATAGCTATGCTCAATCAATCCTGGAATGATCAACAGAGGTACTATTCATAAACTTAAAAGCCATATGAGAGTTCTCTCATCGTGAAATATAATAACCAAACGAGGCATCCTGGTAGACATAGGTTCTATTCTAACAATATTAATATTATTTTTAGGAACATGAACTACTCACAATTATGTTAGATAGGCTAGGTTAGGTTTCATCAAATTTCTATGTTAGTTTTGAATAAAAAAAAATCATGTCATATATAATATAATGAAAACCTTTATCCCAAAAGATTATTATTACTTGTAAAATATGAGACTTATTGAAAATTTGGCATGTTAGGCAGAGTGGTAGACAGTTGGAACAAGTTAAGTGAGAAAGTGGTGGAGGCCAAAACCATCAGTAGTTTCAGTGTTATATGACAAAGAGTATGGGGAAGACGGGACACCATGGGCGTAGCTCTCATCCTGTAACTACACTTAGGTAATTACAATAAGCAATTATCAGCTTTAAGCTTCACCCCTACAGAGAACTTGCTAAATGATCTTGCCACATAGTTTAAGGGTAGGGAAACAGTGGAGAGTAAAGTTCAATACACACAGAAATCACAATACAGTAGTGTGATATAGCAAGTCAGATCTTGACTTTCCCCAGGTTTGAGCTGCCTTGTGAAGATCGTTAGTTGTAGGAAATCAGCTGGGCATTGGACATTTTGACCTTGTGTTCTGTACTTCTATGTTTTACTTTATTTTGAGCCACTTTCAGACATACAGTACTGGCCTGATTTACCGCTGGTTATCTGTCAATGGGGTCCTTTTCTCACTTTGTTGTGGACTTATTTGTTGGGTGTTTAATCATTGCCATGTTGGGGTGTTCCATGGCTTGTTGTCATCTAATTTTTTTTTCATAGGCTTTTTGCTCTGTCAGGCAAATGTTTGGGCTAGCATTTGGTGAGAAGCCGGAGGGCCTCAATAGAGAATAGGAGAGATGCTTGGCTTATATATTAGTAAACAGTTTACCCATTTCCTGCAGCCTAGCCTGGCTTTATTCTCCTGCTTAGGTAAGTCACCTTTATTAATGGTTAACTGTGGGGGTTTTGGCTAGGGGGAACAACAAAAGGAGATTTGATCAGAAATAAAACATTGGCAGAAATTAAATGTCCCTCTGTTAGCAGTCATTTCTGCTGCTCCCACTCTCACCCTTTTGAGCCTAGTTTTTTGGAGTACGCATGGGTGTTTTGGGCCATGAGATTGGCAGGCATTCTTGGCTTACTAATAGGCATTTTGAGTCCTACGGAAGTCAAATCGCTGTTGCTTGAACTGTGTGTTGAGAGGGATTTTGATCTGGGTTAGCCCTAGAATCTCTTGATTGAGAGTGCTGAGGGTGTGAAATTTTGTTGTATAAAGTCACTGAATGATTAGTTTCTATTAGTCCTTTATTTAGATTGCATTCTCATTATCAGACATTCATGTTATGTTCTTTTTAAGACTTTCTCTTAGGTAAATAATTCACTGTAAACATACGTAACCCAACCCAAGTATAAATGTACTAAACATACACTTATGAATAAAAACACTTATTTGTTTGCATTTAGTCACTTAGTGTGACCTGTTACCTAGTGATAAAGCATAAACTGGCTATACAGTACTTCTATTGCCAAGTATTGACAAAAAAGTACTGAAAATTTTGCGCTGTTTTGTTGGTGTCGCTGACAATGGTATCGAGTGGTAGTGAAGCTGAGCTCTGTTCTCCATTTGCGTATACTATATTTCAAGACCATTAGGCAAGTGTCTTGTCACACTCGGATTCCAGGTCGACAAGGGCCTAGTGTGAGAAATGAAGACCCTGGCCTTGGCTCAGGGAACAACCAAGAAGACACCAATCAGATGTATAGTTTGAATTCTCACTTCTTGTATCACATTCAGCATAAGCATTTGCAAGTTACTTTTACCATTTCAAATTTGAATTTTATACAGAAGCCCCTTGAACTGTGAAATAAGAAGCCATTCATCACTACATAACATGTGTCATTCACTAACAGATATAAGTACTTACCATAAACTGTGAAACAAGTCATTAATTGTCACATACCATTAAAGACTTCACCTTCCTTACTCCTCTCAATCCTACTCTTAAATTCCTTCCTACATTCAACTCTTCATTCTCATTTCATTTGAGCTTTGTCTGGCATAACCATATAACGTCGTGCTTTCCTTTCCTTAAAGCTTTCACAACTTCTAGCGACTTTTGTCTCGTCTATTCCCCTAGCACACTCAAGATAGCACTGTTAAAGTGTGCATGATTAAGAGCATGTCCTACCTGAGTAACTAGGTTATCTGATGGGGAGATTGCAATGCCATCCAGTATTGATGTGGAGTCCTCCTGCAACACTTCCACCTCCACTTGACACTGAGAATCTCCAGAGTCGTTTAGAATGAGGAACGACCGCTCTCCCACAGTACTCAGGCCTGTGCTGCTTTCTCCTATGCTAACACTGTTCTCATCTCCAGTGCCATTACTGACTGTCAGACTTGGAGACTGACAAAGGTCACTGAAAAAGAAAATAAAACCCATTGAAGTCAAATTATTTTGTCACAGTTTTACTGTATATAGAATAGATTTGATTTAAAATAACTTTGTCTGGAATTTGCTTGTAAATAAACTGTATACATTACAAAATATTTAAAGTTTCAAAACTCTAATAATTACCAGTATATGGTGAAGTATTAAACTCACCACTAACTGGTAAAGGAATTTTTTTAATTTAACCTCTGTTTATAACCTCCAGAACCCCCAACCCACCCACCCACCCACCCACCCACCCCTATACACACACACACACACACACACACACACACACACACACACACACACACACACACACACACACACACACACACACACACACACACACACACACCTACAAAATTCTCAGGCGAATTGACAGGGTGGACAAAGACAAACTCTTTAGCGCGGGTGGAACACGAACAAGGGGACACAGGTGGAAACTTAGTACCCAGATGAGCCACAGAGACGTTAGAAAGAATTTTTTCAGTGTCAGGGTAGTTAACAAATGGAATGCATTAAGTAGTGTTGTGGTGGAGGCAGACTCCATATACAGTTTCAAATATAGATATGATAGAGCCCAATAGGCTCAGGAATCTGTACACCAGTTGATTGACAGTTGAGAGGTGGGACCAAAGAGCCAGAGCTCAATCCTCGCAAACACAACTAGGTGAGTACGGAATCACCATGGCTGTTGAAAGATTTTACAGAAATGCTCGTTTATTCACCAGCTGGAATCTGCAATAAAACAGTAAGGACTGGAGAATGGCCAAAACGTTTAGAAAAAAAGGCAAACACACTGTAGTCTGGATATTCAAGGGACACAGAGGAAGCACTGAAGACAAATGACACTAAAATTAATTCCTTTGATGGTACTGGTTAAAGTAATCAAGAAGAGGATGGTGGATCACCAAATGTTGACAAACTTTGCAAGAGGGGCATCAGAAGTTTAGAGAGAAAAAATCGTGTCTGAAAAAACATGAGTACTGTATGACAGGGTCACCAAGACACTGCAAGATAAAGAAAGCTGAGTCCACTGCATTTTTCTAGACTCTTGGAAAGCCCTTGGAGAAGCAAGCTGGGATTAGCCGCCAGACAATGAATTGAGCAAGAAAGTACATAATTGACATGAAACAGTCACAATCAAAGAAATTAGGCTGGAGGGATGAAGCAGGCAGGGTTTTCCAACTGTTCATACACTTATGAAGGGGGATATGATCATATCATGCAAGGTACATACTATTGGGAATAGACAATCATGACTCGAGTCTGTGAAATAAACTAGTATGAGGGGGATTGTCAAGCTGATCTATATTGGTAAAGCAATATGAAAAAATGATTTCATGAGATAAACATTTTATAATGCAATCAAATTAAAAACAAAAAGCCTCAATATTAGTGTACTTTGTCTCCTTTAGGATGTGAAAGTCATAAATATGTCCCAAAATATCCGGCACTAAACATAATGCAGGAAAAGAAAAGTAGATTTTCTCTATTAGATGTTAAAGCATTCTAAAAGCTATTAATAACATTCTTTGCATGCTGTCATGCAATAATGCCTCAACATACTTTTGAATCATATTGATATAGTAAGAAAATTCCTGAGAGAGTTGATGATCACTTGCAAAGGCCACCACACAGGCGTAAAGATGAACACATTTACGGAAGGTAACATCTCGAGCAGCAGGCTGAATCTTGAAAGCTCGACAACCACAGTAATACTTGTACTCCATCTCCTCTTTATTGCGAACCTGATGATGAAAATAATTTGTATCAATTTTGCTTTATGTATCTCTAATCAGTTTCACAAAACTATTAGCTTAACAAAGAAATGGAAAGGAAAGAAAAAGGAGAAATCAGGAGAATGCAAGAAACCATTGACTATATATAGCACTTTGAAGAGATCAGGATAAGGATCTAGGATGGAGCATGGTGGAGGATAGGAATGGTACCCAACCACTTGGACAGTTGGGAATTGAATGCCGACCTGCATGAAGCGAGATCGTTACTCTACCATCCAGCCCAAGTGGTTGGGCAACAAAGAAATAGAGTAAATACTGTAAATGTTACCTACTGAACCCCAATACTGTATATAAATTCATAACCACTTTTGATATCTATACACGTAAACAAATATCCCAGTCAGCCTCCGCACCATTTTCAAGCACTAAAACTATGCTCTTACACAAATCATTTTCTAAAAAATTCTTCACATTTACAAGAAAATAAATTAACTTTTCTCCTAGCAAAACCTCTCACTTCCCATTCACCTTGGTCGTCCCTCACTACAATAAAACAACTTTCAGATACATTCACCAATTGATTTATTTACTTACAGCACTCTGCACTGAGTATAATACAGTATGTATATTAAGCATTGTAGTTTGTATATAAGGTTTTGTAGTATGCATATAGGCTTTGTAGAGTGTGTGTGTGTAACTCTTTAAAGTGTATACATATTAAACTTTGCAGTGTGCACACATTCTTGGTGGGCAATATGAAATTCGGAAGAATGGTACATAAGTACATAAATTATATTAGAATATTGTACTGTATTATAAAACTGGTAAATTAAAATAATGTAAAATTATTAATGTAAGGTGAATAGAGGAGATATGAAATTGGGTAACTGATAACAAATGAGAAATTATATAATAAAAGGTAACTATAAACAGGTAAATTTTATTACAAGAGATCCCCATTATACGAACACTCATTATACAAACACTCATCTATCCGAACTGTCTCTTAATTCCCCTTTCATACATCAAATCACTAATCGAACCTACTTCGCTATCAACATTTATCTGAAACCCGCTGAACTGAATATTTGGGTTATCCAGGTAAAATCGGGTTTGAATAATTTCCTGCAAAACTCTGCTGTATTTGAACAGAAATTCAGATAACTGGAGATCAAATTATGACAATTTTTAAGAACTTAACATTTCAAGATCTACAGTATCCCACATGAAGACAAACTACAACAAGGTAAGCTGCAGTTTCTCTTTCCCATTATATTTTTTATTTATAGTGTGTGTATGTGGAAATAATAACTATGGTGGTTGTGGTACAAGAAACTGCAAATATGGTCATTTTTGGACTTTCCCTGTAAGAATTCTGCTTATCCGTCAGGGGTTTCTTCCCATATAATTCGGATAAGCGAGCTTAGACAGTATGACAAGCAGTGCTAAACTGTTCGCTCAGCAGCCATGTGGTGGTGTAGGTTAATACAAAAACATCTGCATGGCCCACTAAGAGAGATAGGCTGTGGTCAATTCCTACACAACACTTTTCACCAGTTCACTTTCTGATTTTTAAATCAATATCATTAGGACAGGATGCATTAGCTTAGATTATGCTGCGTTAGTCTCAGTTGAGTTAGATTAGGTTCGTTTGGATAAGGTTAGGCAGGTTTTAAAATGCTTGCAAACCAGTGTATGTACATACAGTGTGTATGTATACAACAGTGCAACAACAACAACCACACTGCCTCGGTCAGCAGTTTTCTTGTGCACAAGACTAGACATTCCGTGCAGTCTTTGGACTTTACTGAAGGAAATTCCATTAACAATAGCCAATAGTAAAAAGAGAAGTGTTGGTATTTAATGAAATATTTGCACATAAGAATATATAAGGCTCTCTTTCCTATACATGTACTTTAGACCCGCCGTGCACTGTAAGGTAGCCCGAGCATTGCCCGAGAGCTCTCCACTCCAATGTTTATTCCCTTTTCAGCTTCCTGACTTCAATTTTTGTGCTACATCATTCAATTTGGTATCAAATTGTTCACAATAGAATGCTATAAAGGGATATTTGCATATAAGAACACATAAGTCTCATTTTTCTATACTTTCTACGAAAACTCAATAAATATTCACTCATACGTGTTTCTTTCAATGCTTTCATCATGGACTGGCTTTGTTCTTGATCAGTATCCATCTGGAAGTCAATTTGCAGTGTTTATAAAGTCTGTAACAACAAATACCCGAGATAAAATAACCAGAATGGGGAAACTTTTTGACTCGTTTGGAGGCCGTGGCTGTCACGAGTGAGGCCACAACAACAGTGAGCCTCCAGACGTGGGTGGGCACCCACACGACGGGGTCAGGATGCCACGTGGGGTATACAGAGAATGGGCAGAAGTTGACGCACATTTTAAAACAAGTCTCATAGTATTTGGATACTAAATGGAATTTCTACACATTTTTAAAGTATTGATGCCTGTTTGCATCATCAGGCATACTCTGTATTTTGGTTTTATGCCACAATATGCGGCAACGGGCAGCAAAAGTGTTAAGATAATACTATATTTTTATGATATATTGGGTGGATTTCAAATAACACAAATAGCCAGCAATTTGTTGTACTGTATACAGTATAACATTAAACAGCTGATTACACTATACAGGCTTGACAACATACTCAACTATGAAAACTAGAAGCTCACAAAGATCTACATTTTCTATGCATCAGTTGGTTAGGTAAGGAGAGTGGCTTGGCTTTGTAAATTGTGGCTAATCGAGAGAATGGGCTGCATACCACCACCACATAGCACTTGCACATGTACCAGCACCACAAACAAGCATCACAAATGCATTCATTATTACCAAAATTGTAACGAGTCATCATTAGAACCCATGGGGCAAACATATCATCATGCTTCATCTTGGGTGGACTTATCATTTACCTGCTGAAAACTGAAGTGTAGGAAGCCTAGAGGGTGTAGAGCCTCTGGTTTACATTTAACTACCATTATATTTTTGGAAACTCTTTGTACTAGAGGACCTGGAGTATCAGTTGCAAGCTGCCAAATATCTGACTTGACGGACTGAGGTATGGGCAGGGAGTTGAGAACAGAATTTTTAAGCGTTAGTGACTGAGCTTCTTTAAAACACTGAGAAGCAGCACGAATGTGGGAACACAGAGCTGGATGTGCATTCTGGAAAAAACAAAAATATTATGTAAGTATATTTTGTATTCTAAACTTGAAAAGATACATCCCTCAATGCTAATTAGTTTGTGACCAGCTAAATAATATAATTTGTGGCCGCTTAATTGTAAGAATCTTAGATCAAATTAATTTTCCATGTTTTTATTCAATGATTCATTGCCAATAGCATTCTTAATACAGAGAAATGTATGCTGCAAAATATTTAATTTTATGAAATAAGATTGTAGTTCATGAAACCAGAAACTGTCAAGAGTAAGCTGTAATTGCATAATAAAGATGTCCTTCAAGTACTAATCATTATTGTAACACAATTATAAAGAAAACAAGTGAATTGTATTGAGGATAGTAGCATTCTGATACAGAAGTTTGTCACATACCCATCAGGATAACCAGCAAAGGGGAAAAATAAGAGCTAGCCATGTATATAGTAACATATAAACAAAATACATTGAGCACCAGCACACGGTGACAACACCATATCGACTGCTATTTCCCCCCCCCCCTTCTGTCAATAGAGAAGGCTGCAAAATCCCAATGAATGTATGTACAGTACAACTACAGTATATATAAATCATATATAATAACTAACACAATTTCCAATAATGAATGGTTGAATAACTTCAGGTCTAACAAGATTTTGAATCCCATTTAGAAAGGAATGGATTAAGGCTCATAAATATAAAGAAAAATAATCTGAAGACATACTATAAAGCATCTAATATCTACATACATTTGATAAAAGCAACCTCTTTACCACTAATTTTTCAAAGTTGCGTTGACATGGCTCTACATAACACCTTGCACCCATTTGCACTAGCAGCACTGGATCTCCAAGAGATTCTGCACCAATGAAAATATCCCCTGACCCATCCATGGACTGAATGAGGGGAAGCTGAACAAACCCACGATAGTCGGGGCCTTTGTCTCGTACACGGGCAGAATAAATCTGAAAAAGATACAAGGACTTAGTGAAGAACAATCACTTTGTATTACTACATTTAGAATATTTGTAGTCTCCTCCCCTACATACAAATCATCAGCTAAAGGCTTTACACGAATCATATGAAACACTACTGAATAATAAGAAAATAAGAAGTGTTTCTGAAACCCAAGTATTTAATACTGTACAATATGTAGACACTGTATCTAATAAAACTTTATATCTAAGGAGAGGATACTTTGAGAATGTTTCTAGTTTTATGTTAAGTATTGTATATAGTAAATGGGTATATTCCAAGTCAGGGGCAGGTAGCCTAGGGCTTGTTAAAGTCCTTATAACCAAGGGCAAGGTTGTGTACATGTGTTACCGAATATAAACAACGAAATTCAAACTGAATTGCTGTAACTCAATTTTATGATATGTTATCGAGATGATTTCTTGAGATGATTTCGGGGCTTTAGTGTCCCTGCGGCCCGGTCCTCCAGTTAATGACAAAAAAATTACAGGTACGGTACCTATCTGTTATCATAAACACAATATTATAAAATGTCAAGATGAAAAACAAATAATCCAACCCACACATGTGAAAATCACTGATATAATAAGCAAATGTAAACAGTCATTACCCTAAACAACTCGTGAAATGTCTAGGGTATACCAGTGATAAAATTGTACAGTACAGTTACTGCAATTTATATAACTTTTTTACTTTTTGACAAGCCTCAACACACTTCCTTTATGAATTAATTAACACCACTAGTAATCATTAAACAAACATTTCAGATGTTGCTGTAGAATCAGCTATGCAATAAAATTGTAAAATAGACAAATAATAACTGAGTCATAAAGAAGTCACACTAAAGTATATATATCAATGAAAAAATCAACTGGAACAGTTCATCAAGCAGTAAAGTGCATGGGGTTATATATTATATGTAAAACTTGGACTGGCTTCAGCAGAAGCCTCTAGACTTCCTGTGGATTCAGTTGAATCCCAGGTTGTGTGCCCATATCGTGGTACAGGGGTAAGGTGTGTGGCTGGCAGTACCCTGATCACTGGTTTGAGTCACCTCAGTATTGATTTTCTAAGGATGTTTTTAATACTGTACAACACTGGGGTGAATGCATGTAAAACATAAATGGTAGTGATGAATACAAATAATGCTTCAGACTTCACAAGAAATAACACATATATCCTCACAATATATAAATGAATGAAACAAAACATCCAACTACCTTAGAGCAACTTGAAGCTACAGTCTACCCCAACTTATGTTAATGTCGCACCTGAGCATCTGCACCGGCTATAATTCGACATGCTTCTGTAGACAACTTCCTCTTTTCTCCAGCTTCCTTAAAAATAACATCACAGGACTTGTTTTTACAAGAGAATCCTCTAGTACCATTCAAGGTACCACACTTGTGACATCTGCGAACACCCCGCATCGTAGCCCTTCCCAAGTCTGTTAGAAAGGTAGCACGTTTTTCATCTCTTGGCATCTGGAAATTTGATAAAGCATTGTTTTAACATCAGCACATTTTTCCAGTTAACCCTCACCTAATTTTACCTATCCACATACAGAAAAACTAACTTATGTTCTCTTTTCTTTAACATAATGTTAAAGATGTTTTTATTTTCACCTTTTTCATCAGTTATATGCATCTATCTCTGGGAACAAAAAATTAGTGTTTGCTGAAAAATAAAATGAGCAAATCAGCCTTTCCTTGAGTGGCAGATAAGAATAGATACAAAAGCAAAATATCAGTACAGTACTGTATAAAAATTTGTGAGAGTTCATTTCTTAATTCTACTCACCCTTTAATAAAACTACTAAGATGAAGAGGATTATGTAAGATATTTATTCAGGTAAAGGTACATACATTGAAAATAAGTTACAAACATAATGTCGGATTAATCTTGAGGTTATCTTGAGATGATTTCGGGGTTTTAGTGTCCCCGCGGCCCGGTCCTCGACCAGGCCTCCACCCCCAGGAAGCAGCCCGTGACAGCTGACTAACTCCCAGGTACCTATTTACTGCTAGGTAACAGGGGCAGTCAGGGTGAAAGAAACTTTGCCCATTTGTTTCTGCCTCGTGCAGGAATCGAACCCGCGCCACAGAATTACGAGTCCTGCGCGCTATCCACCAGGCTACGAGGCCCCTCTCCACCAGGCTACGAGGCCCCTCATAAATATAATATAATAGATAGAGCTAGTACATACAATGCCAGAAGCCACTAATATGCACAGCGTTTTGAGCACGGAGTGTGAAAAAACTTAGACTAAAAATAATACTAATTAAGATCAAAAGCATAAATTGAATTAAAAAAAACTGATAATTACACAATAGATAGAAAGAAGTATCAAATATTATCAAATAACTAGAATTAAAGTACAGTACTGGTATTTATTTTGAAACAAAAAATCCTGAATAAATATTTGTTTATATACATCATATTGTAGAGGTAGAAACTGCAGTGGAGTGGTCAGTGCAATCAACTCTCAACCAAAAAGTCCCAGATTAATTTTTCCCAAGTAGGACAAGACTTTTGGGCACATTTCTTTGCACCTAATACAGGGAGAAACATTCAGATCATCATGCAGATGAAACAATAGGAATTACTTCTTCAGAGCAAAACCTATTAAACAGTATTTCGCTTTAAAATACAACTGGGCAAATTCATCAACGTATGGGACCATCTTTTTCTCCTTCATCTAGGCAATAGGCGATTGGATGATGTTAAAGGTAGCTAGTTCAGATGATGTAACATCATGTAGATAGTTCATGTGTTGATTAAGTTGATACTGTATAAGTATATGGACCTGTCACCCTGGCAGGTCCACCCTGCCACGGCGGACCCTGCCACGGTGGACCCTTCTACAAAGCACAATATTATTTTTACCGTCAGACCTGAGGTACATACAACCAGAGAATAACCTAAAACTAACATATACAACTTTGTAACCTATAAAGTAATGTCAATAATCAAATGTTACCGATAAATCACAGGTCGAGTTAGCCTGGGTACGAGTGTCAAGCGGGGCGGTAATTCCTGAAGTCAGCCAGGAAGTTAGTCTTTGGTTAAGATCTAAGCTCACTCAACTTCAAGAATACTCTCTTGTCCATAACAAGGCCCTCAGTGGAGGCCATTCAGCCTTCTACTTCAGACGTCTAAGTATAGGCTCCTGGCCAAAAATGAAGCGAAAAAGAGCAATAGAGGCCTATTTGAAGGTCAGCCAGCCCTCTCAGACAGTGCACAGCCCCCTATTATCACCACAAATGGCTCTATGAGAACCTGCCTCACCTACCTTGTCACGGTATAAATATTACGGTTGATGACCGATAAGTCTTAGGGGTTCACGAGTAGTTTGTTGACATTCTATAACAATGGCGCCCAAGTAATATGAATCGCGCATCACGATTGGAGTAAATATGGCGAATTGGGATCACGTGATGCATACGTCATCTGGCGCCTCTTTTGAATATCACAAATTATTACTACCCTATAAATAATTAAATATAAATTACTACCCTATATATAATTAAATATGGGATCCGTTGATTGTTTCAAACGTGGGTTGGACATCTAAATGAGTGGGAATGGGGTGGTTATAAATAGGAGCTGCCTCGTATGGGTCAATAGGCCTTCTGCAGTTACCTTTGTTCTTATGTTTTTACCGTTCTATCAGTTTGACCTCGCATATCTGTAAACCCATGGAGAGACTCCTATGGGAGGAAATCATTCCCCACTGAACTGGGGGAATGCTAACCAAACCTAACCTTCATGTAAACTGCACGTAACACGAAGAAGAAACTGAACTGCATAATCTCAACGGGGTCTAACAAGAGCAAGGTCTTTTATTTGTATATATACACAGGAAGGTGCATTGGGTTTATGAGAGTACATAGCATTGATGTTTTACATTCTTGTAAAGCCACTAACATGCATAGAGTTTCGGGCAGGTCCTTAATCCAACAGATAATTTTAAGTAGGTAATTTCTAGTAAAATTGAAATTTTTTTAACAGGTACATTGTAAGAAATTTTGACAAAGATTAGTAGGTATATTAAAATTTGAGGGTTATCAACAGGTTTATTGTAGCATACTCTGAGGATCATTTCTAGGTATAATGTAGTTAAATATGTGTTCAATATAACAACCATGATATAAGGTGATAGCATAGTTGTGAAGTTATATGGCTTAGGGACATATACTGGGGGATTGAGTAGTATACTAGATACAGTGCGAGTTTAAAGCACTAGGTAGGAAAGTATGAAGATGAAATTAGGTACTTTTGGTTTTATTTTTGAAAAAGACAAAAGTTGGACAACTTTTCAATTCGTTAGGAAATGAGTTCCATAGACTAGGTCCCTTTATTTGCATAGAATGTTTACACCAGATTAAGTTTGACTCTGGGGATATCAGAGAGATATTAATTTCTAGTGTGGTGACTATGGGTTCTATTACATCTGTCAAGGAAAAGTTTCAGATCAGGATTTGCATCTAGGAACAAGGTTTTATATATGTAAATGACACAAGAGAATGTGTGAAGTGAGTTTATGTTTAGCATGTTTAGGGATTTAAACAGGATTTAGGGATTTAAAATGATACGATGCTTCGCCTTCTTATTAGACTAAATCATAGAGTTAGATTGAAATTTCTATCAGATGCAAAACAAAGAGGTTGTTGTGCAAAAGGACGTATTTCTTAGTTTGCATTTCATTCATAGAAAGTGTTTTGACATGCCTTGCAACAGCCAATCACAGGTAGGTACTTGTAGAAGCTCCTCCTCTTGATTGAAGTCATCTGGAGCGTTCAGCACACCGTCTTCTTCATCTCTTGTATATCCAAAATATGTCTCCGCTGGACCCCCACCCACAGCATTCTTAACTCTATTGTACTGCTCCCTCACTTAACGTAAGCGTTCTACATTGTAGCATCTAAGCCTTATGAAAATTCCGGTGGGTTATTTTACTTGTTATTGTATATAAGTTCTATAACTTACGTATTGTTTTACCTGTTGCATTAAGTACTGTACATTGGGCTAGTTTCGAGGTAATTCAATGCCATTTATCGGCACAAAAATACTCTCTCAAGAAGCCAGACCAACAGCAGCCAGTCAGGCTGAAGGAAGCCTTCCAGTGCTTGCATATCATTGGTAGAAATTCTTTGTTGGTATTCACCATAGCAGCCAATCATGTGAAATGTGTCGGCTGGACACTCCAGGCGCCGTCAGCTGCCTTTCGTTGTCCGGGCCATGGATGCGTACTCGCAGGTTTTCCTTCTTTCTCTCCTTGTACCCACCCCAGGCACGATCGATCATCTCTCCGGTACCTCAGTGGATGGACAGAGGAGCTCATCCGGGTGTATGGGGACTTTTCCAAGCCTCCTCGTCGGAAGAGGAATTTAGAGGGTCTGGCCCCTTCAATTTTTGCAGACCTGCGTGCCTCCTTATACCCTGGATACTTGGAGGTATACACAGATGGGTCCCACATTGCTCAGCCACCATTCACCTCTGGGGCTGCATACTTTGCTCCTTTCTCCTTCCATCAGACGTGGAAGCTCATTCGTGCCTGGCCGGGGAACTGTTTGCAAACTTACTGGCCTTACAATTACTTCGACAAGTTTCAGGGCCCTCGGCAGTGGTTTTCTACGTGGACTCTGTTACTGTTCTTTGCGGGTACATCGTCATACCGTGTCACAGATCTGTGGATAACTGCTGTCGTACTCTGGTACTTCGGGTTGGTCGATCTATCTCCAATGGGTTCCGTCACATGTTAATATTAATGGCAATGAGGTGGCCGACGAAGCAGCAGGGATGGCCCATGGTCTCCAGGACTCTACACATGTGCCTCTGAACCTTACCGAAAGTTTCCCGTAACTCCAGGCGGCTTGCCTCGTGAGTTGGGAGGCAGTGATGGCACCAGCACTTTGGTCCTCTTCTCTGGCCGGCCTCCGGATGGGCTCCTCCCAGCGTCCATGGACTCGTCACCATTCTTGACTCTTCGACACGAGCATCACTCGTCTCCGGAATCCCGGATTGGGCACACCTGCCTGGCTGCACATCTTTATAGTCTACAATTTGTAGATTCCAAATACCTATAGTGGTGTCCGACCCAGGAGGATACAGTGGAACACCTCCTTCACTTCCCACGATTGTATAGTGCTCGCGTCAGACTACATAGTACCGTTCGTAGGCTGAATATTCCCCGCCTCACGGTTCCCGTTCTCCTTGACGGGGCAGGTGCGAGAGACGAAGACGTCCGATATGACATCTTTCGCCATATCTTCCGCTTCATTCGTCATGTCCGTGGCCTGAAGAAACTGTAAAGTATGAGGCCTGAGAAGATTGTAGTGGTCTGTGGCCTGAAGAGACTATAGGGACCCCATTCTACTTTGCTGCTTCCCGGTATCCGGTGCCCATCCGATCCCTTGACCGTCGCCCCTCAACCAACAACAACAAACACTTTTATTTTAATTATGGAAGTTCTTCTGAGGCTGTTGGCGAGAAGCAGAGGAAGGCAGAGAGATATCGTGGGATTGAAACGCCCTATAACCGAGGCAACTGAATTGTTAAGGAGGAGGGAGCATGGGAGCGCCGTGGCGGCCCGGTCTCTGGTTCTCTCTAGTCATATGAACATCCAGAAGTTTTTTTTCAAAGGTCAGTGTCACGTGATGAGGGATTAAATGGGCCTTATTAAATTAAATGTAGGCCTCCACCTGCTAAGGATTATTTAATAATGAGCCGGGTAACAGGAGTCTGAAGTCATCCGCTCCTTTACCCACCTGTCTAGAAACAACAGTAATAAAAAGATAGGGATAATGATGATAATTTATTTGCGAGAAGTTACAATGGGTTGGTGAGATTACGTAAGATTGATATTTTTACATTCATGCAAAGCCACTAACACGCATAGCATTTACGGCAGCATATAATGTCCAGTCTCCGTGGTGTAGTGGTAAGACACTCGCCTGGCGTTCCGCGAGCGCTTTGTCATGGCTTCGTATCCTGGCCGGGGAGGATTTACTGGGCGCAAATCCTTAACTGTAGCCTCTGTTTAACTCAACAGTAAAATGAGTACTTGGTTGTAAAAACGATTCTTCGCGGCAGGGATCGTATTCCAGGGACTTGCCCGAAACGCTACGCGTACTAGTGGCTCTACAAGAATGTGACAACTCTTGTATATATCTCAAAAAAAAAAAAAGTCTGACACCATATAACATGTTACCACCAATACCAGAACTGCAAAACTAAGCTGATACTGTACCACAAATACTGATACCAATACGTCAGTACACACTTACTGTTTATTCTCTCATTATTTTCCTCCATTAGTATGATCCCCTGATTGTCCAAATGATTGGACACTACGCCTTCACTCCAACTTTATAACCGAACTCATTTCTTGTCATACCTTCCTTAAGTCTTATATGGTCCTATAGGTATTGATTTAGCACTTTAACCTGATAATTACTTGTTTTAAAGATGACTGAACCATTATATTGTCTTTGTAGTGCATCGGGGGGCCAGGTCACCGTTAAAGACCCACACGTGTGGCGAGCTTCAAGCAGACAATACCCACCAGGAAGTTATTCTCCGAGGCCATCTTCAGTATCAGCGGATGGGCAAATTTGCCGTTCTTCGCGATGCTTTTGGAAACACTCAAGTGATTATTAATGAGAAGGTGTGTCCTTTTAGCACATACAGTACTGTATTGCTATATAATTTAATTTTCTTTTTATACCCAACCTGCTTTGAATCAATTTGATTACATCAATTGTGTATAATACTTTGATGTTAAGAATATGTCTGTTGCAGGGTGGCTGCGTTAAGAGAGATGAGTATTGATGCAGTGTAATGTAATGAAGTGTTATCTTGTAGGATACCAAGCTCATGGAACTGCTCAGTAACACAACATATGAATCGTATGTAGAAGTGAAGGGGATCGTCCGTCGCAGACCCAAAGGTCAAGAAAATAAAGTAAGTATTATCAGTGTTATGATACATAATTCTGTTGTAAATTTAAAATGTACTGATTTTAAATTTAAAAATAAAATGACTGATTTTTAAACTTAAGCAACAAAAATTATAATTTATCGAAGTTTGTATATTTTTTATGACATTCTTTGATCTGTTACAATATTTTATCATTCCCATTATTACAGTACCATATTTTATCTATTATTTGTTATTCGGATTTTGGTTAAGTCGAATATCTGACATGGCTGAAACGTGAATAATGTAGTAGATAAATTGTTAAAAACTTTAGAAAATAAGTTTTTGCTAAATATCAAATTTTTGTGCATTGGTGCAAAATAGACATACTGTACTGTAATTGCTCGATAAATTACTAAAAGCAGCCAAAAAATTAAATATATTTTCAAATGTATGTTTTTTGCTTATATATTTGATCTGTTATCCATTAAATGATATATTTATTTAACTAGGGGGCTTGAACGAATGATTTTAGACATGCCAAAATTCAGAGAAGGGCATGTTCGTGGAGCTTTGATAGTAGATCAGTTACACTATTATAATAATCTTCAAAACTGTAGGTTTTGTTTATGTAGAAAAGATGTTTAAAGGATCTTTACAGTGTTTGTATTTCATAAAGGAATTTTACTGTTAAAGATGATTAGATTATTTCTACTCAAAACGTGTAGAGAAATACAAAACTCCTTAATACTTGGTGTAATGGTATTGGATATTAAAATCTCAGTTTTATTAATCCCTTTAAATGCAAAATATTATGCAATGCTTGTATATACAGAATATTATACAATCCCTTTAGATACAATGCTTGTAATATGATGAAATGTTACTTAAAATCTGATCTTCTGAATAACATTTTCATGTTATTTGATATGCCTTGTAATACAGTATAGGATTAAGACATTTATTTCAAAATTATTATGTTCATTAAATAAAAGTTACTTGGTATTTCAATAAATGTTGTTATTGTAAGGATATGGTCACAGGAGAAATTGAAGTTGAGGCATCCAGCTTTGAAGTCCTGAGTAGAGCTCGCCAAGATCTTCCATTTTTAATACGGGATTTTAACAAGGTAAATTAGCCTGTCCTTTGTGTAATTTTTGTGAAATCTAATAGAGTACATGGTTACAGTAGACAATACAGAATACAGTATAAAATACAAAATCAGTGGTTATAATTTTTTTTATAGTAAACAGAGTAAGAAATCACATACAAAGCAATATAGTATTCATTTGTATAATATTTGTAAAGATATCACTATGTAAATCTAATACATGGTTACAGTAAACAATACAGAATAAAAAAAATATAAAGTCAGTGGTTATGATTTTTTTTGTATAGTAAACAGAGTAAGAACTCACATACAAAGCAATATATTCATTTGTACAGTATAATATTTGTAAAGATATCACCTATAGATACCTTTGGTGTTTGTTAGTACATACTGTACTGGAGTACCATTTTTTTTAACATTCATATCAGTTTGAAAATGTTTGTAGGTTTCTTGATGTGTATGCCATTGTCTATCAATGACACACTGTACTTAGTTATCAAGAGAATAAAGATTTTGAAGGAGACAAGTCAGCGTTGGGATGAGCGAGGTCTGGGAACAATGTCTAGAAGCAATTATTTCTGTTGTTCAGGGCACCTTTACATTTTTCTTAGTGGCCTACTTTCTCCTACTACTTTCTTAATGTCAATAACCTTAATGAAAGGTTTTGTAAAGTCTTTTTAAGAGACAAAAGTCATTATTGTTCGATAGGAAACTACTTAATACAGTATAGTTCTTTGAAACCATAAATATATTCATAATGATAATCTTTATTTGTAGAGTACTTTTTTCTCTTAACAAAAGCCATTCCTGTACAATATTTGTTTTGTAGAAAAGATTCTGTGTATTTGTTTAAATGCCAAATATCTCTCAAGAAATTGGTCCACCTATTAATTAGTTGTAATGGTGAAGTGTTTGTTATTTACATGTACATATTGAGGTAATGAAACTTGCAGTATCTATCATAATATCAGTAGCATAATAACTTTTGCAGGCTAATGAGCAGCTGCGGTTAAAGTACCGATATCTTGATCTACGACACTCCGAACTGCAAAGAAATCTAAGATTAAGATCTACGGTAGGTAAGAGGATAATCTCTTCTCATTTCTCTTTTAAGGTAGCTTTCCTGTGGAAGACATTTTTCACCTGCTTGAGTTTCATATCGGTATGCTACTCGGTATCTAACCTTCCCATCTTCAGCGATCTCACGCCTTCCCACCTTCGACGATCTCTCATTTTCCCACTTTTAACAATTTCTTGCCTTCCCGCCTTCCCTCTTTTGACGATATCTTACCTTCCCTCCTTTGGTGATCTCTCTTCCTCCCTTCTTCAGCGATGTTTCGCCCTCCCTTCTTCGGTGATCTTTCGCCCTCCCTTCTTCAACGATTTCTTACTACCCACACCTTCAGACAGCTATACCAACACTTCCAACTACCCACAACATGGTCCATATGCTTACAGCACCCACTGTATGCCCATTCTAAATTTTCTCTCCACAGCATACCCACCCAACCACCCACACACTGCCAGCAACAGCATTACTAATCAATTTATCACCATTTGTCAACATGAGTAGGAAAACTCTTGAAACTAGCATTAGGTAACCCCAGCCAACCAAAAAATTGCCATTCTCCACAACCACAGACCTCCCCACATCCCACAGCCCCCCCCCCCCCTCACATACCATGACCACACCTCACCCAACCACAACTACCACACTTCACTCTCCTTTTGTCTATCCATATTTTAAATAAGGTACAGTACAGTACATGTACAGAAGGGGTGTTTTTTATGAATATTCATAACAATGTTCATATATTGTGAGATATGGAACCAAGGATGTCTCCCTTAATCGGCATCTGTTGAAATATATCTATTGGGAAGATAATTTGTAATGTTGCAAATGCTGTATCTCTCTCAACAAGCATTCTAAACAAACTTTATGATCTTGGAAAGTAGTGAGGCAACAACTTCTGTTTAGTCAAAGTAAATAAAATACATATTTCTTCATAGCTTTTTACATATAATGCTACTTGTATAATCATTTATTTATATTGTTAGAATAAAACTATATATATAATAGTGTAGCAAGTGTACAGGATTGTATAACACAGCTTGTCAGTAGAGAAAGCATGGCGAACCCCAGCTGTATATTTGGATTTATGAAGGAACTACTTTCACAGAGAGAGGGATTACGGCAGGCATCTTGAATCCATTTGAATTCAGATCAGTGCTATGAGCTGTGTCTTTGGGGTGATTTTGAGCCGGGATAGTCCCAGAATCTATTGATGTAGGCTGCTGAGGATGTGCAAATATCTATTGAGACATGGGATAGTTAGTTCATATTAGTTCTACTTTTGTCTCATCATTTTAATTTTGTGATATCAGTTGTCAATGTATGTCTTACTGGTCTGTTAAACCTCACCTTGTCTTTACACTTTATCTTTCAAACCATTAGCTAAATGTTCACTCAATTTATGCCTAAAATATAAGTTTGTTTTAGATTCCTATAGTCCAGCCAGTATTGTAATGATTTATATAAGTTTATAATATAAATTCCATTCAGTCCAGGTGAATGGAATTTATATAAGTTGTTATGGATTACATTACTGATTCTGATACTGTAGTTACAATGTCTACATAGTATGCTGCTTTTGTGACTCTTTATGTAATTAATGTACAGTAGGGTACTTTTTATGTAAACTTTCCTAATATAAATGTACAACCATCTATGAATAAAGTCTTTGATTTGATTTGACTTTGGTGTAAAAATGTCCAAATTTGTATTTTAATCGTGTGAGGTATTTTTTTATTGTTGTATATTTAAAAATCAAATTAACAGATGCAATTTACATTTTACAGTTGTGGTTCCACTCCCAATTAATCTATTGGTGTAAGACTTTACATTATTGAACTTGCAAATACTGCATACAAAATTGTATTTTTTATTGTGCTGTTTCAACATTATTGTTTAGCTATTGTTATTGGTTAATAATCATATTGCATATTTTTCAGATGGCAAAGAAGATGAGAGATTATTTGCAAGACAGATCAGGATTTGTTGAAATCACCACACCAACTCTCTCTGTCAACACTCCTGGGGTATGTATGTTAATCAATAGTCCAGCACTTATACCGGGTTTGACCCATAATCAGTGTGCACTGCACTTCACTATTTACTGGTAGGTGAACAGAGGCATTAAGTGAAAGGAAATGTGGAGAATGTGTCTTCTCGGGGATTTTATTTGTTCACAGTTCATAAGTTGAGAAGATTGAGGCTTGTCAGTGTCAGTAATGACTCGCTTTATTGGATTAATTTGTCCCTGGCTTTTCCGTTGCAGTGTAACATTTTTCCAGTTTTGTTACCTTTGTGTCACTATTAGCCCTTTTGCTGCAAAAAATTAATTGTGTTGGTATTTACCATATTTGTAACAATTTTCTGTTTAGGTAATTGTTTAAGTTTTTCTGGTAAGGTATTAGGAGAGCGCACTAAGACATTACAACTACATGTGTATATAGCACTTGGAAAGGGTATGAGGATAAGGATTTGGAATAGAAGATAGGAAAACAAATGGTGCCCAACCACTCCTAAACTGAAAGTCAAAACTAGGTTTGCACTGACTGGCGACAGTTTGAATCTGGTTAAAGAAAAGTGTTTCACTGTACAGTATTGTATAGTACAGTACACACAAACAAATCACATTAGAGAGGGTTGGGACCTTGAACTGTCAGTTAAAATTGTAAAGTATTTTAGTTAATTTAGTTAATTCATTATCTTTATCTTGAGAATATCAAACACAGTTGTACTGTATTCCATGCAAATGTGTACCTGAGGAATGGTAGTTTCAATCTTTTGATTTATATCATATCTCTTTGGAAGTCATAACATAATTCCTTTTTCCTCTTTGGTATACTTTACTGCTACCTATTAGCTTTGCCAGCACATTCCTGGTGATTTAAGCAAACAGTCAAATTATTAGAGGAGGGGCTTATTGTGTACATCCAAGGAGGTACAGGGGTGACAATATTTCAGGGGTTACACCAAAAAACAGTTATTGCTCCATCTTAAGCAAGTCAGGTGACAAAGATTTGAGCAATTACTCTCTGTACACGTACAGATGGAAACATTAGTTATTGTCTTACCAGAGTTATCACAACATTTATGTTGTGTACCGTCTTCTATTCCCTAAGGTCTGGTGATAACGTGTAAATGGCAGAGACTTCATTTTGGCATTCTCGGGTCATGTGATTGAATTACCGTATGTTTATTTTTTGGAATATGAGTGAGCTTCCAATTTCAGTTATGGATAGGGTTTGCACCATATGGAGTTCTTATCTAATTCTCAGAAATTCCTAAGACCTGGGGTTTTAACTAACCAATACTTCATTTTTGTATGGGTGGTGAGTCATGGACCTCACATGTTGGAATAAGAAAACCTTTGTCAGAAAGCCTAAATGTATTTCTAGAAACTGATCAAGGAGGACCAAAAACCCTTTTTAGCTCAAGACTCGGGCAGGGTGCATGGAGCAATGACTTAGTCCTCTAGCATAGGACAAGACTATAGGAGACTAGTAGGATCTAAATCCTACTAACCTCATGTGGAGTAATGCAGTATTATCACTAGGAATATCAGCAATATAGCACATCACTGACGAGTAAGTTTACCACAACAGTTTGGGGAATGTAGGGATGGTATATTTATTTTCCTTATACGATGATATCTTTGTGGCATATTATGAAACTTGTACTTTATTTTGGGGTTATTCTCATTTTGCACTGGTAACAAATTTCAGAGTATTATCAATATTATCGGTATGCTTGTCATATATATGGGATTTTTGTTCATTTCAGGGTGCTCAAGAGTTTGTGGTACCTAGTAGGCATCCTGGAAAATTTTATTCTCTGGTCCAAAGTCCACAGACATACAAACAGTTAGCTATGATTGGAGGATTTGACAAATATTTCCAATTTGCTGTTTGTTACAGAGATGAAGGAGCTAAACCTGACCGACAGCCAGAATTTATGCAGGTAAGAGTGTGCATCATAGTTTCTGTAGTTATCCCCTGTGTAGAATGAATTAAGTTTCTGCAGAAAACTTGACACTTGATAAGTTCATTGTACTGTACTATACTTTATATCTGAACTTGATTATGTACCTAATATGTAGTCATATTTGAACATGATTTACACACCTAATATTTAGTCATATTTGAACTTGCCCTTATATTCCGAATATTTAATCACATCATTTTGACTTGAATGTAAGTGGCATTTTCTCTCTCTCTCTCTGAGACATGGCAATTTTGTATGTGCTTCTTTGTGTTGGTGTAGGTGGACTTGGAGATGATAGACGTGACCATCAAAGAGATGAAAATTCTGATAGAGAACCTGCTAACGCTCTCGTGGCCGACCCATCTGCCTGCTATTTATTTTCCATTCCCTGTCTTAACTTACAGTGATGCTATGAGTTCCTATGGAGTTGATAAGCCAGACACTAGGTTTGATTGGAAGGTAAATATTTTCTACTTGTTTTAAAGATTTAAATGTTCTCATTTACTGTGTAAAGCTTGGTAATTAATATGATAGATAAATGGTTATTATTCTTTATTATTACTCTACAGCCTGATACAAATGTAGGAAGTAAAATGTATAACAGTTTAAAACTTTGAGAATGTTTCCTCCTAAAGGCTGACAAAATCAATTACTGTATACCTATTTGCCAACCTTCTGAGTGAGGTGGACCCATTCCTTATGAGATTATCTTGAGGTTATCTTGAGATGATTTCGGGGCTTTAGTGTCCCCGAGGCCCGGTCCTCGACCAGGCCTCCACTCCCAGGAAGCAGCCTGTGACAGCTGACTAACACCCAGGTACCTACCTGGGTGTTAGTCAGCTGTCACAAGAAACAATGGGCAGAGTTTCTTTCACCCTATGCTCCTGTTACCTAGCAGTACAGGGAAATAGGTACCTGGGTGTTAGTCAGCTGTCATGGGCTACTTCCTCCCAGGGGGTGGAGGCCTGGTCGAGGACCGGGCCACGGGAACACTAAAGCCCCGAAATCATCTCAAGATAACCTCAAGAAGGATGTGGATGGAGGCAGCTTCCATAACTAGTGTATAAATACTCATTTGATGTGACATGATCCAGATCATCATTTAAAACATACACAACATCAATAACATTAACAATGATCATTTTTATCAGCTGCAAGACGTTACACATCACCTTCGTAAATGTGAATCCTCCGTGCTGGAAAACGCTGTTGCATTACCGGGTAACACTGCTCATGCCTTTGTTGTCCCTCTTGGCAAAGTAAGTGTGTGCATTTTTTTTAAATATCTGTGGCTTAAATGTAAGAAGTGTATGATATTCAAAAAAGTATACATTTATTCGTATGGTTTGAGTGTAATAGTGACTTGTGGCTTTTCTTCCATAGCCACACATCAACAAAAAAATTAGATCATCCTGGGAGGATTTGGCGAGAAGAGAACATAGCCTCGGTGGAGTGTCGGTGTTTTATGTCTCGGAGGACCTCACATTAAAGGGTGCTCTCTCCGGGAAAATGAGTGAAGCAAGCCAAAGAGAATTAACCAAGTCTCTTGAGGCTCAGATGGGAGACACTCTGGTTTTGGCAGTGGGCTCAACTAACAATGTGGTCAGTTTATTCAATTTGTTTACTATTATATGTAATTTGTGATATATTCAAACACTTTTTAATTTGAAATATAATTTGTTTAAAGTTAATGGTAAATACTGTATGTATTTTTAAAAGCTAAAATTTTTAGTCTCTTCAAATTATCCACCTATTGTCTGGTATTGCAGCTGAGTTTGCTTGGTAAATTACGTTTACAAGCGGCGAAGATTATGGAAGAGAATGGGATTATGGTGAGGGACTCGGACCAATTTAATTTTGTGTGGGTGGTAGACTTTCCCCTGTTTGAACGTGATGAGAATACGGGGAAAATTGTGTCTGTTCATCACCCATTTACATTGCCTAAGGAAGACGATGTTCATTATCTCTATACTGACCCTCTCAAGGTGTGCCATTAAATGTTCTTATGTTTGATAATTGAATTGCCACAGCCTAGTATTGATGCTTATTTGATGTGATATTACAAACTTAATGGCTGAAAGTTTTGGGAAATCTTGTCTATCCACATTAATAATTGCTATTGTTAGCAAGATCTTAAATGTGAATCTTCGTGAGATGTTAACTTCAAGGTCTTTGCCGTATATTAAAGTATTTCATTATTAAAGATTTCTGAAAACAAGAATCAATACAGTAAAGGATGTATTTTGATTTATTGTTTTAACATAAATTATATAAACATTGTTATATTTTACAATAGAATTTACAATTGTTTTATCTGTAAATTCTGATGAGAATGAAATTTGTTGACATAAACTGTGAATACATAATTGTCATAATGCTCAAATCTTGTCCTATGATTCCATATTTTGATTGTTCTGGGGTCATAACATCAAATTGGTTGCCTTTTAATTACTTAACCTTAAAGTTGAATTTCTAGGCCAAGTCTCAACATTACGATCTGGTGCTGAACGGATGTGAAATTGGTGGTGGATCCATGCGAATCCATGACCCGGCTATGCAGCGCCATGTCTTGCACAATATTTTGGGGATTCGTTCAGCTAATTTTGATTTCTTCATTGAAGCGCTGGAGTCTGGGGCCCCACCTCATGGTGGAATTGCCCTTGGTAAATATTAACTGTTTTCTTTTTCTGTCAATTAATTTTGCTTTAAACTTGCAGTATAATGTTTTTGCTAATGTTATTCTTTTCTACTCCTGGGCAGTGTGGGATGGGAGCACTGTTCCTTCACTGTTCATCCCTGTACATTTACGTTGCTTTAATAGAAATATTTTGTAAAGTAATTAAATATAACCAATTTCTATACTGTTATAAATTATAACAAATCCATTTAAGAAAGTTTTTGTGTTGTGTCTTTGGGAAATCTTTCTAAAGCTTGCTGTAGATGCTCATTATGGTAAAATTAATACATCTTTAAACTGAACCTTAATAAGCAAATCCTTACATAAACCATACTGATTTAAAAATATATAATTTGTTAGGTCATATCTTGATCAACTGTTTGATCAAGATATGATCAGCTACTGATGTCTTGAGTTGGAAGCGCAAGTAGCATATGCTAAGCTTGAGGCTCGAGAGAAAGAATGTGAATTTGAAAAGCAACAGAAAATATTAGAGGCCGAAGCTCAACAGAGACTAGTTCTAGTTCTCAACAGTACTAGTTCCCACTAGTGCGGTAACTAGTGGGAATTAGTTTGGTGGGTGGCTATGCATCTGCTGTGTTATTGATTTAATATTGTGGGTGGCTGTGTTATCTAGAATGTTTCCTTGCAATTTTGAATGCTTGTTTTGCTCTCATAATGACTTCCCATAAGATATTACTGTCTATTGATGACTGTTGTGGTTTGCATACAATATTACAAAAGAGTCGCAACTCTAAAAGCGTGCCAGTGAGGAAGTGCTGTGATATATAACTAAAGTTAACCAATAAAGACACGCTATTGGCTTTTTCTCATTCATGATATTGAAAAAAATAAATGATCAATTGTTTGTTTGTGCTGAAGGTTGTAATCTGTGCCTGGAGAGGGGACTTGAAGGATATATATATAGCTTAATTTTTTTTACTGCAATTATAAGGTTATGTTATCCACAGGTTTTGACCGTCTCGTTGCCGAGCTGTGTAGAGCAAAGAGTATCCGTGATGTTATAGCATTCCCCAAGTCGCTGGAGGGTCGGTGCTTAATGTCGGGTGCTCCAGGTAATATCACACAGGAAGAGCAGCAGCTGTACCATATATCTGTTGTTCAGAAGGAACATAAAGATTCGACTGAGAACTCTTGATGTCTATGCTGCAAATAATAAGGAAGAGAAATAAAACAGTATACAGTACAGCACTTAAAGTAACCTTTATCAAGGCATGTTAATTGAAGGCATTTTGCTTTATGTTCTCAAATATGAATAGTACTGTACCATGCCATAAATATTTGAAATTAAAATTAACATTTGAAATTTTTATAATAAAAGTACCTTTAAAAGTTCTCTCTTCATATAAGCATTTAATTTTACCTAATGCTCTCATTGTTTAACTAGATGTCAGACGTAAATTTGTATGATGATAGATTAAGTTAGCAAATGTGTTCTTCTAATTTCTTGTCATACTTAAACCAGGTTCAACCTTTCTTGGCTTCTTTTTCCAAGTTAAGGCCCCATAGATGTTGCTTGAGCCAGAACCATTATCGTGTGTCCCTTTGGATTTTCACATAACTGTAGTTTTACACTATGAGGACATGGCTCAGGATAGCAACCAGAAGACGACGATGTTCAGAAATAGTGTTGACTGAAAAGAAATGCCTAATGCCTTTGTTCACCTTGCAGTAAATATGTTCCAAAGGGTTAAACAACTGTTGTGGGTTGCATCCTGAGAAATGGTCGGCAAATGGCCTTGGGGGAACCTCGATGAGCATAATCATGCCATAAATAGTTCATAATCATGCCATTCATGATTTCATTTACATGGTTAATTGATGCATATTACAGTCCCCGTGGCGCAGAGGTAAAACACTCGCCCGGCGCTTCATGAGCGCTTTGGCCTGGGTTCATATCTTAGCCGAGGAGGATTTACTGGGCACCAATCCTTAACTGTAGCCTCTGTTCACCCAGCAGTGAATGGGTACCTGGTTGTTAAACGATTTGGCGGGTCGTATTCTGGGGAAAATTTGGATTAAGGACTTGCCCAAAATGCTATGAGTGCTAGTGGCTGTCCAAGAATGTAAGAACTCTTGTATCTATGAATAAATAAATAAAATATGTGCAAACTTATTTACTATTTAATTTAAACAAGAAAATTGTTGCAAATTTTATATTGGCTTTGATTGTTGTCACTTGGAACAATGAGAATGCTACTAGTAGCCATATTTAAATGCATGTCTTCACACTTATATGTTTCTAGTTAGGCAAAACCACAAACTACAGAGAATCAAGTGGGAAATGGATACAACTTAACTCTGTACAATCTTGAGTGAGCAGGATCTTTGATTAAAGTACAAGTGGAGGTTGACTGATAGCTTGAGTAAGTTTGAGTAATCAAGCTTTGCAGTACTCAAGGGAGGGCAGGATTGGCTGGTGCAGTCCTGTGAAGGGCTGGCGGATGCGGTGTTGGATAGAGCAGTTAGGGAGTGGTCAGAATGTTGGGTATCCAACACAACAGCAAAGACTGGCAACCTTTCCCCCACCTCCCCTCTCTTATGTGGTAAGATTCTTATTCAGTTTGAACCTAATAATTTTTCTTTACCTTGCTTTAATCATATTTTATCACACTGTCATCAGGTCTATGGAGGAGCTCCTTTGTGTATTTAGACATTTTAATACTCCAAGAAACAAAATTATTTTGTTCTATTTGTTATTAAGTAGATCCTCATTTATATTCATAAATTACTTTCATTGTAAATGGATAAACTGTTTACTGTAGAGTATAAATATATTTTCAATTCTTTCCTCTTGCTTGGATATGGGTTGAGATATTATGTTCATTGCTTGTGTTAGTGTTGCTGGCGATATAGTGAAGTCCAGGGAAGTCAACACAATTGAAGTCCGTATACTTTTTATTATGGATGAGGGGATGGGTGAAGTTGCCATAGCTCAGTATTGCCCCCATGAAGCTGAAGGTGCCATAGCTGGTGATGGTATGGTCCCCCTGAGCCAGCACTGCCATATCAAGTATTGGTTGACTCATGTTACCTGAAAAAATCATCTTGCTGAAATCAATACAATTACAACACAGTTACAATACAGTACACAAAATTTTAATTACATTACACAAAAAGAAGGGCTTGTAAACAAGTCACCCAGACTTACCAAAAATTATAATACAGTACTGTATTTATTTGTACAGTTATGGAATGTACGGTTTTACTTTCTGAGTGACCAATCCAAACATTGTTTATCTGATGTTAAACCTAATTTCATAAAGATTCTGTTGAAGATATGCAAAGTGTTAAATAAAGTTGCCAATGGAAAAGTAGTAACCAGAAGATCAAAGATTTCTCAGATAGAGGGAGATAACAGACAAAGCCCCTCCTGAAAAACCAACTGGTTTTGTATTTTCCAGATTGAGTCTTGGTGTGGATTGTGATGACATCATCGCCCACCATATGTTTAGACCTGGCTCCCGGAATAATTTTCTTGTGGTAATTTTGTAGTTTTGTAACACCTAACAGGGGAGATGGGAGCAACAGCTTCAAGCTCATCAACCCACAATGTAGTACAGAAAATAGGAGATGCTTTTTCACCTACAGGTAAATAAAGCAGGATTCACTTCTTTACCATACTTCATGCAGGTCGGCATTCAATTCCCGACCGTCCAAGTGATTGGGCAACATTCCTTTCCCCCGTCCCATCCCAAATCCTTTTTCTGACCCCCTTCCCAGTGCTATGTAGTGTTAATGGCTTGGCACCTTCCCTTGATAATTCCCTCCCTCATGGACCTGCTCACCCACTGAAGCTGTAAATGGCAAGGCATTACTTCATTCCAAAGTCCAGATGTAAAATATCCTCAGAAACAATAGGGAAACCTTTGACAAACTGCTAGCTTCCTGTCCCCATTGAGGTCACTAGAGATATGGTGGCCCTCAGGTAAATTATCATCACAAATAATGTTATAATTTTTACTACAAATAATTACATCTTGCTCAATGACTCAACACAAACCTTTATTCTGACTACAGTGATTTTCTACAAACACATACTGACTACAGTGACTTGCTACAATAGGTCATGTCCTGGGCACAGTGATCACTGCCAACAGCAGTGCCCTGGACATAGTTATTCACCATCAACAGCAGTATGCTGGACACAGTCCACTCAGTAGTTAAGCTGAAACGTAATAGATACAAGGTTAGTAGGCAGGGCATAAAGAGCTAGACCTCTCTCCCTTGTAAACACTGGTAGGTAAGTACAGTGATTTACTACCAACAGCTGTGCCCTGGATACAGTAATTTACCACCAGCAGCTGTGCCCTGGATACAGTAATTGACAACTGTTCTTTATTAACAGCTGTATCCTGGCCACGATGCATCACCTTCCAACAACCACATCTCGGACACCAATTGTTTACCACAAACGGCATGCTCTTTACTATTACTCACCAGCCACCACAGCATCCTTGCCCTGGAGATGTTTTGTGCACCATGGATGATCATTGCTCACTATCAGAAATACAGGATTCTTCACTCTGTAGAATGTTAGAGTATTATTATCTAGCCCAAGAATGATGAATGTTGGCAATGTTCATCCCATGTAGGATATCACAGTACAAGCTGTTAACGTCTAGCATTTGCTCACTCTCACATACATGCATATATCTCTATATTCACTGAATATCATTATACAGTATAATATATATGTGAGAGCGAGTGTGTGTGTGTAATTACCCAAGTGTAGTTACATAGTGAGTGTGTGGATATGTAATTACTTAAGTGTAGTAGTTACAGCTCTTGATGTCCCGTCTTCCCAGTACTCTTTTTGTCATATAAGGCTTTGAAACTGTCAACAGTTTTGGTCTCCACCACATTCTCGCTTAGCTTGCTCCAACTGTCTACCACTGTTTGCAAAAGAAAATTTTCTAATATCTGTTTTGGCACCTCTGTTACCTTAACTTGAATCTGTGTCCTCTTGTTTGTGAAGTGGCTGGTTTCAGGAATTCCTCTTTGTCAATTTGGTCTATTCTTGTTAGTGTTTTGTAAGTGGTGATCATATCACCTCTTTTTTGTCTATCTTCTAGTTTTGGCATGTTTAATGCCTCTAGTCTTTCCTCGTAACTCATGTTTTTCAGTTCCGAAAGCCATTTTGTAGTATGCTGTTACACCTTTTCCAGTTTCTTTGTCCTTCTTGAGATTTGGGCACCATACAACTGCTGCATATTCCAATTCTGGTCTCACAAAAGTAATAAACAGTTTCTTTAGTATTTCACCATCCATATAATTAAAAGCAAGTCTGAAGTTGGAAAGTGTTGCATATGCTCCTCTTGCAATGTTTTTGTGTTCTTCTGGCGACAGCTTCCTACCCAAAACCACTCCTGGGTCTCGTTTTTTATTAGAGTTCTGTAATTCATTTCCATATACTGTAATTTGTAAATTGTGTGGTCTATTTTCTCCGATTCCACATTCCATAACATGGCATTTATTCACGTTGGATTCCATCTGCTACTTGATGCTCCAGCACTTATTTTATCTAGATCAATTTGAAGGGCATTACAATCGTTTCCGACTGCTATCTTCCCCAGTATCTTAGCATCATTCGCAAACATGTTCATATAATTCTGTATTCCTTCTGGCAGATCGTTTATGTAGGCGATGAACATTACTGGTGCAAGAACTGAACCCTGTGGTACTCTGCTAGTAACACTTCTCCAGTCAGATACATTATCTTTGATTACTGCCCTCATCTGTCAGAAAATTTTTCATCAATGTAAGAAGTCTCCCTGTCACTCCTCCAGCATGTTCCAGTTTCCAGAACAGCTTTTTGTGGGACTCTTTATCAAGAGCCTTTTTTAGGTTCAGATAGATACAGTCTACCCACCCACCCACCTCTTTCCTGTAGTATATCTTTGGCTCTATCATAAAAACTAAGTAGATTTGTTACACAGGATTTTCCTGTACACAGGATTTTCCTGTTCGAAAACCATACTGTCTGTAAGTTATTATGACATTACTCTGTGGGTGTTCATCCCATTTTGCTTAACTATTTTTTCTAGTATTTTGACTACCACACTTGTTAATGACAGGTCTACAATTTAGAGGTTCATTCTGACTACCATTTTTATAAATTGGTACTATGTTTGCCTTTTTCCATATATCTGCTAAGATTCCTGTATACAAGGATGTCTCGAATATTAAATGGCGTGGAATGTTTAGCTCAGTTGCTCATTCTGGCAGCACCCAAGGTGAAACTTCATCAGGTCCAACCACTTTATTTCTTCCTATCCCCATGAGTAATTTTTCCACTTCGTCTTGAGATACCTCTATGTATTCTATAACGTGTTCTGGAATTGGTATTTGGTCCTGCTCTCTGAAATTCTCATTTTGTACAAACACACTTTGGAACTGTTTATTTAGCATTTCCCACATTTCATTTTCATTCTCAGTAGTCCTGTTCCCCGTTCTCAATCTCTGGATTTTATCCTTTACATGTAGTTTGTTTTTAATGAATTTATAGAAAAGGCCTGGATCTGAATTACATTTGTCTGCTATACCTTTCTCAAAGTTCCTGTGCGTGTTTGTGTGTGTATTCACCTAGTTGTGCTTGCGGGGCTTGAGTTCTGCTCTTTCGGCTCGCCTCTCAACTGTCAATCAACTGTTACTAACTACTAACAATTTTTTTTCCCCCCACACACAAACCCAGGAAGCAGGTGTGTGTGTGTGTGTGTACTCACCTAGTTGTGCTTGCGGGGGTTGATCTCTGGTTCTTTGGTCTTGTACTCTGTGTGTGTGTGTGTGTGTAAGAGAGAGTGTGTGTGTGTGAGAGAGAAGAGAAGAGAAAATCATTGTTAGCAACTTATGTCCGTCTGTCTTTTTTTTATACCTTTTACCTTTAGCAATAATTACTACGTATTAAAATTGACTTGCCTGTTTCTAAAGTAATCAAAGGCTTGTTTGAAGTAGACTTCATCCAATAGTGTCATTTTGAAATGCTTCTTGATATACTGGGCATAATCCCCTCTGCGGACATGGACAGTGATGAGTGTCACGTCCTTCCTTGTGTATGATGCATTCACGGTCTGTAGAGCTTTGTTGATGTTGTCCTCGGCCCGGTTCAACACCTCGTCCCTGAAAGTGAAGACCTGTCGCGCCTTGTCCCTATAAGCCATGATGAGGTGCTTGGGACAGGGGTGGTCGAACGCGTAGTACGAGTTCTTTAGTAGGGGCTTCACTGTTAAATTCTTCGTAGTATTCATTATCGTTTCCTTTGCGGCAGTGTATAGCATCCGGTAGATGTTATTGTAGGAAGTACTCTTAGTATGTCCAGTGAAGCACTTGGAGTCTTGGATGGGTAATGTGATGTTCCTAAAAGCCTGGCTAAGTTTTGCCTTCATATCCATTTTGATTGAAACCTGCAAGGATGTTCTTTATTTATTACTCGACCACAACGTGAAATTTTGCCAGTCACACACGCTGTTATGTATGAACAGGCTTTTAATCACTCATTAACAATTTTGTACATGGCCAAGTTAGAGTTAAATTATATTTTGCTAATACTGTTAATGCTGCAATAAGTACATAGCTATGTGTTCTAACAGCTTGTGACCAGCTGAGTGCTCAGAGGATTATTGATCAACTGATTGACTGTCGTACCTGATGCATTCCTTTCTTTATATCTGACTGACCACAAGAGTAACTGAATGACTCGCCCAGACGCCGTAGACATGGTGGAAGACTTTGAATGGCTGGATGACTTACCCTGATGCCGTAGATATGACGGAGCAGGAAGAGGCTGACGTATTGGCACATATTGTTTCCCAGTCGTCCCCCGCTGTGCACTACGACATGTGGTGCCCCACACTCTGTAACATAGACATCATGAATTTGGTGCCCAACACTGCAGCAGGGACAGTGTGAATGAGGCATCCCAACACTGCAGCAGGGACAGTGTGAATGAGGCATCCCAACACTGCAGCAGGGACAGTGTGAATGAAGTGTCCCACTCTGTAACAAGAACAAAATGACTGAGGTATACCTGGAGTATACCCGAAGTAGGTTCTGGGAGTTCTACTCCCCAAGCCTGGCCTGGGTCCAGGCTTCACTTCTGATGGCTTCATCAAGAAGGCTGCTACTTAGCGCAGCCCGCAGGCCCACACAACCATTATAGCTCAGTTATCAATAACTTCAGGCCAAATGATATAAGATACTTTGAGCTCTGTAACTACTTCATCGACTCGCGAATATTGGAAGATATTCTTGTACTCTGCCAGAGTTCGCTAGTGTAGGCTAGAGAACATTATTTGCATATCATGTTCTCCCGATTCCATGTATGACTAACCAACCTGTGAGATGGGGGATATTAGATAGACTCGTCTAATATCTGCACATCTGCGTCATTGCAAACAGTGAATTTAGAGCCACAATCTAACTAATGGCCTCGACGGGGACAGGAAGCCAGCATCAAAGTCTTTCTATGCCTATATAATAAGTAAAATTAAAGCAAAGGACTCGGCAGGACCATTAAAAGATTAGACCAATTAAGTTATATTAGCCGATAAAAGGGCAGCCAAAATTCTGAACGAATACGTTACATCACTGTTCGCTCTAGAGAGAGTGGACATCATCTCAATACCTATACAAATGTTTGAAGCAGGAGAAGGGATAGTCCCACTGCGTACCAATACAATCAGTTGATTAACAGTTGAGAGAGTTCAACCCCCCGCAAGTACAACTAGGTGAGGACGGAATTCAATCAAAAGTCATAAAGGAACTAACACATGAACTATGTCTACAACTGAAACTCCTTTTCAGAAAGTCTGGCGACCAAGGGATAGTTACCTTAGATTGGAAAGATGTAAATATCACCCCCGTTAACAACAACAGAAAGCCAGAAAGAACTCTACAGAAAACTACTGTCCAATCAACTTGACCTCACATCTCTGCCAGCTCATGCAGAGGATCACAAGGAAGGGAATCTGTTCACCATCTCACTCTGAACAGTCTTGTAACATTCCATACTGTACATCCTCAGCAAGTTCATCCAACACATTGTTTTCAACATAATTAAACGTTAGTTTGCGTTGTAGCCAAGTGCTGCATAGTGCCCGAAATTTGCATTTGCCCGAAACGCTGTGCGTGTTAGTGGTTTTAGGTATGGTATGTACTAACAATAAATCCAACATTATGTTTGTAACTCATCTATGTATGTACTTTTACCTGAATAAACATTTCGATTTGAATTTTTTTTATAGTCGTAATGGTTTGGCGATTTCCTCTGGTAGTTCCCTTGCCTTATGTAGTTTACTTACTGATGAAGGCAATATTTAGTGAAAATTTTTATGGTGATGACAAGAAAGTGGTGAAGAGTAGTGAACGAGATGGATGGTAGTGAAGGGTAGGGAAGGTACCTGGTAGTACTTGGGCGGTGAAGATGATTACAGTCTTGAAGGTTGTGTGTGTAGTGTAGATGAGACCATCATCACCTGAGCATCGTCGGATACTTACTCTAGTATTATATAAATTACTGATCATGAATATATATATCATGTTTTAAGACTAATGAATGCGTCTTTGGGGTCGACAGCCATTCGTCATAGCCCCAAGTTTAGCATAACGAGCATTTGGCTAATATTTATGACGACGGCTGCTCTAAAAGTTGGAATTGAAGTGCCATCAACACATGATCTCAAATTCAGGCATGTCAAACATACGGCCCGCGGGCCGTAGGCGGCCCTATGCAAGCGTACCTGCGGCCCGCACAAAGGGTACTGTAATTTGGTCATTTAACAGCCAAAATTGCAGTTTTTATAATTTGTCCAAAGAGCCGAAAACACTGCAAATACTGAGTCTGTTCCTAGCTTTGCTAAGTATGACAGTCACCTGGAATTGTTGTCAGAGGAATTTCAGGAAAGATTTCGTGATTTCTCATCTTTTGAACACTACTGTAGAACTATTAGAAATGCAGTCGGATTCTACACTCAGAGCTACGAATCTTGAAGTAGGGATACCCTGCTTTACATACTTTACTGAGAAGTTCAAAAACTTCAGAAATTTTGCCACAAAGATTATGACAATGTTCGGTTCTACTTATTTGGGTGTGAACAGTTATTTTCCTTCATAAAATCAACGAAAACTCCTCAGAGAACAAGGCTGACTAATCAACACTTGTCATTTCTGATCAAAGTGGCAACGCACGGACAGCAACAATTGTCATTAAAAAAAAGTGTCTAGCCTCAAGACAAAACACTAATAATGATTGAATAGTCGTAAATATATGTTCATTTTGAACTGTTGTAATTTTTGTACAATGTATTTGTTGTTGTTGCATAGAAGTCAGCATGTTGTTTACATTTTTGTTTATTAAACTACTTCATTACCTTGCATTCATAAATGTGGCTAGCCGCTAAACCATTTGTATGCACACTGTATGTTTCTAAGTTTAAGTAATAAAAATATTCTTCAATAATTTTTATTAAACGACTTCAATTAGTTGTGGTGTTTGACCCCTCATGACAACACAAATGTGACCCATATGACCCTCAGTTTGACATGCCGGAATTCCAAATGGTCTGAATAGCTCGATCCAATGAAGCTAGTTCTCATGTGCCTAGGTTCATCTTGCAGGTAAGAATGAGTGTCGCTAGAGGATAGCGTGCCCTGGGCAACACCGGCTTATATTGGGGTCAGAAACTGCACCCCAATGTTCGTTAAGCTAAACAGTGTAATTTGCTTTCCAGTTTATCATCCCCGACAAGGTGCTAGACACATTACCTCGTTGAGGGATAGTCTGAACGTGAAGCCTCTTCGCCAGCGGTAAACAGTTCATGTCTTGCTTTAGCGTCCGTTGACTTGCACCATTAAGGTCTCTCAGGCTAGAGAGGCCAGATGGTCCACGGCTTATGAAACGCAAGTTGTATATCACAATGAAGGCCAAAGGTGAGGTCAGGATCATGAATACAAATATTCTCTGTAGTTTCACTAGCACCATCGTTAAAAAATGAGTAGCAACTTGATGGTAGCAACACGTATAGGAAGGGGTGTGGGGGCAGGGGCAGATGCAATGGGGGGGGGGGGGGTTAGTCGTAAGAAGTCAAATGTAGTGATGATTGGACGTAAGGGTGTCAGCCGTAATTAAGGGTTTCGTGTGTAATGGGCTTAGACGTATGAGGAGTAAAACGTGAAGGTCAGGCATAAGAGATCAGACGTAAGGTAGGTAGGACATGAAGACGGAGGGGGTCAGAAGTGAAGATGTGTGTGTGGTGGGACTGTGTTGGCGTGGAAGAGACAATGAACCTGGGTAGAGACGTGAGAGACGGCCGGAGGCCTACAGCTGCTGGAGGAGGTACAGCATCTCTGGCTTACAGTACTACACTGCCCTAGAGGTCTTGTGGTTGTTATGCTGTGGAAGTCTAGTGGCGAGTACAATGAGTTAGAAATCTTATGAGTGATCACTGTGGTAGATACAGTGGTGGAGGTGTGGTGCTATGGTACACCTAACCCTGCCGCCACGAGGCTTAGGGACATACTGCTCTGCTTGCTGGCCACACCACCTGTGTTAGTGTGGCCAACCACAGGTGTCACGAGACCACTAATTATATGATAAATAGCGAATTATTATTACACTGATTAGTGCGCTAGTGCATGTTCACACTTTATTTATGGTCTAACGCCTAGAAGCGTTTTGCAAGACACTTCTTACATTTTCAAAGACAATTTTACATATTCCGTTTTATGCTTAGATTTTTGGGTGAGGTGATAGGACACAAATGTTTTTGGGTGAGGTGACAGGACACAAATCAATGTGTACATTTTCTCTTCTTGCCTCTGTATTGGTTCAGGGTCTTGAAGTCGGTAGAATGTAATTATGTGTCAATTGGCTGTTGATTGCTGGTGTTGACTTTTTGATGTGTAGGGCCTCGCTGATGTCGAGTCTCCTGTTGTCGTTGTATCTATCGATGAGTTTTGTGTTGCTTGTTAAGTTTTCTCTGGTGATGGTCTGGTTGTGTGTGGAGATTATATATTCCTTGATGGAGCCCTGTTGTTTGTGCATTGTTAATCGCCTAGAAAGAGACGTTGTTGTCTTGTGTATATACTGAGATCTTCAAGGCACTACCGGCTCACCATAACCCGTGTTACTTGGAACTTTTTATTCCAGGTAGCGAATCTTTAACAACAACAACAACTGAGATCTTTGGGGTTGACAATCCCCAAGTGGGCACGAGAAGGCATAGGCGACGTTGGTTTGTTTCAAGGCGTTCTGTTTGGTGTCTGGAGAGTTCTTCATGAGTAGGTTGGCCGTTTTTTGTTTTTGTAGTAAATTGTCAATTGTATCTTCTGATTTTTGTCTGCGGGCATAACGTTCCTATTAATAATATCTTTCAGCACACTTTCCTCCGTTTTATGAGCCGTCGAAAAGAAGTTCATGTAAAACAATCTAATAGAAGGTACAAGTGTTGTGTTAGTTGACTCTTCAGAGGTTGCATGGCGTTTCACCTATCTTTTAATAACGTCTTCAACATAACCGTTAGAGAAGCCATTGTTGACCTGCCTTACTCTACAGAGTTCTTCGTCGACCTGCTTCCAGCCAGAGCTGTGAGTGAGAGCCCGGTCGATGTAAGCATTGACAACACTCCTCTTGTACCTGTCTGGGCAGTCACTATTGGCATTAGGGCACATTCCTATGTTCGTTTCCTTAGTGTAGACTGCAATGTGGAAGCCACCCTTCCTTTACATGACTGTTACATCTAGAAAGGGCAGCTTCCCATCTCTCTCCATCTCGTAACTGAAACTTAACACCGAATTTTGCTCGAATGCCTCCTTCAGCTGCTGTAAACGTTTGACATCAGGTACCTGCATAAAAATGTCGTCAGCGTACCTGCAGTATATGGCGGGTTTCAAGTCCATGTCAGCTAAGACCCTCTGCTCTATGGTACCCATGTAGAGGTTTTCGCAAACAGGACACCTAGGGGAGAACCCATGGTGACCCCATCTACTTGCTTATACATGTGCCCATCGGGACTCAAGAAGGGTGCCTCTTTAGTGCAGGCTTGGAGTAACTTCCTCTAATCCTCTAATCTGAGGAATTCAATTAGGTCTTATTAGAGTGAGGATAATGCTGGTATTCACTGTCACACAGGACAGAGGGTCATACACAAGACAATAGGTCTAAACTGTAGGCTGAAACACATATATATCATGGTTACAGTCAATGTTTAAATGTACGAATATGTAAATCCAACTTTCTATTGTGTACTGCCACACAAGGGCAGGGATGGGTTCGTAAAAGATGCAACTTAAAAATATATATATAAAATGGACAAGCAAATTTTAGATAATTTTTTAGGATGTCGTCCAGTACACCAAATTCAATTAAATATTTTATACAGTTGGTGGTACAATAGGCCAGGAGGTCTAAAATATTTTACGGCTTCACATTCAACAATATAGTAATCTAGTGAATGCAATAAAGGTTAGGTACTAACCTGCCAGATGTGCCTATAGCCAAGGCGAATTACCGCAATGACTACATCACATTGCCTAGTCCAGTTACTGTACTGACCATACAAATACCAATTATTACAAAAGTTGTCATAGCTTTTAATACTACAGCTGTCAGGTCTCTGGGTATTTTTCTTAGTTCTTCTAAATCGAGACTTGTGATGATACGAGGCGGGGTGGGGCGGAATGCCCAGTGACGCACCTGGGAACAAGAGACAGACGCCTTGGCTCCTGCAAGATAAGGCCACCCCCTTTATCTCTTAATGCTGGGAGTGACAGAAGGTATTTCCTCACCACGGTGAAGTGGGAAGACACGCTGATTACTTTTGTGACGCGGTGATTGCAATCGTAAATATTTTTAACGGGGGGGGGGGAGGATTTGTGGACATTATTGTACCAAGTCAACACCCGCCGTAAGGAGGGTGGGGGTGCATTGCTTTACCACTCTGTCAGTTTAGGTTAGTCTATTTTTTCTGTGTACTGTATATCCATAAAATATTATCCAATAGTGTCCCCTGGGACGTTAGTATTATGACTGCCTTCTGTGCTAATAATGTACTGATATTTTCTGTAAACAACCCCAGTAATAATTGTGCATTCATTTATGAATAAAGTTTTTTCAGTAAACCTTAGTCACATGACCTGAGGTCCAGTTCACGAAGACAATGTGGGGCTCATGCTGTCAAAATTACACTGCAATATCCTACACTACCTCCTGATATGCATAAATAAATTTGACATTGAATATTTCAATTGGGGTCTAGCTTCTGATGCCATCATGTACCTCTTCCGCTAACTCCCACGAGATAAGAATTGTATAATAAATTGAAAAAAAATGATGCAGCTGCTGCTATCGGAGCCGGAAATTGTGGGTGTTGTGGACTTGGTCAGAGCCCCCATACCCACACATCAACGTCACCACCTTCGTTATATAACCCTGGCCGTGGTACTCCCCGTGTCATAGCGCTAGACGCACTCTTCTTGAACACAACCGCTCTACTCTCCTCTTACCTAGTAGTTGATACCTTACTGATATAGCACTAGCAGTAGGACCCAAAGCACTAGCAGGAGCCACAGTACTAGGAGAACCCACATAAGCAACAGGAGACAGAAAACACTGCCAGGTGAGACATCGAAGCACTTCGAACTCTGTCATATTTCTAACTTTTATTTTGTCTTTGGTAACACGACAGAATTCCGTGCTGGACATTTTGCGTATATTCTTTTGAGGAATTAAACCATCACCAGACATCAAAATACCACCATATTTTGACAAAGCTAAAGATAAGAGAAAGAAAATACCGACTTACAACGGAATGTAATGACCGACAATGAGATTATAACGAAAATGTCGAAAACAGACTTTATGATTTAATAATTACATATTTATGAATTAGTACATGGCGTCCAAGAAGGAGATACCCCATTTATTACTCTTGAATATCTAGAACGTGTGTGTAATTCAATATATTTATATTTTGTGTGTGTATTCTTGTGTGCAAATTGCTGTATGTATGCGTGTTTGTGTATATAACCCTCTAATCATCTAGGAGTACTTGCAGGGGTCGCGCATCAGCTCCCTAGCCCCGCCTCTCCAGTTCCTGCTCAGTTAATGTAATGAATTTCATTCCTTAGGTTTCTTGGTATATTTTAATTTCTAAAGAGCACGAGGCCGTTGGTCTGGCTGCCTTCTGAGCCCTAATTTATTAAGGAGCATCCTGGCTAGGTCGGTATAGCGACGACCTCGTAATTTAAAGTTCCAAGTTCGAATTCTGAAAAGAACTAGAAGTCTGATGGAAGTTGAACCGGGTACAGACGTCAGGGAAGCCTAGTGCCTGACCCGCCTGCAAGTGACCCGCGGGAGCCAGATTCACGAAGCAGTTACGCAAGCACTTACGAACCTATCCATCTTTCCTCAATCTTTGGCGGCTTTGTTTATAATGGTTAAACATTTAATGAGCTCCGAAGCACCAGTAGGCTGTTTATAACAATAACAACAGTTGATTGGCAAGTTTTCATGCTTGTAAATTATTTAATAAATGTAATCAAAGCCGTCAAAGAGTGAGGAAAGATGTACACGTTCGTAAGTACTTGCGTAACTGCTTCGTGAATCTGGCCTCCGGACTATAAGAGAACATCCTCCAGGCCAATTCAGTGGTTAACAAAACAAATGCAGCAAGAAATGTGTGTTTGTGTATACAATAACTTTCAGTATTATATTTCTAACGGCGTTGCTTGAACACATTTCAGACGTGCGATGGGCACACAGATATGGCGAGAGGTCCTCCTGGTGGCTGCGGTGAGTACCTTCACCAACACACATCGGTACAGTACACGTTGATGGTGCTGTCTGTCTTTCGTATATAAACATTTCGTTTAAACAGTATACTGGTTACACTAGTTGGTTGCTATATGTCGAGGCTATAGTACAGTTAATACTATAGTATACTGTAACACTGCCTATACTATAGAACACTGTAACAATGTCAATACCACAGAACAAAAGTAACTGATTGTCTAAACATCAGTTACACTGTACGAGCGTTACACTGTAGCACTGAGATCTGTCAATAGTAGGGTACATTAACATTTACTACGGTACGATGCAATTTGCTTGTGATAACCATTTTCTCTCTTCTTTATATGAAAGCTCAAAATTCATAACTGCTTCATGACTTGTCTCTGCCTGGGAATATGCAGGTGGTGGTGGGCGGGTGCCGAGGCCATGCGCGACTGATGGAGCCTCCGTCGAGGGCCTCTGCATGGCGTCTAGGTTGGCCAACTCCCATAGACTACAACGACAACCAGGGCTTCTGTGGCGGCTTTCATGTGAGTAGTTTCTCAACCTCGCATATTCTGTGTGCGTGGTGTTACTAGCCAAAACGTAATCACTTGCGGTATAAATATAACTTGACTAATAAAAAAGGCGGGAACAAGCGACTAACGGGTGTCACCTGGAACAGGACCAGCACGAAGTCAACGGCGGGAAGTGCGGCATCTGCGGCGACGCCTGGGAAGAGAACCCGCGGCCACACGAGGCTCCTGGGGGAGTATATGCCACCGGCACCATCGTCAGGAACTACGTGCAGGCGCAGGTCATCACGCTCACCGTCGACGTTACCGCCAACCATCGTGGCCACTTCGAGGTCAGGATCTGCCCGGACCCGGAGGTCGAGGCCACGCAGAACTGTCTCGACCAGTGAGTCGTCCTCGTATGTCAGTTACCTGAGGTGTTGCTTGTGTTACGTGAGGTGTTGTCAGTTACCTGAGGTGTTGCTTGTGTTACGTCATGTGTTGATTGTGGGTTAGTACTGCTTACCATGCCGCCTGTGAGTAACGCTGATATACATCATGAACTACACTTTTAATCGTGAATTAAGTTGTTTCCTGGTTGTAAGTTGTACTTGCCTGTGGTGAGTTATACCAGCGCTTGTAAAGTCCCACAATCGCTTATAAACAACCACAAAACATGCTTATTTGTAAGATACAATTATGCTAGTTATGTGTGTGTACATTAATCTTAAAACAATGATATGTATATTTTATAAGTCCCATATAACGCACAGTGTTTCCCTTAGCTAAATATAATTGTTTACTAATAGATAATTGGTGAGAAAAAAAAATAATAATATACAATTTTGATATTGTGGGTTTAATTAATATATTTTAAGGAACTGTGTAGTTCTATAGCAGATGTATGGGTTGATGTGTTATACAGGGTGGCATCTATATCATTTGGAGTAACTACAACACATTTACCTGAGACCATCACATCTAGTGACCTCGATGCAGGAGAGGCTTGACACAGCATTCCGCTATTATTTCTGATATTCTTAGTTTTTCTCCGAAGTGGCTTAAATATAAATAAAATTTTAGCTGCTGAATGCATTAAGAACGCTGTTCGACAATGTAAGATCCCCCATCATATGCATGGAGTTTCTAATTTTGGGTTCGTAGGAGGATTCTGGATGCATAAAAGTAATGTTTATTTCTCGTATGGTATCTGTCACTTATGTTGAAACATTCCAACAAAAATAAAAAGCGTTTAAGGTCAGGATAGATATTTCAGTTTAGATTTTTAAACACGTAGATTCCGCAAGAGTCATGGTTTGATATACATAGCCTATTTACCATTTCAAATCAGGTTTGGGGGAACTGGAATTTGTTATTAATTGCTAATTTATGTTGACTAATAATAATTTTGTGGTAAATTAGGTGTCATAAAGCTCCAAGGCCAGATACCATGATGTCTAGATGAGTATATATATATGTATAGCTTGACAGAAGTGATGAGCAGCCATAATAGCCTACGATTTGTTTATGATTAGGTTTTGTATTTATTCTTAGATCTATTAGGCCGGTAAATATATTCCCACATTATATGTAGAGCGTCAGGTCAATGATGTAGGCGAGTATATTAGCAACACTGCGACTTAAGTAACAATCAGGAACCGTTCCTTACAGGTACCCACTGTTACTGGCTGACGGCACGGGCTTCAAGTACAATATCTCCCTCGAGATTGGAGAGCAGTCCATTCAGCTCCGCCTTCCGTCATCTCTTACCTGCACCCACTGCGTCCTCCAGGTGAGTCTGGTGGCCTTTAGGTGAGTCTTGGGGTCCTCCAGGTGAGTCTTGAATCCTCCAGGTGAGTCTTGCGGCCTCTAGGTGAGTCTTAGGGCCCTCCAGGTGAGTCTTGAATCCTCCAGGTGAGTCTTGCGCCACCCCGATGAGTCTTGCATCCTCTATGTGACTGGGTTTCCTGTCCCTGACAATGAGAATTATATTATTTTAATTCGTATAGGGTTATTAACTTGGTCTCGGTGTTAGCATTATGATAACATGTTAGTACTTTGCGCCCTTCACATGCAGCTTAATACTTACCAAGGATTAATTTACCACAGTGGAGGTACGTGGCTGGTAATAACTGGGGCATCTGTGACGATGGGACCGGCGCCCTGGGTTGTGGACCTCAGGAGGAGTTCCGCGCATGCGCCGACGTCGCCATCTTGCCCAGCAACCCCAGGTATTTCATTATAATAAATGTGCACATATATAGGGGGTACTCCCTTTGGACAAGATTGTTGTTTCCATAATGAGTTTTTCACGAACATGAGGGCATTTTTACCCCATGCGCACTCCAGGTGACGGAGGACGTAAATGTATCTGAGCCTATTGAAATAAGCTGTTGCCCTGCGCAATGTCTCTGCATTTGGATTTCTAGGTCTCCCTGAATGTAGTACTACCTCCGGTTCTGCTACACTGAAGACCTTTGCTGATTGGCGTGGAGGCACATTGCACATCCTCTCATGTGTACTCTTATATATATAAAACTCTGAACTGCAATGCTAATCCTGACCTTAAATGCTTCCTAAAGGGTTGTAACAGAACCCATGGGCACTACACTAGAAACAAATATCTACTTGATATTCCAAGAGTGCGACTTAATTAAGGTAGAAATGTTCTGTAAATCAAGGGTCCAAAATGTAGAATGACCTTCCTAATCACGTCAAAGACTGCCCTTCTCTCAACCAGTTTAAGAGAAAAAATAAATACTACCTAATCAACTCCATGCAACCTACCTTACCTCCTAAATCTATCTATCTATCTATCTATCTATCTATCTATCTATCTCTCTCTCTCTCTCTCTCTCTCTCTCTCTCTCTCTCTCTCTCTCTCTCTCTCTCTCTCTCTCTCTCTCTCTCTCTCTCTCTCTCTCTCTCTCTTCTAGTAATAGAACAATAACAATGAAATAACCGCATGTACCTAATAATATATAATCAACTACAGGTTTAGTATGTCTTTTCGTGGAAAGCATGAGCCCACCAAGTCCCGGATTCAGCCCAACGAGGCGGCTCATAATCTCTCTAGCCTCAGGAAGGGGAAGCCTCCACCCTCGGAAGCACTGCCAGCAGTAGCAGCACCGCCAGCAGTAGCAGCACCGCCAGCAGTAGCAGCACCACCAGCAGTAGCAACACCTCCAGCAGCAGGAGCACCACCAGCAGTAGCACCAACAATCCCATAATAGTGGGCGTGTGTTGTATTTCACCAGGCTTGCGTGTGTGGCGTGAGACACAGCTCTCAACCGCCTGTACCAGTAGCCTGGTACAGGCGAGATGTTACCAATACAAGTCGCCCCATCGTCAATGCAGACACCAGTCACCTCTTGCTGGTTTGGTATGGTGTTTCGTTTAGTAATCACGAGATGGTTATTAAGGCTAAGAGAAAATTTATCCACCAACTAGCAAAATTGCGCACGTTAATCCTGAAAGTAATTTAGGATTAAGGTATAATCTGTATATATATATTACATATGGTTTAGTTTATTTATTGAGCACCCCATACCCATCCTTTGGAAGGTATTGGAAAGGGTTACAGAGGCACATAATGGGCTCAGGGACAACCCCACAATTCATTTAGCTAAGCAAGTTACAGTCTTGATGAGCTAGTTACAAAATTCAATGCTCATCGTCACATCAACAATAGGCTCGAGACCAACCACAAGTACTGTTTCTAATTTAAGCAACTGACATGTGGAGAGTTAGTGTCACAACTGATAAAAAAATCAAAATTAAATGTTCACTCAATATGTTCACTCAGTCGATATTGTAATTATGAATATACAGTATTTTAATGTATTAACATTTATGAATTGATAATTATTTTGATGTAATGTTACGATGTTGTTGTTGTTGTCTTAGATTCAGCTACTCGGAACAAAAGCTCCAAGTAGCACGGGCTATGGTGAGCCCGTAGTGGACTTCTTACGATGATGATTGATAGATTGATAAAGATTAAGCCACCCAAGAGGTGGCACGGGCATGAATAGTCCGTAATTCTTACGATGTGCTAGAGGCCTATTATATAGGCTCCACTTTTTCAAAATGCATCTCGTAGCATTTATTGTGTAACTTTTGTTTTGATATATTGTCATAGCTGATAATTACCTTACCTCATTATTATTTTTAATATAATTATTCCTTGTCCTTTATTTTGCATATATATTTATTATTTCAATATTACTTTTATTGAGAAAATCCATAGGAGCCAGTATGAGGATTCGAACCTATGTGCTGGGTATTGCAAGATGCACGCTATAAACCACTGCGCCACAACATAGTACAAAAATCCTCGAGAGTGCAGTAGTACCCCAAGTTGCAATTCTTTTGACCATGTCGTGACGTAGTCGTTTAGATCGTGCATCTGTGAACACCCAGCGCATGGGTTCGAATCCTCATCACGTCTCCTGTAGATTTTCTCATTGATATTTCACGATAATGTGATTTGTCTGTGTATTATTTTTATTATTAAGATTATCATGGCCATTAGCGATAATAGCGTAAAATTTAGCTGTTATTATTATTATTGTTTGTATTATTTATATATATTTTTTTACCATAGATATTATATTTGAATTTTGAATTTGAATTTAATCAACTCATGTTGTATATTGATCCACAGATGCTACTGTGTAGATTACCTCAATAGTTTTCCTGAATTTGCCTGAGGGTCACTATCTCGAGGGAGCCGGCGGCTTGTCAAAGGTTCTATCCTGTATAATGGCCAGTTTAGTTTTAATTTATTAGTAATTCTCATCAGTATTGTAACTATACTGCTTTTGTTTTCATCAATATCTTCATTTTATTTTTCAAATGAGTCCAGGATAGTTGGTTCTAGGTCTTCGGTTCATCACCGGGCAGGGTAGCAACGGGTTGGCATTTATTGAGAATTATTACAGCAACATTGGGAATTATTATGAATTATAACGTACGGGTATTATTATTAATTATAATGATTATTATTATTATTATTGTATAAATGTATTTTATTCATCTAGGTAATTATGATTGTACATGCATTTGTAAATAATGATTAGAATTTAAATAAAGCTTGTAATACAAGTAAAATATATCACATTTTATTATTCAGAGGGATGATAAAAAGACAGCATTCATATATGTAGCGGTTGATTCTTTGAGTAGCATCTGATTGAATGAAGTCAATAAAATGTAGCATTATGATCAACTAGTTTAATAATGGGCATTCACCAGGTGTTATATATGTGGTGGGACTGGAAAAGAGTGTTTTTTGATGAGGCAGTTCTATAATACGTTGTTAAATGTTCGTTACCCAAAGTAGCCAACTCAGAGGGGGCGTACTTGGCAACACTGGCAGTGGGAGGCACCAATGGTCGACACTTAATAAGGCAACGTGTCCCTGTGTGTAATGTACACTTAGTGACCTGGTGCAGGCCTGGTGCACATCTCTCTCTCTCTCTCTCTCTCTCTCTCTCTCTCTCTCTCTCTCTCTCTCTCTCTCTCTCTCTCTCTCTCTCTCTCTCTCTCTCTCTCTCTCTCTCTCTCTCTCTCTCTCTCGAGGCTTCTACTGAAGCTAGTCCAAGTTTTACATATAACCCCTCCATGCACTCTGATGAATTCAGTTGAATCCTAAATTGTATAAATTATACCATGTCGCGATAAGGTGGGCGGCTGGGAGAACGAGTCACCTTAGTGCTCCAATTGAGATTAATGATCCCAAATTCACCGAAGGGGCTAGCCAGTGGGGCGCTCTTGCAGGCTCTTCACAGCCGTCAACTTCAAACGGGCCAAATGTGATAACCCCATAGCGGAGAACATTGTCTCAACAATGCTGGAGGCAACTTCTAAGAAGGACAAAGCATGCCAACTTGCTGTACAAGCCCCCCATGCTGGGAACTTCTTGTTGTCTATCCCTAACTCCGCCTTGGGCCCTAAATATTGGTGTTGCCCTGCGCCTTGCCGCCCCACCGGTGTGTCTGGGGCTATGTCGGCAGATCAATAAAGCAGCTATGGTTTTATCTGTTGTAAGTCAGAGGGAAAGATTTCCAGACATGAAGCTAAGCTACAGGTTCAGCACAAAGGGAGCCTCAAATGTGCAGACTTGACAACAGTCACATGTGCTCAAATAGAGATACTATGGAGGGATGGTAAACAGGTTATGTGGGACATTGACTACTACCTATGTACTGTGTAGTAGATCTGAGGATGGTGGGGCTGCCACCTTCAGGGAGCCCCAGAAAATTAATAATTATAGGGATTATAGGGACTACACATAAGGGGCATAACTGGCCGACCCCTCACAGTGTTCAAGAGAGAAGTGGATAAGCACCTCCAAAGGATACCTGGTCAACCAGGCTGTGACTCATACGTCAGGCTGCGAGCAGCCGCGTCCAACAGCCTGGTTGATCAGTCCGGCAACCAGGAGGCCTGGTCGACGACCGGGCCGCGGGGACGCTAAGCCCCGGAAGCATCTCAAGGTAACCTCAAGGTAACCTGCAACGTTGTTAGAGGCTCGTGCCAATAGGCTCTGACAGCCTGAGGCAAATGCGCACATAAGTTCCTAAGAAGGAGGTGGGTGAGGAACCCATTAGGCAAACTAGAGACCCAAGAGCAGCCAATTTCCTTTTCCAGAGCCTCAAGGTCACGATCCAGAGAGGAAATGCCTGCAGGATCATGGGCATGCACCCCCACCTCCGCAGAGCTGAATGACGGGTTACGAAATGATTGCCATATACATGTCTTTTCAATAAACTGTAACGAAATGTAATTAAATATATAAAATAAATAAATCACATTACATATATATGTATAATTCCTTGTGTTTTCCTGGAAGGTTGAGTGAGAAGTGGCACTCACCCCGTTGTTAAGGCACCACATAGATTTCTATCAATTAATCAGTGAGGCACGTGAGAACGGAGGGAAACTGCCTCCGCTGTGTCCGCGTGGCCAGGGGCGACTCCAGCATTCTGAAAGTTGGAACAGCCCTCGGGCGGTGGGCTGAAAATTGCAAGGCTCTGGGGGCGGGTGGGTGACTAACAGTAATATATGTAAAATTAAATTATATATGAATTAAAATGCTCTATGCGCTTATGTAAGATATATGATTGTATATAATTTATTATATTTTGGTATTCTGCAATATATATATATATACTGCTTTATATATAAAGTATATATATACTTTCAAATTCGTTATAGGCTATTCTTGATCTACCAGTTGTTGAATTAAATATTATATATATAGGTTTTCTCCAGTTGCGGGTGAAAGTTGAATGGAAAGCGTTATACACACATTTGAGGGGCGGACAGCCATGCACCCGCGGCGTCCCCATTATATATACTACTGTACTGATTCCGTATATCCCTTTTTATACATAATATATATGCACTAACACATTTATACTAAAGATTATACTCATGCAACATCATACACTTCCATAATAAACGTAAGTGGTTTCTACGTAATATAGATTCAAAAACACATTAACAAACAAGTCAGGTTTAATTGCTGTATTCATTACAGCTTCCAGTTTATAATTAGTCATGGGTCAATATGGGTCAACGTAGCGAGGTAATGTGGTTGTCAGGTTCAGATATGGATGATGAAACACGCTCTATGATTATCATGCAACCCAACAGGAAACAGGAAATATTTCGCCAAGTTTAATTGATTTGCCGGCATTGCAACACATATATGTATGAAGGTGTGGAAGATTAAAGCCTGCCAAACTCTTGGTGGAGACCTAGATAAGCTTAATACACACACACACACACACACACACACACACATACACGAATCAGGTAAATATTTCTTATATTTACCTGAAGAACACGAATCTTCTAAATATTTCTTATATTTTTTCTTCACTGTCGAGGGAAGTTGAAAAATTAGCTCTCCAAAGTTCATTTTCACAATTTATTATGGTTTACATAAATTGTGAAAAAGAACTTTGATGTATTAATTAGCTATTGCACGTAATTACAGAAAGTTATTTCACTTTTCAAGAATCATATTTTAATGGATATGATGTACACGTCATATATAAGCCTTCGATTATGTTAAAACAAAATACGCGATAATTACAATTTAAGTACAAATCTCAATGAAAGAATAATAAAGAGTGTACATAATACCAGGACACATTGACTGTGACTCTAGCAACAATATATACACCCAAAACATAGTTTAATGTTGATGTATAGGCAAAAGTTGGTGTTAAGATTTTAAAGAAACGCCCACTTTGCCGGCCCCATTTTCTTTGAAGCTTATTGATTCTCCTTTACACCCCATAGAAAACCCATTAATGCTAATCTAGGGGTCATTAGTATCATATATGAATTAATCAAGAGCAGGGTATATATTGGAAAGGCGGGAGGGAGGAGAAAGAGAGGGAAAAACAGCGAGGGAAGGAAGACATATTAGGCGAGAGGGTTGGGGCGGCTGCCGCTAGATGGCTCCAGCGGCTCCCAAGTGGGTGGTGAACGGTGCAAATGGCGTGGATGCGGTAGTCGGCGGAAAACTCATCCCATTTCCCCCCTGCTTGCACGCTTTCAGCTATTGCTTTTCCCCAAGAGACCGTTGTGGTGAGTTAAAGGCTGCGGAGAGTGTGAAGTAACCGAGGGGTGGAGAGGAGAGACAGGGAGGATAGATGCGGGTTGGCCGTGGCCCCCGGATGGGTCCCGAGTTTGACAGGTCACCGCTGTTATTGGTTAGTGTGGTGGTGGTGGTTAGTGTGGTGGTGGGGGGTGTTGGGTGGTAGCGGGGCCCCGAGGCACGTCCTTTGGGAGGAGGAGAAAAGATAGAGGGGATCTTGGGAGCAGTTGGTTGGGGGAAAGTGGGATAGTATTGATGATTGTTGTGGTGTTGACCAGGTGGACTGAGTCATCCTGTGGTGATGATTGTTGCGAGGTGGTGATGAGTCGACTATGGGGTGTGGGGATGAGGTTGAGCAGGGGGTATGGACCATAGGGAGGTTGAGAGGGGAGGGGCTGCTGCCCCCCCCTCACATTATTAGGGTGGGGGGCCCCACTGTTGACTAGTCCAGGGTACCTGGATTGTACCTGGGTGGGATTCTGGGGTTTCTTGTACTCCCCGGGCCTGGCTTGGGGAATAGAGGAGAGTTTTCCGGGCTTGACTGAACAGTGTAGTGTTCTCTGGGCCGAGGCTTGCCAAATGTGAGACTCTCATCTTGTCCTCTGCTGTTGGATATCATTTGCCAGTGTTCACTTATAATTCTGTATTGAACATGCATGTTAAGTTAATAGTGCCATATATCATTGAAATGAATTAGTTGGACAAGTAGCTGGAAACTGTGATTAGTTTAAATAACCAAATGACAAGTATAGTATGAGATTGGTTGTTAAGGAGAATTTAAAGTGTTTATTTGGTGGTACATTCAGGATAACATTCAAAATGCTAGAGGAATTTGTATTCAATGCTTGCTTTTTAATGTTTTTTTAAGTGCTAATTACTATTGTTCCTCAATGTTATGTTACATCCTCGGCTTTCTTATGGCAATTATCCTCCGAGACGGTTAATGGTAGTGTTGTTCGTGGAGTGCCATTGAAAATCTGTTGCAGGAAAGCATGAAAACTGATTCTTCTATATTTGGACTAGGTTGTACTAAATGTTAAACCCATTTAGGAGGGCGGGAATTATTAAAAATTCTTATGGTGCTTTGCCGTCCACAATAAATTAGATACTGTACATGAAATCTTGTTTTCATTTGAGGGAGAGACAACATGGGCCATCCAATCCCACACTGCTATACAGTACTGCACATGACCGAACATAACCTAATCTAATGGTGCATCTGCCCTGAAAATATAAGATTCATCTATGGTATATGGCACAGTAGACCTTCAGTTGGCTGTATTGTTTATATACAGCTGTCTTTGAAGTATTGTACACCAAATTGTTGACCAAACCACACATTAGAAGGTGAAGGGACGACGATGTTTCGGTCCGTCCTGGACCATTCTCAAGTCTCGCAATCAATTTGAGAATGGTCCAGGACGGATCGAAACGTCGTCGTCCCTTCACTTTCTAGTGTGTGGTTTGGTCAACATATTTCAGCCACGTTATTGCGACTCCTCGTCTGCGTACACCAAATTGTTTAATAAGGGAATATTTAAAAAAAAAATAAGGGGTTGCCTTACGATGATTTCGGTGCTTAACATCCCCGTGGCCTGGTTCACAACCTAGTCTCCTGGTTGCTGGACTGGTGAAACAGGCTGTTGGATGCGACTGCTCGCAGCCTGACGTATGAGTCACAGCCTGGTTGATCAGGTATTCCTGATTAGGGGGGAATGATTTTATGATGTTGAATCAAGGTAAACCGTGTCAAATGTGGTATGATGGAACTCAAACCAGCAAACCCATTTGGACCGATATTACACTATTCGTAGACTGGACTGAACATTTGTAAAAAAAAGAACTTTTGCATTGATTTTCCATTGTTACTGGAAAGGACGCCTTTTAAAGGTTATCGAGGTCCCCCTAAGGCCATTGACTGACCCTATCTTGAGGTCATTTTGAGAAGATTTCGGGGCTTAGCATCCCCGCGGCCCGGTCCTCAACCAGGCCTCCTTTTTGTTATGCTTCCCCAGGAAGCAGCCCGTAGCAGCTGTCTAACTCCCAGGTACCTATTTACTGCTAGGTAACGGACATCAGGTTGAAAGAAACTGCCCATTTGTTTCCGCCTCCACCGGGGATTGAACGCAGAACCTCATGACTACGAATCCGAGTATCAAGGTTCAAGAATGTATCAAGGTAGCCTCCCTCTAATTCATCCTACAACAGTTGGCAGATACATGGTTTACCAATTTACTGCAAAAGTGAGCAGACATATCGCCTATTGATTCCAAAGATCTATAAAAAATAATATATCCCTAAATATAAAATATAAATATCCCTGCGGCTCGGTCTCTGACCAAGCCTCCTGGTTACTGGTCTGATCAACGAGGCTGTTCGATGCAGCTGCTTGCAGGCTGATGTACGGGTCACAGCCTGGTTGATCGGGTATCCTTTGAAGGTGCTTGTTGAGTTCTCTTTTAAGTACTGCGAGAGGTCGGCCAGTTATGCTCTGTATGTATAGGTGAAGTGTTGAAAAGTCCTTGGCCTTTGATGTTGATACAGTAGTTCTCTCTCGGCATGACTGTTGCCCCTCTGCTTTTCAGTGGGGCTATTTTGCACATCCTGCCATGCCTTTTGATCTTGGGTGGTTTTATTTGTGTGCATATTTGGAAGCAGTCCTTATAATATTTTCCAAGTGTAAATTATGTATCTTTCCTACCCGTGCTCTAGGGAATACATATTTAACATTTTTAAGCAGTTCCAGTAATTTAGATGTTTTATTGAGTGGATTCTAGTGGTAAAAGATCTTTGCATACTCTTCAGGTCAGCATTTTCTCTTGCTTTGAATGGTGCTGTTAATGTGCAACAATATTTCTCTCTAGAGAGCACTAATGTCTTAAAAGTATCATCATTGGCATGGCACAGTATTTTCAAAATACTATATAGCACAGACTACTTAAAACAGTATTCTGATGCTCTCTAATGTTTATATGTTCCAAGGTTGCTCTAATGTGAGTTTGTGTGTGTAATCCAAGGCTGCTCTATTTGCCTAGAGCAACCTTGGAATGTGTATACAGTACTGTATATACAGTATACTCGAGTAACTTTGGAACATATAAATGTTAGAGAGCACAAAGGGCATGTGGGCCCCAGTTTGAGAACCTTTGGATTAGAGGATGAATCTTGAACATTGTAAAAAAGAAAGGTTAGAGAAATGTGATACTGGTAATACCTATGGATTATTTTTTGACCATGGGAACCCTACAGTTAGTCAGCAGTTAGAAATGGCTCAAGTGCCGACAGATTTTTCTCTTACTGGAGGGGAGGTTTACAAAGTGCAAGTACAGTACTGTATTCTATAAAGTAAGGCCTTTCTAACAATGCCAGAAGGAAATTGGTCTGCTGAATGTAGAAGTATAGCAATTTTGTATACTGTATGGGAAATATACATTAATCTTTTTTTTCCCTTTTGTGAAACCAATATTTTATAAGGAAAGCAACTGAGTTTCAGTAGTGCTATTAATATTCCAAAATGTTCCAGTATTATTGTTGTTAATACTTAAGAAAATTGTAGCTTTCTTAATGTCCTCTTTCATGTTGGTGGCTGCAAGGTAATTGTGCAATAGTGTGTTGTATTACTGTATCATGCAACAGGCTCAAGGGGTGTTTGCCCTTTCTGGCCAAGTTGCAACAATCTCGCATCTGTTGACTCTTTCATCTTGCAGTTTTACTAAATACAATTTTGAAGTATTAATTTTTTTCGGTGACATTTAGGAATTTACATTTTCTTTCAGTTGGCTGTTGGTACTGTACTGTTCTGTTGATCTTCAATTATTTTTACCCCCAAAAATTATCATAAATTTTCTTTTAGATTTTTATTTCATTTTATTCTGTTGACATTTTTAATCATGGTTGCAATACTTGGTAATTGATGGATTTATTCTAGTTGAGAACTAAAATAATAATAAACTAAGGCAAATTGTCATCTTTATCAGTCTTGAAAGGGTTGGCATAAGACTAGTACAGTATAAACATAAGGCATCAGCGCAAAGACATGTACTTAAAATGCACTTGCCTGTTTATCAGCCAGTCTCTGTGGTGTGGTAATGGTGTTGAGGGTATATATATATATATATATATTTCTCTTATTACAGCCTTCATAATTGTTATTTTATGAAATGTGTGGAGTTCATGGTTGTAGAGTACAGTGAAGAAATTGTTTTAATAATTATACTGTAATTCATTGGGTTGGGGAAGGAAAGCCTGTTTGTATGTGTGTACTTTAGGCCTGTATTCAGGGTTCCCCCCCCCCCCCCAAGAATGAACTACTTAATTCCCAATGAACAAATCCACAAGGGCCGTGACGAGGATTTGAACCTATGTCTGAGAGCATCCCAGACGCTCGTTAATTGACTGAGCTACGACATGGTAAGAGTTGAAACCCCTTATGCCCTTGTGGATTTGTTCATTTGATGCATCACGCTATTGTGATTTCTGTGTGTACTTAATCCCCGCCCAAGGATGGAACCCTACACCAGTTGCCTAACTCCTGGGGTTACCTATTTACTGCTAGGTGTACAGAGGCATTAAGTGAAGGAAACATGTCAAACCATTTCTGTCTTGCTTGGGAATCAAACCCTGGATCCCCAATTGCGAGTTGAGAACAAAGCCAACTGTGCTAAGAGACCCCATCTTAATGTTATTGGCTTGTGTTTAATGTGTGCTTGAACCAAACGAGTGCTAATGAACTGTTTGCTCACCCATGGGTATTTATTACCCTTAACCAATGTCATCAACTTTTCAACTGTTTATATATGATCTTCACTATACAATATTTTTACTTGTTCAAATGCCGTTTCAGACCCACATCAACAATGCCAGCCGTGCGAGGAGATGGGATGCGAGGCCTTGCGGTCTTCATATCAGATATAAGAAATTGTAAGTACAGTACAGGCATAATTGTATTATTTTACATCAAGTGTGGTTACACACACAAATCAAACATTTAAATGGGGTACACTTGAAGTTCAAGGCATTTGTACTATATCAGATTACAGGTATTAAGCTCGTGATGCACATTTTTTTAAAGTCTATATTTTACCTTTGACAGTTGAATGGTTTCCCAAGCAATTAATGTCATGTAATATTTTAAGTACAGTAATAAAAACTTAGGAGTAATATAATGACTAACACTCAAGTCTTATAATTACCTAAGAATAGTTACAGAATGAAAGCTACGCTCATGGTGTCCCGTCTTCCTAGTACTGTCATATGATGCTTTGAAACTACTGATGGTTTTGGCATCCACCACCACCTTACTTTTAACTTGTTTCGACCATCTATCACTGTTTGCAAAATAGAACTTTGTGATATTTGTTCAACAGCTTCGTTTCCTTAGCTCCGGTCTATGACCTTTTGTTCTTGAAGATGCAGGTTTCAGGAATTCTCCTTTGTCAATTTTATCATATGGTCTGGGAAGGATGTGCATGATTGTTTGAATTTTATAATTAGTATAATAATTCATTGAGTTGGGCGACAGGAAGCTAAAGTTTATTTACAAGTTAGGCTTATATCAAGGTCCACCCTCAAACCCAAAGGTCAGATTACTGACCCTGCCCAGGATGCAACCCCGCAAGAAGGTGACTTAACTCCCGAGTACTGTACCTACTTACTGCAAGGTGAATATAGGCATTGGGTGAAAGGAAATGTGCCCAACCATTTGTCCCACCTGGGATTTGACCCTGGAATTCTTGATTGTGTGTGGAGAACAAACCCGACTGTATTTTCCAGTCCCATTTTTTTTTAATTAGAAAAAATAATGAACTACAGTAATAATTATTTTTTAATTAGTGTTGGACTAGGGTATAAAAGTTAATTTTCTCAGTAAGGGGTACATACTACTTGGGTATATGGGGCTTGGTAATTATTTATAATAAATTTTAACTTTTTTTAATTGAGCACACTTAAAATATGTTGTATATAAACATGTTAAGAAAGCTCTCTCTCTTTCAGTTGAATTATAAAAGACATTATGTAAAACAGGTGAATTTGCAGCTATTGTAAAGTATGTAACAGATCTTGGTAGAGGAGAACAGAAAGGGCTGACAACAGTGTAGAGAAACTTCCAAAACAAATGTAAATTTTATTTGTAGGTGAAGTTTCACCTATAAGGGAGATTTGAAAAAAAGCTTGTACAGTCAAAATATTTAGAGATCAAATTTACTCTAGTTTGTTAAAGTTGCGGATGTTAATTGAGTATAACACGTTGGCTGTTTAATATATGCGTCAGCGTGTGTGTGTGATCATTGAAACATCACGTATAGTATTATGGAAAACAATGACAAACAGCTTTTCATTTTGTATTTATTGAGGATTTGGTCAAGATTTTGGTTGTAAATTAATTTTTCCAATTCAAATGAGAATACCCATTTGCAGATGCTGTTTATCTTTGGGTATTTGTAAAGTGACATGTGAAACCTTTGAACTGTGCACCACTATTTGGAGTATACATTTGTCAAAATATAAAAAGTGACTTGATAATTTCATCATGTTATTCCATACTTATGGGAGACCATTTCCTTCCAAGGTTCCCTAAATTATGCCACTATTCAAGTATATTTCTATTCAAGTACACAATAAAAATGATAGCAAAATTTAAATTCTTTGGCTTTTGGAAGGTCTTGTAAGTAGAAATGGGTATGCCTACTACCTTGGACTTAGTCCAGCTTTGGGAATGCAAATGTAAAAATACTGTACAATACTTTGCTTTGTGAATGTTCAAAATACATATTGGTGGTTCTTGTATATTGGCAATCTACTTGTGTGTTGCAGGGAAGGAATTTGTAAATATTTTGGAGATTTTTCATGTATATGGTATGATTGATATACTGTACCAATATTTTGGGCACACACAATTATCCAATTTAGATTCAGATTGAGGCTGGAAAAATGTCAAGTTATATGACAAATTGGCTAATGAGTCACTTGATGATTTCACATCATATAACTTCCCATTGTTGGGGACAGAAAGCCCATTGTCTTATCATGGTCACCCTACACCTATGACCGACCACCTTCAGGTTGCAACCAACAGCAATTGCCTAACTCCTGGATGCCTGTTTAATGCTAAGTGTAAGAAAATCTGCTCAAATGACTTCTCCTGCATAGGCATCAAACTTGTAATTGTTAGCAAAGCATGCTGACCACTGCAAATGCTTAATAAGAAAAATACAAACTATAGTGCCTATATAAATATAGTGCCATAATTTAAGGAATCTTAGAAGGAAATGGTCTCATTTCCATTTGAGAATCATAGGATATAATTATCAAGTGACTTTATATTTTCACAATGTGCATAATGTGTACACTATTATGATTTTACACAAATGCAGATGGGGGTATCCAGTAACTTGTTAACCCTATTGTTGCACACAATCAACGGTGTAAATAACGGTATAAGTGATTGGGTACTTTGTAGTTTTATTTCTCTAGTTAAATTGAACGAATACTGTATCTTGAAATATATTCTTAATGTAGCAGCGAGTTCTTATTTCATTTTTTCTCTCTCTCGTCTCAAGAAACTACACTATTCTGTATAATTTTCAGGTAAAAGCAAGGAAGCAGAAGTAAAACGTATCAACAAAGAACTTGCGAACATTCGGTCCAAGTTCAAAGGTGACAAGACACTAGATGGTTACCAGAAGAAAAAGTATGTGTGTAAGCTGCTCTTCATCTTCCTGCTTGGCCATGACATTGACTTTGGCCACATGGAAGCAGTTAATCTTCTGTCTTCCAATAAATACACAGAGAAACAGATTGTAAGTCTTGGATTCATATCGCAAATATTTGATTCATAGCAGTTTTTGTACTTACGATTATTTCCTTGATGTATTGTGAATACCAGGTTTTGAAATGGTTTATTTTATAGCTAAGCCAATATCATAACATTGTAAAAACATATATTTTTCAATAGAGTATTGGACTTTTCACACATAAGACGCTGTATTGTTAACACTTGACATGGTTATTATTTTACATAGGCTATAATGCACTGATTATGTAAATATTAATTACTGTATCTTTGTTTGCCTTATCAGCCATTGATAATTACAAAAGTCCTATCCCAGGCATATTAAAATGTTATCTTTGCTTGTATATGGCATATTTTTTATAAGATACAGTGGTATACAATAGTAATCAAGGTTTTGTTCTCATTCTCTAGGGTTATTTATTCATATCAGTGCTGGTGAACACAAACAGCGATCTCATAAAGCTGATTGTCCAGAGCATCAAGAACGACCTTGGCTCGCGTAATCCAGTACATGTTAACCTGGCCCTGCAGTGTATTGCAAACATTGGCTCGAAGGAGATGGCAGATGCGTTTGGCTCGGACATTCCAAAATTACTGGTATCAGGGTAAGTTGATGGCACTTTTGTGTTAACGGCTGTTTCTTAGCCTGTATTTCTTATAAATGCTGGTGGAATATAGGGATTCTGCAGGCGGTGAGAAAAGTCTCCAAAAGTGTTAAGAATCCACAGATGCCACAACTCCATTTGTTGCCATTAATTTAGCAGTAATTGGGAACCTAGATAGGTTGATCCTGTTTTCTTGGAAAAACAAATGAGGTTTTAAATGTTTTGGTGCGATAAGTGGGAATGCCTGTTTCATGAAAAGGTATCCTACAGTATGATGGGTAAGTTTTACCAAAGACTTGTAAATAATAGTTTCAATATCTTGTAACATTTGTGCAGACATCTTTCCTTTTATAACAGGAATTTGGGCCTGGTAGCTACTCTTGTTTGGCTGAGAGAGAGAATAAAATGTTGTTCACTTCAGAAATATGTAGTATACCCGTCAGTACACTAATATCTTTTCTCGGTTCAAGACTGTCTCCATTATAAGTGTTATTATGATTAATGGAAATATGAGGAAAGTATTGTTTTCATGTTGAAACTAGAGTTTCACACTATTCCCACATGCTTTCGGGCTCTGTCAGTCATTAGTTCTACCTCTTTTGTTTTTTGTTTTTTCACATTCAGTATTTTCCCAGCCACTTTGATCAGTGCAGCAATAGCCTTGCTTCTTGTAGGTCGGTGTTTGATCCCCGATGGTTCAAGTTTTTGGGAATGGTTCCTTCTCACCATTTTATAACAGATCCTTGTCCTCATATCACTTCCAAATGCTATAAAGCCATACTTAGGCTGAACGGTAGAGTGACGGTCTCGCTTCATGCAGGGCGACGTTCAATCTCCGACTGTCCAAGTGGTTTAGCACCATTCCTTTCCCCTGTCCCATCCCAAATCGTAATCCTGATCTCTTAACAGTGCTATATAGTCGTAATGACTTGGCACTTTCCCTTGATAACTCCCTTCCTCCCTCCCTCTTCATAATTACCTTACCTTGTACAGTATTTATAAAGTTATTGTCTTGTGAACAGTTAAAGTGCCAAATGTTCAAAACAGCCTGGTATTGAATATTTGGACCATATTTTCTATTAGAAAATAGAAATCGCTGGTAATTTTCAAACAATGTTTGGTAAAATGATTAAAATCAAATTAAAATTGTTAAGCCCTATTTAGACTTATGGCCAAAGTATTAAAAGGGGCTGTGGTAGGAGACAGGAAATGCCCAGCCTGCAAACATAAATTCAAATTTTTTTCTTGTACTCTCTATATTAAAAAAAATATATATTTATATATTGTAATGAAGTATATATATATTTTATCATTTGAAGACTTTACCAAGACAAAATTCCCCCACTCAATAGTGCACAATTAGATTTATATGAAGGCTGGCTATAATGTTAAAGGATAAAGTAATAAAGCATGTGTGTACATTATTTGTGTGTGAATTGAGGTTCCCGTCGAATTGGTCTGCGATAAGGTTGTGCAGAAGCTTCAGTTATTCCTCATGATTTACGATAGGAAGGAGGATGGTAAAACAGGTGACCTACAAAGGTCATCTATTGTCTGGGATTAGAAAACTATTGAGTTTGAGGTCACTTTATATACTATACAGCCAACGAATACCTGAGGAAATGACTTAAAAGTTCACTAACTTTTAATCGTGTATTTATTTATGGATAGATGACCAGAGGCATAATGTAAGGAAATGTGCCCTTATGTTTTGCCCTGGCTGGGAATTTAACTCTGGATCTATTAGTCTTCCCTTTCCTCTGCACACAGTTTAAAATGAGACAAATTTTGTACGAAAGGAAGAAGTCTTTGAGGGGTATACCAACAGTTTTCCTAATTGGAATTTGTCATCAGTCTAGGTTCAGTAGGAAGGAACTTATGCTTCAGGCAGTCCACATAATATGAACCATTTTGATTTTACAGTGAAACGATGGATGTAGTGAAACAATCTGCCGCTCTCTGCCTTTTGCGTTTGTTTCGAACAACTCAAGAAATTATTCCTGGTGGAGAATGGACATCTCGTATCATTCACCTGCTCAATGATCAACACATGGGTGTGGTGACGGCAGCATGCTCTCTTATTGAAGCCTTAGTTAAGAAAAATCCAGATGAATATAAGGGTTGTGTATCTCTTGCAGTTTCTAGACTTTCCAGAGTAAGTGTTTCCTAAGGCTACAAATACTTTAAATATATTTTATATGGGTAATTGTGACTTGGTTATATAGTACTGTATAATTGCAAAAATGTAAATAAATAAATACTGTATATAAATAATAATAAATACACACTCGCATACTAATTCATAGTGATGTGGAATTAAGGGTCGTTATGTATGAAAAAGGGTCACTTATTATTCGATAGATTGATATAGCGTTTTCTTGATAAGCCTTGTGACGGTATTTGAGATGGTTATGGTGAAGAGGGAGAAAGTGCTTTAATCTAAGCAAGTATTGATTTAGACATGTTTTAGAAAATTAATGTTGATTAATGTGTTGTTTACTGAACCACACAAACATTTTTTTAACTGGGGAGTTGTGATCTTTTGCTAGTATATTTAGATATTTCTTGAACATGGATATTCTACTGCTTGCTGAGGCAGTTATCTGCTGTAAATTACAAAAATCTGTGTCAGGCAAGAAGGCATGGCACTGGCACCATGAGGGATATGCTATCCTGTATCCCTGTATGATTGTATAAAGATGCTAAGGTATCACCAAAGTGTCACTATTCTAGAAAAACAAAACTATACTGTAAAGCCAAGCTTAAACCTTACAGTCCATAGTGACATCACATGCATCTTCAGAATGGGTTTCTGGAAAAAGCCATATGCAAACAAATTTATAAATTCCAGGGGTTTATTGGCTCTACTGGCAATAATTGAAGTTCTGGTGGAGCCGTTCTGTGTGTGTGTGAATTGGAACTTACCCAGATAGTACTATTCTAACCCATAATACAAAAGTGATAATATTTATAGTATCTGTTGGTTGAACGTACAAAAATTTAACTGTTGCATCTTGAAAGTTCACGCTTTGCACTATTAATTTTGTAGAGGGCACAAGAAAAGCAACAATTCTTAACTTTCTTCGGCCTAGTACACTGCATGTATGTACTAAATTATACCCAAGATAGGTATAATAATAAGTGGAGCCGGTCGGCCGAGCGGACAGGGCACTGGACTTGTGGTCCTGGGTTCGATTCCAGGCGCCGGCGAGAAACAATGGGCAGAGTTTTTCACCCTATGCCCCTGTTACCTAGCAGTAAAATAGGTACCTGGGTGTTAGTCAGCTGTCACGGGCTGCTTCCTGGGGGTGGAGGCCTGGTCGAGGACCGGGCCGCGGGGACACTAAAAAGCCCTGAAATCATCTCGAGATAACCTCAAGATAAGATGGCAAATATTAGGTCTTGGCAGGGTAGGTTAGGTTGAATGGTTACTGTTCCACTATTTTGGCATGCCATTTAGTTTTCTTATAGTACAAAACATAAACATTAGTAATATACTACTAGTACATTGAACCAATAGTTGCTGTATTTTCCGAAAATTAATACTGTACTATCATATTCGGAGAATAGGTTACCTCTTCATAATATAGCCAAATACAGTACAGTAAAGGTATGTTTTACAGTACTGTAGGTATATCGATGAATAAATATCCTTCAGTGGAATGGGGATAAGTTTGGCTTAATGAGGGTACCAGTCATGTGGGTCTGAAAATGGCCAAGATAAGATCTCTCTAATAAATATAAAGTGAATTGGCTTCCCACAATACTGTATAACATTTTTTAGATAAGACTTGGGGTTTCAGCATGGCTAAGTTAAAAGCCTCTAAAAAGATATGATAAATATTTGCATAATGAAATTTGGCCCATATCTCCTTAAATACTGGTTTTAAGTTAATTAAAAAGTGTGATGAAGTAATTTGGGTCATGGGAAAATCAAGTTTTCTTATTTTGAAAAACAATGTATGATTTTTGATGACTAGACCACACACTAGAAGGTGAAGGGACGACGACGTTTCGGTCCGTCCTGGACCATTCTCAAGTCGATTGTCTTGAATGGTCCAGGACGGACCGAAACGTCGTCGTCCCTTCACCTTCTAGTGTGTGGTCTGGTCAACATACTTTAGCCACGTTATTGTGACTCATCGCCTGCAATGTATGATTTGTTTTAATTTAGAGTTTCTTGTAGTATTGTTCACCAGGTTAGGTAAAGCTTTACCTTTGGATAATATGGTTGGGCTTTCACAGGGGATGAGGGTGAAATGTCAGTTTAATTAGGTTCTGGTAGATATCATATGATAGGTTGGAATTAATAACTAATAACCCATTGAGCATGCAAAATAGATGGTATCAGTGCTCTCCTTTAATGTTGCTTAGAATACATTTTTAAGGAACTTCATAGATGAATAGAGTTGGAGCCATCAAGCACACATGTATTTAGAACAAAATTCTATGGTTGGTTTTTCATACGAGTCTACTGTTTTTACTCACCATTATGCATTGACAGTTGAAAAGCCTTTATTGGCAGGTCTATGGGGAAAGTACAGAGTAGGGTGAAAAACTGTACAATCAGGTTTTACTTGCTATTCGCTGTCATGTGAGGAGTTTAAATCAAAACTTTGTGTAATTGAACATGGGGAAAAGTGCAAAAATTCAATGTTTTATCATGTTTTTTTAAGCTCTAAATGCATCATGTATACAGTATATTGTGCAAAAAAAATCACAGATCTCTTCTATCATGTTCTATAAGAATATTCTAAATATTTTGGTGATAAACAACAAATACACTAAACTCCGACTTGTAATAGATTCGGTCTAATCCATATGTACAGTACTGTACTAGAAAACAAGTTTGTGCACATTTTGTTAGCAAAATCACATGAAAATGTTTTCAAGTACTTTACCGACTCTCTTTATGAAGCTTTTTGACCTCAAATTAAATTTCAGAAAATGCATGGGCTTGCTCCTTTGAAAGACTCTTGTTATTCCATTAAAGCAATACTAGTCATTATACTGGAACAAACTCATGTTGCATCTGCATATCCTGTATACAGATTTCCATTATAGTGATAGTCCAGTGTACAGTAAAAAATGTGCAAACTATGTATACAACCAAGCTAAGGTTGTAGCAGTTGGGTCTGGTACTAGTACTGTATTCCATATATGTAAGGGTAGCCCATTGTATCATGTGCTCCTGATTTGTGTTAATCACTGCATTGGTATGATTGGGGAGAAAACTACACAAGGCTTTATTCGGTCTCCTTAAAGAAGAAACGTTTCCAAAATACAGTAGCAGTTAATTGGTTTAGTAAAGGCTTGTAGGAGCAGAGTACTGTATGATAAATTCCTGGAAGAATATGTGCAGTAGTGCATAGAGATTAGGTACACTGTACTGTTACAGGCAAGAAGTACTTAACACTTTCGCGCTTTAGATTAGAGATAACTCGTCGCCGTTTTTTCTTAAGATTCCGCATAACAGCCTACTTTTCTCGTCCATCGAAAAAATATTTCTATAAATTCCATTTTTTAACCGAAATGGATGGGGATACTTTTGTTTTGTAGAGAATTTATTTGCGAATTTTTTGGTACCAGAATGAATATTATATCATATAAACTTCTATGTTTGGGGGTGTGGCGAGCGTGTGGCAGTGGGTTCCCTTTAGCCGTTGATATATCCAACACGTGGGAAATATTTGTATGTGTTATGTATATGTCTGTGTAGGGAATTTTACTGCGATCACTGTCATACAAATTATAAAATGTTTCAACAAGTATAAACATGACAAACATCAAACGAACGAAAACAATGCGTTCGTTTCTGCCGCGAACGCATACTGAGCGACGTGGTTCTATATTTGGCGCTTCTCTTACACATGCTTTGTACAAATGTTATACAGTTCATCTTATAGAAAATTTTATTGCGAACACATTGGTATAAAAAAGAAATACGTACATAGAAAAGTAGGGTCAGGAAATGTATAAACTTTCCAAGCATGATTTCCCCCCTGTGTTTTCGCCAGTGCGCTCGCGGCTAACTACTCTCCACTTCACACACTCTTGCGGGTGGGCAATTACCTATATTAAACATTCATATGCATATGTCCGTGTAGAGAATTTTATTGTGATTCCAATGATACCAAAATTAGCGATGTAGGACAACTGTAGGCTTCGCAACCATTAAGAGAGTGGAAACATTTTGTTGCTGTTTGGCGCTCTCAGCGAGTGATCTGCATAGTTTTTTATTTGGTGTTGATACTCCTTATGCTTGGGCGGCATTTTATAGGTATGCTCTTATAGACAATTTCATTGCGAACACAGTGATACCAAATTTAAATACGTGCGCCTTCAATTATTGTCAGGACAGTCAAAAGAGTGTACACTTTTTCGGTCTTACCGCGTAGGCGCGAGAAGTGCCGAAAGCATCTGGGGTATTGTTTTTTTTTGAGCGCCGAGAGCGCGAAAGTGTTAATTAGCCTCTCGGGTTGGGTAGCCTTGACCCTGTGTGGTCGTCAAGCATCCAGATGTTGGGTTAATTGACAGGAGAATAAACTTCATTTAGCAATACATGTATTTGTTCCCATTTCTGTTTTTATCCGCATATGAAATTTTGCGGTCTAGACATGCTTAATTAACGTTAAATGAGTTATACGTGAGGTTGAGGCAAAGACCACAGTAGGAAGAGTATTGTAAAGATGAGTTAAAGAACAGTAGATGAATACTGTAGTCACTAAGGTGTGTGGAGGTGAAATTCTTACACGAACTGAAATTATTTCAAACCTTTTGGGCAGTGAAAGTCATTGACTTTTGACAAATTCATTTTAGACGATTAAATTATATTTTCTGCATCTTCCTGTTTGCTTTCTTGTTGGCAAGAAAAGTTGTGTGATTATTAATAAGCAAAAGTATCCCAAATAAACATTTACTATATTTACAACTCTTTACTGCAGATAGTAACAGCAAGCTACACAGATTTGCAAGATTATACGTACTACTTTGTTCCTGCCCCTTGGTTATCAGTGAAGCTTCTCCGGCTCCTCCAGCACTATCCACCACCCGAAGACCCAGGAGTTCGGGGTCGACTCAATGAATGCCTTGACACCATCCTCAATAAAGCTCAGGAACCACCCAAGTCTAAAAAAGTAAGAGAATAGATAGGAGAGATCATTTTCATTGGGGATCCTTGTTCATTTATGAGTTCTGTAGAGAGAATACCGTCTTGCACCTTACAGTAAACATGACCTATCTTTGTTTTTTGGCCACTTCCATTTCACCTGAAAACCATTTCATGTGGTGCCTGATTATCCATTACTTATTTTAAGTTTTAAAATACTTTAGGAATGGTTTTGTTTGAAAGACAAAATTGCATAAAGTAAATATGGCTATTAGATTAGGGTTGTATAAAACCAAATTGATTGCTATGTTTCAATGTATTTTACAGCAGGCATGTCAAACATACGGCCCATAGGTTGCATGTGGCCCTTTGCAAGCACACAACATACGCACATATAACATATGTACTGCTAAATAAAAACAAACTATCCCCACAAAACTTAACCTCTACAAGTTTAGAATGTGCTGCTCTTATTTTCTCAGGTTCAACACTCCAATGCAAAGAATGCTGTGCTCTTTGAAGCTATAAGTATTATTATTCACTCAGACAGGTAAGCGTTTTAATCAAATATACTGTTTATTCAATATAATTAAATATCCATCACCTGACATTACTAAGAACTCTCCAACATCAAAGTCTACTCTACTGTACATATATTGGAATTTAGATTATGCAAATTTTACTCAATTTGTTTAGAATTGCTTAATTCTTTTTTTACATTAACAGTGAGCCAAACTTACTGGTGCGAGCTTGTAATCAGTTGGGTCAATTTCTCTCTCATCGTGAGACTAATCTTCGGTACCTTGCTCTGGAGACCATGTGTCTTCTGGCCACCTCTGAGTTCTCCCATGAAGCTGTCAAGAAACACCAAGAAACTGTCATCAATGCTCTCAAGGTAAGAATATTCGACTGACACATTTAGACGTGCATCTTCCATGTGATCATAAGCTTTACATTATTATTTTAAGGTGATATATGATGTACAGGGTAGCTGTATTTACAAACATTTTGAAGTGTTATATACATTAAACTAAAGTTTAATGTCTTTCCATTTAATTATTTCTAATACAAACTTTAACATTCTGTACATCAGTAAGAACAAATGTTTTTTTTAAGTAAACATAAAAATCCACATAAGGCACATTCTTAATTTTTTTCCAATCATGCAAAAGGAAGTAGCAGGTTAAAGGAGACTAAATACAATACAGGTATATTAACAAAAAAATGGAGGGGGATTTAAATTGTGTACGATTTGCTATACTGTACTACAATGTCTGGATGCTTGTGATGGTATTATAGACAGTGACTGGATGTATAAGAAAAAAACACTACATATTTGAAATAATTGAAATTTAAGCAGTTGTTTGAAGGATCAGTGGACCTACTGGAGCCTTTGGTGACTTCCCAATTATTCGTGCAGTTGAGATTTTCAGGTGTCAGGTTGCTGTGTATTAAGGTTCTATTGGTGTTAATATACAGTAGTGTGTAGCTCTACTGTCAAGTTGAATACATAGAGTATTGTAATATTAAAGAATTTGAAAAAATTGGGCATTAGATATACACATGGGGAGCTGGTCGGCCAAGCGGACAGCACGCGGGACTTGTGATCCTGTGGTCCTTGGTTCGATCCCAGGCACCGGCGAGAAACAATGGGCAGAGTTTCTTTAACCCTATGCCCCTGTTACCTAGCAGTAAATTAGGTACCTGGGTGTTAGTCAGCTGTCACAGGCTGCTTCCTGGGGGTGGAGGCCTGGTCGAGGACTGGGCCGCGGGGACACTAAAAGCAGCCCCGAAATCATCTCAAGATAACCTCAAGATACGGTATTTAAGAAAGCTCCTGTTTCTGTTGAACAGGCAACTGCCCCCTAAGGCAAGATTCTGCTAGTCTCTTAGACAGTAAAATAGTCTTAAAACAAGTCAGTATTCCATTCTAGCACTGTAGAGATCTTCTTGAATTGAGATTGAATCCAATCTGGAATGACTTAAAGGTCCATTCGGATGAACACACAATACATTCCAAACACTATTTTGCATAGAACTGGCAAGTAACTCACAGTACTGTAATTTGTTGTTTGGCTGTGTACTTGGATGACTGCCAGGTGGCAGCAAAGACATGTAAACAGGGTTTCTCTAACTTGGTCCACCTCATATTATACCTGACACAAACCTATAAAGCACAGCATAAGTAGGAAAGGCAGGGTGGCATTGGAAACAACAGTGTTTTCAGCTAAAAAAAAAGAGGGCTTATATTATACATTGAGTCCAAATTTTCAGCTGCACCACTTTGTTGCTGTCTTAATCAAGAGTTGGGCTAGAAGGCTAGAAACTATAATAAACACATGAGACTACTCATCTGTGCTGCACAGAGTGGTACCTGGTGGAGCTACTGTACGAAGAACTAGAAAGGTCTAGGCAGCTTTGCTAGAGCAGCCCAATAAGGTGTGGTGGTGTTGGACTAGCTGTTGAGCAATGACATGCCAAGTGAGAAAATTTATTAGAAAAGGAATAGACACAAAGGTACCTATTACTAATGCTTTTGGAGCACAAGACATGACTAGAAAGTCTGCCAGACTGCCAGATATTTCTGACAAGAGGATGCGGCTCGGTTTTGGTGACATCACTTGTTCTTTGTAAAGATGGGTGGTAGATTCCTTCTAGAAACTAGTCTCAATGAAGATCATTAGAGTTACTGGAAATGTTGATGTTACCTCCAAAGGATACCTGATCAACCAGGCTGTGACTCATACGTCAGGCTGCGAGTAGCCGCGTCCAACAGCCTGGTTGATCAGTCCAGCAACCAGGAGGCCTGGACGACGACCGGGCCGCGGGGACGCTAAGCCCCGGAAGCACCTCAAGGTAACCAAGGTATACCAATGTCCCGTCTGCTGTGTGAGGAATGTGACAGGTAAAGGGAATGCGTTGGGGTATCTGGAGAGCAGGGTTGGAAATCAGGACTGACCCAGTCACGAGGAAACTTAAGATCGTATAACCAATAGAGATCACCTGCTTGAAATGAATTGGCATTAATGGGCTTTGCAGGACAAAGTCCTCCACTGGTTGTGGTTCAGATGCAGTGCCCATGGTTTGCAACCATGGAACAGAGCCACATTTACAGGTAGCTTGTGGTTCCTCACTTTTTTCTAAAATTGAGGTGGTGCAGAATCCACAGTTCAGTTTAAAGGCATTTTCTGATTTATGCATTAGTACCTTGGTTTGTTTTATTTTATTGTGTAAAGGAAGAGTTAAGTGATTAGTGTTTAAAATGTCTTGAAGTGTACTAAAGGTGTTGACATTTCTGCAATTTTCTATAAAGCATGTATTTATACACTTGTTGCATATTAAGTTATGTATTTTCCATTGAATGAGGAGGAAACCATTGTGTGCAGTTTGTGTAATGTTATCCGTACATGATTTTCAGAAATGATGAGGAAAATATTTATTTTATTGTATTCTTATTTTACATGCAATTGCTTGTACGTACAGTAATACAAGCTATACAGTAAGAGTTATTTTTTCTCGTCTTTCCAGACAGAGCGAGATGTAAGTGTACGTCAAAGAGCTGTGGATCTGCTATATGCCATGTGTGACAGAAGCAATGCTGAAGAGATTGTGCAAGAAATGCTCAACTATTTAGAAACTGCAGATTATTCTATTCGTGAAGAGATGGTATGTGTTTCTAGCTTCAGTGTATCTAAAACTTTTTTTTTTCTTTTTGCACACTGATTAGTTTTGGCTAGAGAACCACTTCTGATTTGACAGTTCATACAAAAAATACTCAATATTCACTGAATTATTTTAGTGGACTAAATGTAAATTTTGTGTTAATGTGGCAGCTGTTGATTGGAATTGTTTTCACATTTAGTGGAACTTCCTCTAAATGCTGGAAGATCACAGCAGTTTTTTCCTTCAACTAGTTCCTAACACATTGAAACTTTCTTCCAATACAACATTCTTATTTATTTTAAAATATATTTTGGAAAAATATATGCAGTACTGTATATGTAATTTGTTATTGTTCAAATTGTTACAAATTTGTTATAAGGATGTTAACATTTCTTAGGTGCTAAAAGTGGCCATCCTGGCGGAGAAGTATGCCCAGGACTACACGTGGTATGTTGACGTCATTCTGAACCTCATTCGTATTGCGGGTGACTACGTATCGGAGGAAGTGTGGTACCGTGTCATACAGATAGTCGTCAATAGAGAGGATGTCCAAGGTTATGCTGCGAAGACTGTTTTTGAGGTAAGTGTAAATTGCTTTCACTTTGGAACTACAAAATGATATGTTAGTGAAATAATAACTGTACACCATTGTATTCTTTTCATTCAAACCTCTGCATGTGTTTATTAATCTTGGTTATTACTGGTATCTTGGAATAATTGATCTAGAGATCTCGAATATAGATTTCCATTTATTAGGAATGGTATTCTAATGGTATCTAGTTTACATATTTTGTTAGATATTATCTATTCATGGTGATGGATGAATGAGATGAGACAGGATGATGTGTGAGAGATGGAGGCAAGAATAATTTAAAAAGCCCTACATAAGGTGCTGCTGCATGGTAGGCTCACTATTGTTGTGAATTTCTGGATGCTGTGAATATATTCCATAAACAGAATCTGATTGTTGTGTTTGTTTACAGGCATTGCAAGCTCCAGCCTGTCACGAAAACATGGTCAAAGTTGGGGGTTACATCTTAGGTGAATTTGGCAATTTGATTGCTGGTGATTCTAGATCTGCCCCAGCTGTTCAGTTCCAGCTTCTACACTCTAAGGTAAAGCTCAAGACATACCTTGAGATGTTTTCGGGGCTTAGCGTCCCCGCGGCCCGGTCGTCGACCAGGCCTCCAAGGCATTGTGACTGTGACTAATAATTTGTTACCTCACTTGGTTATTGTTACAAAAAAAAGTACAATATGACTACTGCTTTATTATTTTCAATGTTATTTTGCCTAGTGCTGTTTTTTTTCATTACATTTCTTTTATTACAGTATCACCTATGTTCTGCAGCAACCCGTGCTCTACTACTCACAACGTACATAAAGTTCATCAACCTTTTCCCAGAGATCAAGTCACAAATTCAAGATGTTCTTAAGTCAAATTCTAACCTAAGGTCATCTGATGCAGAGTTGCAGCAGAGAGCATCAGAATACCTCCATCTTTCTGTGACCACCACCACTGATGTTTTGGTAAAGCATCGTCATCAGACTCTTATGAACTTATAATTTTACATCCAATAATAATTTAATATTCAAAAGTACTTTTAGAATGTTCAGTACTGTACTGTAGGTTATGTTAAATATCTTGAAAGGTATACTTAAATTTGCTACTTTGCTAAATCGCTTGACTATAAACTGCTCATTAACTCTCAGGCCACAGTATTAGAAGAGATGCCACCATTCACTGAAAAGGAGTCATCCATCTTGGCAGTATTGAAGAAGAAAAGTGGTCGGATGTCGGCTCAAGAGGCTCAGAGAGAAGCTCGGGTGCAGGCGCGGGAAGGTAATGCAGCACCAGGAACTGAAAAAGCCCAAAATGCTCAGGTACATTCTTATGACATATTTCACTATGCAGAGATTTTGAGATTTTTTTTATACATAAATTTATTTCAAATAGAAAAGTTAAGTTTATGGGGTGAAGAGTTCCACTTAACTACCCATAAGTTTTAGTACCTTGAGGAATACACTACAAATATGTGAACTAGTTGTAATGAAGGTAGAATCTCGACTGCTTAGGGTTTTTGAGAATTTCTGATTTTTCAGTAATTTTTTTTTGTACTGGAGCACAGCTGACTTGGTGTCAGCCTTGATACTTTATATATTTAAGATACATGCTCAATTGGTAAGTTGATTGATCACTACATATTTCTGTACTCCATAGCAAGAGCCATAGAACTGCATGATAAGATGTTGAACAAGTGTAACTATTTTCAGGCAGTTATTTGTCTGGCTTTCTATGAAAATTTGTTTATGGCAACTTAAAGCTGTTATTTCATAGCTTTTTTTGGGGCTGTATAAATATGGCTAACTAGCTTGCTTAAAAATTAGTCACTAAGACTAATTTTGTGATAGCTCGGCTAAGACGTTTGGAACTCGAGAACACTTCAATACTGTGTACAGTACTTTTTTTGACAAAGTACTAACCCCAAGATAAGAGCTTATGTCATATGACATATTTTGCTAAAAATTTAAGGACATTGGATTTTGCTTATAATTCTTGATAATTATCAAAATTTGATGCCTCTAGATATTATTACCTAAGAAAATGATAAATTTGTGCTGTACTGTTTTCATTATATAATGATATAGATTATTGGTGTATGCAAATTTTAATTAAAATACAATTAAACTGATATTAAGTGAAGACCTACACAAATGTTTAACTTTGGTATGTTGAACAACTATAATGCATAAATATTATCAGTTTCTGGAAGGGTCCCCTCAGTTGTTCGTAGGGTTAAGCTGTGGTCCAGCCAAGCATTAGGCACAAGCACCAGGCCTCCGAGACCCACCTTTACCTACCGGGAGCCAGGATCAAAATTTGCCTCTTTATAAATCGTGGTGCTTTTAGTGACGATCTGTCCGAAAACAAGGAAAACTTTCTCGACTAGCATAGCAAAACTAGCAACTGATTAAAGAAAATTAGGTACAATCAGGCACAAGCAGAGAACACTATATAAACATCAGAGCTCCACGGTTGTTCAACATCCTCCCAGCAAGCATAAGAAATATTGCCGGAACAACTGTGGACATCTTCGAGAGAAAACTAGATAATTTTCTCCAAGGAGTGCCTGACCAACCGGGCTGTGGTGGATATGTGGGCCTGCGGGCCGCTGCAAGCAACAGCCCAGTGAACCAAACTCTCACTAGTCAAACCTGGCCTCGGGCTGGGCTTGGGGAGTGGAAGAACTCCCAGAACCCCATCAAGCAGGTACCTGAAGGTAAAGTTGCAGAGGATTATTGTTGTTGTGTAGATACTGTAATTGTGATGCTCCTATCTGCTATCAAGTGGCAGCCCAGTCCATCCTGGGTTTCTGTCAGCCAGCCCCCCTCTCTCAAGTAAATACTGTAGCATCACATCATACAAGACAGTGTGTATGATGCATTCCCAGCTGGACAAACCAAGCAGCAATGACAAATAAATTCTCTTGGATTGTCATTTACTTTTGGCCAAAAAACAGTGGAGAAAGTTGAAGGCAAAGAAATCCATGATCTGGCTTGAAAACATAAAACATCTCTTCTCTCATTGGGAGTGTAGTTTCCCAGCCTAATAGCCAGAGCCAGAAGAAAAGCTGCCTTAAATAAGTGGCATCGACCAAGGAAGAAACCTGAAAGCAAGAAGATTAAGTAGGCTCGAGAAAAGTGAGAGCCTACTTCCTTCACCTACTTTGTAGGTGAAGGAAGGTATGGTAAAGACAGGTGGATGGGCTTGCCTCAAAGACCTGGTGTATTGGGTGTAAGGAGTGTGGTAACAGATAAGCTCATGGAGCTCCTGGGGGCCCCACCAGAGACTTGCATTCAATGCTTGAATTTTTTGTTATCCTCGGCTTTATAATACGATGCTTCAAATTTTATAAAATAAGACACAATTGTAGTATTGTGGCATCCTGCAGTCATGGGAGACACAATTGCTAATCTTTATTACTCGTCTTCAGTTAAAGTTTTTGTTCAACTTTTGGGGTGCCATGTTCCTTGTACAGTGTTTAATTTTTTTAATAAATTTAAGCTTTCCACTTGCTAATGGGACTTCAGGAGTGCTAAGTGAATATTGTGTGTTCCTTTTATATATTCTGGGTTCATTACCTGATTGATCTATACCTAAATCTTGGTTTATTTTGTATAATTTATAATTGTTTTCCTTAAAATTTATTGGGGGTTCATTTTTTTCTCGATGTCTTGCCTGAAATTATGTTGCCAAGTAAAGGGGTTAGTAATGAATGGTGCAAATTATTTTATTATTATTACACACATTTTTCTTGCCTCTTTGGGTTTCCTGCTTAAATCTCCAGTGTTTCTCATACTGTACCAGAATTAGTTACTGTATATTATCAACAACTGGTATCATGGTTTTCCCTGTGACTTCTTTCTTCAGGTGTTTATCTTTATTTTCTTTTTATACTGTACAGTATTTATAAGAAAATGTATTTCTTACATTTTCTTATTAATACATAGCCTTGTATATTTAAGGCCATATATTTAATGGTCCATCTTGTCTAAGTCTTTCCAAAACAGCAGTATGGATTTTTTTTTTTTTTTTTTTTTTTTTTTATGATTCGAGCCCAACAGACTAGATTTAAGGGAAGAGGTTCTTACATACTTTTACATACTGCATATTACATCCGCTTTAAGGAAGTTTATTATTGAATGTTCTTAACTGAATTGTGTACTGAAATGGGAGATGATATTTGCAATGTTTGCGAATAAAGGTTATGATAATATTAATTAATATTATAATATTAATAAAGATTATGATAGCAGTCTCCGTGGTGTAGTGGTAAGACACTCGCCTGGCGTTCCGCGAGCGCTATGTCATGGGTTCGTATCCTGGCCGGGGAGGATTTACTGGGCGCAAATCCTTAACTGTAGCCTCTGTTTAACGCAACAGTAAAATGTGTACTTGGATGAAAAAACGATTCTTCGCAGCAGGGGATCGTATTCCAGGGACCATAGGATTAAGGACTTGCCCGAAACGCTACGCGTACTAGTGGCTGTACAAGAATGTAACAACTCTTGTATATATCTCAAAAAAATAATTCAGGTGACTCGTGATTGTCTGTAGCTCCTGTCCTGACCTCATTTATGGTGCTCTCTTATTACTTAAAATAGCCACTGCAAATATAAAATTCCATTCAGGACATCACTTTACAGTTTTTCACTTCCCAGAGTGTGTGTATTTTTAAAGGTTAGCACCCTCCCCCCTCACACCAACTTTAAAAACATGGTTTCCTGGCATGGGTGATGATTAGGAAACTCTATTTTATTTTTCTATGTGCATATACATCATGCTTAAAGTGGGTGTCTTCATTTCTTTAATCACTGCTTTGTGTTTCAAATTATGTGGGCTATATTGTGTGCGCATGCTAACTCGTTTTGCTTGGGCAAGGTGTTTACTGTATGTCCTTGTCTTTACCAGTGGTGTGAGGAAAATAACAAAGGACACTAGTTACCAGCTTATTATATCACTCTTTATCATTGCCATTTGTTTGAATGTGACTGGATTTTAAGTATGGGCTCTGGTGTGAATATCGGCTATTCCTGTCGTATTGAGTCGACTCGAGGCTCCTCAAGATTAAAATTAGGAACGTAGGTGAAGGCTGTGTGAGATCAGGTGTGTGGGAGAGGGTTAGTTTGGGCGAGACTGAGGATATGGTTGATGGGGTCTGTGGATAGTTGAGTAATAGGTCAGTCAGTGACTGGTTGGGTTATTGGGCTGGGGATGGTAGGGCAGGATGTTGGGCAAGTGTATGTGGACCCGTTAAGTTTTTTGTAAATTTGAATTTACTACATAATTTTTTACCTACAAGGTAGGAAGCCACATGAAGCTAGGGTTGAGATTAATAAAGTTGTTTAAATTACAGTAAAAGAAGAATGATAAATTATTATATTAAATATGAATCTAGTTTTAATGTTTGCAGTACTGTATATTCTCTCTGTGCTTAAGTGGTGTTACAGTAAACTTCAGTTTTTTCAGAGATTTTTTGTGGTGTAAATAATAGAGAACATTAACTCGATACTTTTATTTTTTATCACTTAAAGTATTTGGTACCTATAATTGAGTTTATCTTTTTAAATTGCAATAAATTTATAATATCGAATTTCATAGTTAATCATAATAAAGCTGTTTTATTGCGTAAAAGAACCTGAATATTTTAAATGAAGACATTGTTTACTTAATTTTGTATTATACAGGATATTTATGAACTTTAAGATTTGACTACAGTACAGATGGTATTTATTCTAGAACACATCCCATCTTTCTCATAAGTTCCTTAATCACTCGTTACTGCTCAGTCTCGTACTGAGGCTCAAGAAATGCATCCTCGTGCATTGACTGTATACTGTATTTACTATACAGTATTCCAAATTTCTATATATTTTGTGCTACCACTCCTGCTGTACAAAATTTGTGTGCATTGCTTAATCTTTGTGCTTGTACATATGTGTAAGTTTATCTTTATTTCACGTACAGCTTTTTTACTTGTTTAAGAATTTTTTATTTATTTATAGCTGTTCTGTTATTCCTCATTTTGGCTTGCTTCTGTATGGTAGCTCAAGACGAAACCATCTTCCAATGCAGCCTTTCCAATTCCTCAGCTGAACAATTCTACGTCTGCGGACCTGTTGGGTCTTTCGACGCCTCCAGCCACTCAGAACAACACACAGAGCAACACAGGTTAGTGAAGTTTTGTTCATTAAGTATTAAGTTTCATGAAATTGGTATACAAAATAATTGCAGCCAAGTTATGTCAAAAGTTAAGCATCAAAGCATGGTGGCTGAGGGAGATTTTCATCTTACATTTCAATTGCCATCCAAACAACATTCGAATGTTGAACCTCAGGGTTCAACAGGGCTATAGTGCTTATAGCTCTTACATTATTTGTTTTGTACTTTTCTTAAGTTTACAGCATGACCAAGTTGTATGTTGCTTCGGAGATATCTTTGACACATCACTTCTGTTGAAATGCCCAGTTATTGTATTTCATTGAATTGCTCCACTACCTTGGACTGATGCTGTCACTAGTTTTCCAGTCTCTTCTTCACACGCTTTACATGAGTGCCATAACACGAGTATATAAATAATTTGAACAGGAGAGAGACCTCTTGATGCCTTTTATAAGGCTCGGTAGCAGTATTTTAATCATACGTGGAAGAAATGTCCTTGTTTGAATTTCATGCAAATTAAGGGAGGGTTCTTATGTTGTTTGTACCCAAGCTTCAGACATCGTTTTTCTTAGTTTTCCTTCAAGGGAATAGCCAAAACAAGGAGGTTGTGACACTTGCCCCATATTTAATTTTCTTTCGTTTTCTGTGACATTGGTCGTCTTATTTCAGATTCTAAGGAGAAATAAAAATGTCCACAAAGTATGTGTCTGGGCTGAAGGACAATTTAGTGTTGATAGAAGTTAAGGGAAAATGTAGATTATTATTTATAAGGATATTTAAGAGTGCATTAATGCATCTTGTTATACAGGTATGTTTATATATTGTCATGTATATTGATGATGATATTTTCAAACCTGGAGCACATTATTTTACTGTGCAGCCATGTGCAAGGTGCAATAAATATGCCACCTACAGTAAGGGGCCTCCTTTGTTTGCAAGGGCATTTGCCCGAGAGTCATGACCCAATATCACTCTTTGACAACTTCCAACTGCATCAGTCATAAGGAAACTGTTGCTTTGTCTATTATATTCAATGCTTGTTGATCTCGCTAGTAATACCCAGAGATCTACCCCATTGGTCAAAGGGAGCCGGTCGGCCGAGCGGACAGCACACTGGACTTGTGATCCTGTGGTCCCGGGTTCGATCCCGGGTGCCGGCGAGAAACAATGTGCAGAGTTTTTCACCCTATGCCCCTGTTACCTAGCAGTAAAATAGGTACCTGGGTGTTAGTCAGCTGTCACGGCCTGCTTCCTGGGGGTGGAGGCCTGGTCGAGGACCAGGCCGCGGGGACACTAAAGCCCCAAAATCATCTCAAGATAGCCTCAAGAATACTGGTGTCTGAACTTCTTGAGTAGGGGCCAACAGCTGGATACCTGAAACAATAAGGATTTTCTAGCATAGCTGAGATATATTAATCCATATGACAGCCTGGGGAAAATTGACCCTTTCACTGGAGTGAAGTCATTTTGTTACACATTTACAGCATTGTAGATCTTTGATGTAAAACAGTATTGTATTATTTTTTTCTGATTCAAAGTTATATTGATTTTTGATCATCTTGTATAAAATTACCTCCGATTCTCCACCTTTCAAGACTGAATCATTTGTTTCCTCAAACAGGGTTTATGAGATTTGTTGTCTGTGGTATCATCTTTGTCAAACACGTTAAATGTCCCACTAGCCTTTCTCAAATATAGTGACCAAATCTCTGGAATATTCCAGGATAGCCTCTACAGTACTAATGAATGGTAGAGAATGGAGGACTTTCTTGTATTACAAAGTCTTTTTAGGGAAGCCTTGTATTTTTTATTGATTTTATGATGCTCGCTTACTAGTCAGTATCACTCGCAGATTTCAATGTTTAATTTTATTAGCTTTAGTGCTGATCCAATAGCTTGCACTTTTTTTTTCTTTTCCAATATGTATTACTATATACATTGATCATCATTATAACTGATCTATCATTGTTCAGACAAGATATGTAATATGCTTTAGTCTTCTAGCAGTTTACAGGGCACCTGCTAAAGCTCTATAAATTGGGGAACTTTAAAACTTGTATCAGAGTGTAACTTTACTCACAATTGTTCTACATTGTTGCCAATAATTTAAAAACACACAGATGAAACTCTCCCACTCATGGTGAACTTTTGTTAAAATTTTCTGATATTATATCACTGTATTGTATTATTCAAGAAAGAGGCACTTTTAGAATAAAGCATCGTAAACCAAAAAGTTTCATTATAAATTAAACACTGTTTAAGTTTCCAAAAATTTAGTTGTTCAATTCTGACTAACTTTTGAATCTTGAATTAGCACTTGATAAATTTGTCATAAAATGATCAGAAGAAAACAACAATGTACCCAATAGGTGTGCTTGTGGACGTGTTGGGAGATCTGTATGGGAGTGGAGGCACCAACACGCACAATGGCACCTCTACCCCGTCTTCACTATCGATGTCAGGTGCTACAGACAACATTAAGAAGTGAGTAATAGACTAACACTTGTAAATGCTGTGATGTATGGCATTTATATGTCACAGGGTTAAAAGTCTTGGGAGTGTCTGATAGAAAATCAAAGATTAGCCTTTGAGGTGTGAAAGGAGTTTGCTGAAAATTGGTTTAGTCTCCTAATATAAACTATTGAAAGAGAAATGCAGTTATAACATTATATGAGAAATGGTGGGAATAGACTGATGTCACAATGTGGTTGTGGCATCAATTGGAGCCTCCGCATTCTTCCTGTGGACTCGGTCGAGCTCCAAGTTCAATAACTTTTGTCTTGTCATAGCCAGGAGTGTTAAGGCAAGCATCTGGGAGTCACTAGAATGCTGGTTTAAATCCCCACATGGCTTCAAATGATTTTCTCATTGATATACAGTATCATGCCATTATGATTTGTGTGTGTTCTAAGGGAAAGTGTCATGTTGGAAGCAGTCTTACTCAATGAAGACTGGCATATTGAAACAATTTGAAGGGGCTTTGGTAAGAAGTGGCTACTTTATGAAAATGGGGTTCAAAATAAAATAATTACAATTTTTTTTTTTTTTTTTAATAAGTGATTAAGGAAGTAAACCTAATAAATTTACTATACTCTCAGGCTACATGTTTATGACAATCTCATGGGCACTGGAACAGGCAGAAGTAATTTTCTTGGACCTACTAAGGTTTAGGTGATCCCTTGATCAGAGACATTTGACAATACAGCATTACCTGGTTGTTAAATGATTTGGTGAGGTCATTTTCCAGGGAACATAGGATTAAGGACTTGCCCGAAATGCTATGCGTGCTAGTGGCTGTACAAGAATGTAAGAACAGTTGTACAGTATATATAAATAAATAAAAATAAAGTTTATTTTATGCCTAAATTAACACTAATGTAATGGAAATTTTGTTATTGGTTATCAAAAATTGTTGTTTGTGATTAGATGTATAGGATTGGAATGGTATTTTAATGAAAATGGTGGAGTGGAGATTGAAGGAGTAAAAGGGTTTGTATGATAATTACCCATGTGTAATTACCTAGTGTAGCTGCAGGATGAGCCATGCTCGTGGTGTCCTGTCTTATCAGTACAAGTATTGTCATACGACTCTTTGAAACTACTGACAGTTTTGGCCTCCAGTGAGAGTCTAAAGGAGAAATTTCTACTTTGCCCAGCCCTCAAAGGGGATTTCCCAGGAAGGAGTGTCAGGGCTATTGATATATATATAGTGAATTGGTTCATTTCTGCTCAAATGTGTGTTGGTTAACACAAATCAGTTACCATAAAATCTCACACATTCCCTCTGGGGACATTACTTGATATGGTACATGTGTGGTAACCCTCAGTACATGCAGATAGCGCTGAAAAGCTTCATTTCCTCTCCTTAGACCCTTGATTTTTGTCCGTGATTAACTTTAAAAGTCACTACAGTATTGTAATTTACTTGTAGACTGCCTAGCTCCACATTGAAATTACCTTGCAATTTGAAATAATTGCACAACTGCAGTGATTGCACAACTGCCTCCAAAGGATACTTGATCAACCAGGCTGTGACTCGTACGTCAGGCTGCGAGCAGCCGCGTCCAACAGCCTGGTTGATCAGTCCGGCAACCAGGAGGCCTGGTCGACGACCGGGCCGCGGGGACGCTAAGCCCCGGAAGCGCCTCAAGGTAACCTCAAGGTATTACTATACAAGTCTCTTGTATTAGACTATGAAAAGCACTTAAAAATTCCATGAAATTGCTCTGGATCACGTGCTATTAATTCAGGAAAAGTAAACATTGGTGGTAAACAGCAAGGACCAGCCATAGTGTGCACTGCGTGACATTGACTGGGAAGAAATAGGTAGTTTGTAATTTATGGTTTTGATTGTTCAGATTATGAGTCCTTGCACAACCCCACCTTTTTTTTTTTCCATTAATTTTTAATTTTGAATACATAATTTGTCAAAGTCAAAGGGCTACACATGTAGGGCCCAATGCACAGAGTGAAACATTTCACTTTTTCTTTCCAGTAGTATCATAATATTGTTTCTTTTCTTGCAGATTTGTTTGTAAAAACAATGGTGTTTTATATGAAAATGACATAATCCAAATAGGAATAAAGTCTGAATTTCGACAGAATCTTGGGAGGATAGGAGTTTTCTATGGCAACAAAACTTCCATGCCTTTGCAGGTGAGGTATTGATGTAGATAGCCGAGTGAAAGTTTAAAGTGTGTAATTTTATTAACATGTTTAATACAAAATTGTGAGATTTGAACAATAAATTATATTTATTACCATAGGGGCATATAGTACCTTAAATGATAAGGTTTTCCAGTGCTGTTTTTGCAGCGTTGCATCAGTCACGTAGTATATGTTCTGCATGCTGTGTCGCTCAACGCAGGGGTGCCAGATTTGAGTTGCCAAAAGTCGTGAGCTGAAGAACTAAATGTCACAAACTTTACAATAAAAGTAGCCAAATATTTTTTTTCCAATTGATTCGCTTTTCAGAATAAACAGCCCAGCTTATTTTAACTGTCACCGAAAAAGTAGTAAGTGGCGACATACATAGCTGACTTTTTAATTGAATACAATTATCATAATTGGTAACCCAATTGGGCTACTAGTAGCCCAATCTGTGTTGCTGTGACATTTAGTGTTCCATTTAAAACCCTGGTAATGTACTAGCTCTTATTAATGTTGTTTAACTAGAGGTGTTCTTATATTTGTAAAGGTTCTCAATGTTTAAATTGTGTTTTGTAGGCCTTCAATCCCACAGTGTCAGTGGGTCCCGTTCAACAGGGAAAGGTTACGGTGCAAGTTAAACCAGTCGAGCCCTCCATTGATGCTGGAGCGCAAGTTCAGCAGCTTGTTAACTGTGAATGTATTGAGGACTTCAATGGTAAGTGTTTGAAAGGAAATTGACTATAGTAACCTTGTGATAAAATATTAGATGTTATACTGGTACAGTTATAACAGTATTGTGTTGCTCAGAAAATTGAGTTTATATGAACTTTTGTATTTTGTATGCATTAAAACATCAGAGAAACTGTAAGCAGTTATATCTTCCCTGATGTTTGATTTGAGGCTCAGGTGAGTGAAGATTAAGGCTGCATTTACTATCATGATGAAATTGGTGTTTAGGTGTCGTGTGCATTTTATAATGTACTAGGTTCTGTTTGGAAGACTAATTTTGTTGTGCCATTATATTGGAGTATTCCCTGTTTCTAAACAGGATCTGGCATAATGTACTGCTGTGCAATTTTTTTATGCTGAAGTGTAGCTAATGTTTTCACATGACTGACTCGGCATTCTCCCATTTTCTAGCCTCTCTCTTTTGTTCACCGTATCAAGAATGTTTTTTCTCTTGGTAATTGCTGTTATCTCGTTATCCCACCAAGCAGTTCCACTTATTCTCTGACCAGATTGTGAACTCGGCTCACATCCTTTCATTCTTAACATTTCTTGTATTCATCATACTGTATATAGCACTGGTTTATTTGTTCATAGCCTTTCTGTAAGATCATTATCAGTTCTCCTTTGCACGAATCTTCCATTTTTACTCTGCATTTATTAATTTTGCTTCTAATTATGAATTCCCATTAATAATAGTCTTGCACAGCAGCAACATGTGCTTGATCATTAACAAACAGGCCACATGGTATTGAACTGGACACTTTTGACATTCACATGCATAATAAGAAGTTGACTCCAGTCACTCTGTATCTCTGCAAAGAATATACATAAATGTGTGTAATATGCACTGAGTACTTTTGAGCTAAGCAAAGCAATGTGTAACTAGACCGTTTTCAGGAAGGTTGTCTATTTCCCAGATGGGGGCTCTAATATGGACGTTGGAATAACTGTTCATTTGACTTGCAACACTTAACTTTTTTGTCCTCATCCCTAAGGGCATGGAGAAACTATTTTCTTCAGACCTCAAACCTTTATTTTGGATGTGTAATATGGAAGTTAGCCAATTTTAGAACCACTGGTGACTTTGACAATGTTATCTTGATCTTCATAATGCTGTCTAATATACTAGACCTGACATAGGTCTGAGTACATCTGCATTGGCTGAGTGCCCAAGAGAGAGATGCTGCTGATGTTTTACTTGGTCCTATTTTGATTTTCAAACTCGATGAATTTTTGTGTGAAACTACACAAGCCAATAAGAAACTGTGTTCTCAATGAATGACTTTGCACACTTATAGACCTGTCTAGCAGCTGTGCTTCTGCATTGTTGCTTTAAGATAAGTATGGGTTTCTTGCTTCCCTAGGAATACCCATTCATTTAAAAAGTCGGCTATGTGACATCAGTACCAGCCATGGCTTTGTCATCTTGTGTACATTGTTTCCACATGGGCCCTGTCACCCTTAACAGGTTTAATGTAACTTATTACTATTAAGGAATCTACCAATTAACACAATAGGTAGTTTTAGGAGGTACGTTTTACCGGTAAAGGGGTTGGTTATGCAATTGCACTCGATTTTAATCGCCTCTCCTAAGTAATAGATGGTGGTAATAATTATCATATGAATTTTATTATTTTTAGGTTATGTATTAGATCTTTTATTCTTCCATTGTAATTTGTTTTTGGGGCTCCATTGCTACACATTATATCATCCCTCTGTCTATTTCAACTGTACTATTCAGATCAAACATTACAGTTCAATCGGTAACTCTTTGTTAAATCTTAGCTCATTATTTCAAATCAGTATCAGTGCAACATTGGTATCATATCAGATTCAACACATGAGGAATGTACATGGGTTATCCAAGACTAATTGGTCTGCTACAAAAATAAATTTGTTAAAGATCATTGATAGACTTGTAAAATTTAAGCATTATTATTTGTCAAATTTAAACAATGAAGTTTATCCACAGGTCTGCCTGATTTGACAGTTGGCTTCACGTATGGCAATGTTCCGCAACGCCTAGCGCTACATTTACCACTCTCATGCAACAAGTTCTTTGAGCCAACAGATATGAACGGAGAGTCCTTCTTCGCTCGTTGGAAGAACCTGAGTGGGTAAGTTAAGAAGTCGGTAATTAAGTTTTGGTGTCGGTTTGTTAAGCTAGTCTTCTTGCCCTTCATTTCTTATGTAATCATCAAGTGTGACGATGAAATAATTGTCTAGTGCAGTGGTTCTCAACCTGCGGGTCATGACCCTTTGGGGGTCTTTTGAGTATTAGAAAAGAGGGCTATTCCCAAAAAGTTGGGCACCTCTGGACTCATTATGATTGTCATTAACACAAACAAAAATCTTCATTTAATGTTTTGAATAGCACTGTAGCCCGTAAGGATCCAATAGCTCTAGTTTTGGACACTTACTGATTACTGCATTTCAGCAGTTTAATAACTCCAAATTCCTGCATTGATCAGTAAAAACATGCAATTGGAAATCACCAAGAGAGACTGCATGTATTCCACAAGTACATACAGTATGTTAATGCGATACACATAATGAAAGTTTTGAAAAATGTGTTCCCAATATATTTAACATCCAGGTATATGTCTTGAGAATAACTTGCACATGGGCCTATGAACAGCGACGCTGGATTATAGTGTGGATGAACATCTGAAGTGGTTTTATTAAACTTCAATTGCCACTTGTGATCTTGACTATATTATAAGCATACTACACATGGTTATGGTAATGACACCTTAAAACATGGATCATACGGCCACCAACATAATCATGATGAACCGTTCAATTTTAATACCTGTAAAAGTATTCAAGATTGTTAATACTGTATTAGGCAGTGAACAAAATACCTGGTATTCAAATAGAGTATGATCCAGCATTTGAGCACCTTCATCACTAAGAAATATTACGTGACTCCAAGTATAGGTGACCTAATACTGGCATATAATGTAGTTGAATAGCATAAGGTGTTTAGCAGTGGTTTATTAAATTCCTGTTTTCACCCATAATCGGGGTTATATTGTAAACGTAAAAGGGTAATCATATTGCAGTGTAACTGTGTGATGCAAGTAAATTTGGGTGGAGTAATGCACGTTCAGTGTACATTAGTGTTATTTATGGAATGCTGCCTCTTGATTTGTACCATAACTTTTGTATTTAAATTACTGTAATTAGATTTTAGTTGACCAAAATGTTCAATAACTTTCCTGCATCTAGAGTGTTAAAAGAAAGTGGGGTGATTCTTTCATAACTCAATAAATATGGTGGAATCCTTATTAAATATTGTATCCCACACCCAGGTGCTAGCAAGATCATGATGAATCAAAACTCCCCAATACAAGTGTGGTGACTTAGCCAGCGACAACCTCAAAACCCTCAATGCTTACTAGGCTGCTGCTTGAGTTTTTTTTTTTTTTGAGATATATACAAGAGTTGTTACATTCTTGTTACATTCTTGTTGTTACATTCTTGTACTCAAAACCCTGCTGCGGCAGTTTTGTTTAGTTTTCATCAAAACTTTACACATTAAATAGGCTTGTGGAGTAATAAGAACTTCAATGTTTATTTTCTTTAAGCCTGAGTTAGTTTTTATAAAAAACTGTACTCACCTAGTTGTGCTTGCAGGGGAGGGGGGGAGTGAGCTCTGGCTCTTTGGTTCTGCCTCTCAACTGTCAATCAACTGGTGTACAGATTCCTGAGCCTACTGGGCTCTTATCATATTTACATTTGAAACAGTATATGGAGTCAGCCTCCACCACATCACTGCCTAATGCATTCCACCTGTTAACTACTGACACTGTATATCCTATTCTACTACAGGCCTCTCCAAGAGGCACAAAAGATCTTCAAAGCATCTGGGCCAATGGAAACTGCTTCCATCAAGACTAAGCTATTGGGTTTTGGAATGCAGCTACTGGAGGGCATTGATCCAAACCCTGAAAACTTTGTTTGTGCGGCAATAATCCACACACGCACACAACAAATTGGCTGCCTATTGCGTCTCGAGCCCAACCGCCAAGCCGAGGTCAGTTTTACCGTATGTACCTTAACGTTTAAAGTTCTAGTAAATAGTTTTTTATATTTTTATTATATTGTGAGTGTGTGTGTGTATGTTGTCTAGCTCCTGGGAACAGCCATCTTAAGGAGTAGTCATGATGGCAGCATATTAGCAATCCTGTCTTCTGCATGTACTCTGTGCTAGCTATATGATCTTGTGAGATGGTCATAATATTTACCATTTTTTGTTTATTTTCAGGATGTTGGTTGTCGACCCCAACTTTGCTCTCTTATATTGAACTTCACACCTTTAAATATAATTTCTAATCTTGTCAGTCATAATTCAAGCCATAATCACTCCTTATAATAACTTTTTAAACTTCTCCTAGCAGTAAATAGATACATGGGAGTTAGACTTGCTTCCTGGGGGTGTGTAACAAAAGGGGAGGCCTGGTCGAGGACCGGGCCACGGAGACGTTAAGCCCTGAAATCATCTCTCTAACCTCAAGATAACACAGTATTAGGTAGTCTAGGTTGGGTTACCTTGCATGTATCTTTTATACATGTAAGGTATAAATGCTACATGTCCCTCTCTCCCACCACCACTACTGGCAGCCCTCCCACCACTACTCTCCAACATTCTGTGCCCCCCACCACACACCTATCCACTCCTACAGGTTCTCAGTTTGTCCAGTGGTCTATTTTTTACCACTACCTCAACCAATACCCTACATGACTAACGCTGCATAACTGTAGGATGACTTTCTCTCACATTTAATCCACTGTAGTTTAATGTAAATATTTTTGTTACAAAAAATGTTGACTTATACTAGCTCTTTATAATGTATTCGTGCCATAAAAATTAATTAAAAATTACCTGAGCAAAGTACTTTTGTTTCCTGAGGCAAGGTCCTCTGGTTTGATGGACAGGATTATGCTTCTTCAGGGCAAATCAGTAATCTGCAACAGGGAACATTTTACACTCCAGTTCTACTAAATCATTCTGGTAGTAAGAAGAGAAACTAGGAAAATTAACAATCCAGCCCTGTCAGGAGAGCAGTATTTAAATGCCACTCAATTTTTTTGTTCTCATGGCTTCTACTATATGTTCTTGCACCTAACTTGCCCTTTCCTGCATACATGGGTTCCTCCTCTTTTGTTTATATATTTTTCTGCAATCTTCACAGAAAACAAATTCAGATATTTTAATCTTATTTCCTTATCTAAAATCTCCCTTAACCATCACATGTATAACTCATCAATATACCTTCCTTGGTATGCCCAACAAGCTCAATGTTGTTAAAATATCTGTATCCTTGTATATCCATAATACCTTTGCTCTTGTACAAAGGTGCTACTTCTAGTTTTCTCCAGTCATGTAGCAAATGTTTTCATCAAGTGGACACGTTTTATGTATCTCTACTGTGCGTGTGTACTGATATTTCAATTGCTCCAGACAGTTTTTTTTAATCTTAGATGTGCCTGCTTGTCTATATCCTTTTTATTGTTATTAATCATTATATATACAGTACTAAGTACCTGTATTACATAAACAAAAGCTATTATTGGGATCATTATTAATTGTAATTGTGTACTATACATGTATTTTATTGGCAAATCTTTATTATGGTCTACAGTCCAGGGTAATCTCAACTCTGTGGCAGGTGGAGCTATGATGGCGATGGCTTGTATCCTGGGGCAGACGAGTCAGGTCTATATTGGAGGGAGTTGTACATTTGTTATGGTATTTAAAGTTCTTGACTAGTGTGGTAATCAACTGTTCATTGTTATGAAGTAGTGTTGGGGCTTTTTACAGCTCCTACAGCTGTCAACTGGAAGCAACATCTGTTATCAGTTTGAGAGATTTTGACTGCTTGGGATGCTGCAAGAGCTTGGATTCTAGTTTCTAAGTGGTTCCAAATTTGTCACTAGGTATACATTTTTAGTTTTATCAGTTTTGGTATACTTGTGATGCTACTCATTTGCTCTGTTATGTATAGCTTCCAAGATTTGATTCTTTTGGAGAGAGAGACCAGGCAAGGGGGCTGCATAGTCTACAATGGATCAGATTGCATGAGTAAAATGTTTTGAGAATGCTGTTTGGCACCAATTTTTTTCCAGATATAACTGCCATTAACTTTAGCCTGTGGGTTATTTTTTCCTACACATATCTTATTTACTTGTCAAAGGTTCTTGTCAATCATATTACTAGATATTTGTAGTCTGCTACCCATTCCAGTGCTACATTTTTGTATGGTGAGATGCTTTTGTGGGTCAGATCTTGCATAATACATGTCTTTTGATTTTTCGGTTGATATTTTAAATCCTAATTCTGTACCAACTGTACCCTATTTTGTCGAACCTGTTGTGCTTCAAGGGCATGAGCGCCACCTGCTGTGCGGGCTAGGCCATTGGTGTAGCTAATGGGATTCGTATATAGTGGCAGCCTGATCATGATGATCTTTCCCATCAAGATGGTGAATAGACTTATTCTGAGAACACCGCCTTGCAGTGTGCCAATTTCTAGTCTTGGATGGGGGGAAGTGTGCTTGGAATAGTTTTTTTTTTACTGTTATTTTAATTAATGGGGTGAGCGTGCACCCGGCTAAGTAAATTAACTCTTGCCCCATTTCCAATCAGCAAGTGCAGGATGGCATGAGGGGCTTGCTAACTCCAAAGCTTTTTCTAAGAACCTTCGCATTTCGGTGTCCAAGAACGTTTGCAAGGCATTTGGATGTTTCGATACTGTCCCTGAATCCCAGTATATTTGGAGGCAATAGACTAATTTTCAATTTGAATCTGTTGAGAATCATTCTTTATACTTTCTTGGCTGTGCAGAATGAAAGTGAAAGAGGACTGATGCTATGAGTTTTGGGATATACAGTAACCCTGGAATTGAGGGTTGACTTTGTTGAAAATAGTTTGTGTGTGATTGGGCTGAATAATATTTTTTCTTACTGTTCTGTACATTGACATTTTAACATAAGAGATTAGTAGGAATAAAATTTATAATGGAACTATTGTTCATTTTCTTTTCTTTTTTCTAGCATAAAAAGTGATCTAAATTTTGGGCTAGTTGCATGTTCAAATTTTTTGTAAAGTGAACACCTAAATAATTTACAAAAGGTAGTTATTGTTAAATAATGTTATGTTGATCTGTATTGTATTTTTTGTTTAAGTAATCTTATTTGGCAAAATGAATTTACTTGTGTCTTTCAGATGTATCGGCTAACGATCCGTGCCAGTAAAGAATCCACGGCACAGATTTTGGCAGACTTGTTAGCTGAGCAGTTTTAACCCCAAGAGATCCATTTCATGATAGCTCACAAATTCCATCTACAGAAAAACTTTGTGCAAAATGACCTGCGATGGTAACAGTGGTGAAAGTATCACTGATGCTAGTGAATTAGTGTCAATGACTTGGGATGCAGCAACATCGAAATGCCAGGCAGTCTTTTGTCGTGGCAGCAACCTGTCGGCTTGGTGAAATGTTTGTCGAGATGGTTATAGCAGCTCTGAGCCAAGGCAAGTGAATGGTTTACCAAGAGTGAATAATTTTGGCATAATACCAGAAAATAATGCCAGATGCTTTAAAGTGTCATCAGGTATTCCCCAGTGATGCTTTTAGTCATTTTTGTTATTCTAGTTATGTAATTGACTGACATCATTAGGCAATCATATGTACCAGGGCTCTTCTTATATTAGTTACTATTTGACAAATGAAGGTATTTTTAAGTTTATAATTGCTGCATTGTTTAAGTGCTGTTGGCGATGAATTCATTTCATGGATTAAAACTTCTCTGAAATTGTCAGCCTGAATTTCTCATGCGTGATTGTTTAAAAGTTTTGTCACTTCTGGTGTGCCAATAGCTGTATTAAGGTTACTGGTTAATCAAGACTCCAGTTAGTAATAGGATTAGAGGCCAGCATGAGGATATTTGTGAAACCCAGTCACAGTTACAAGTTGTAGTGTGTAGATATTAGCAGTGATGAATGTGTGTATGCGTGTATAGCGGGTGAGGGGGGGGGGAGGTATAGGGAAGAAGTTGATGTGACTTGGTGCGAATATCCTCTTGTCTGTTTGGTTTTGAATCCTGGTGGATAACATTGAATGCAGTATATTACTACTTTAATATTATCAAATTTCCAAACATTCAATTATGCATTTCTGATTAATATATTAGTTTTGACAATACCTTTCAAATTACTCATTGGCATTAACTTATTTGCTATAATGTAACCCCAAGTTACACTGGTCTTAGAGAAAGTGATACCTTGTTGATTACACAGTTTTGCACATTACTCGAGCTTGTCAATGATGGACTTGCCATTGCTTAATATTATTAAAATTGACAGTAGATCTTTAAGAAGAGTCTGGTGATATTTTGTGGCGGCAGAAGTGTTGTGATCGTCGGTGGTCAGTTCCAGCATCCTGTTCATAGTTGTAAAGAAACCCGTGTATCAGTAGCTCCATTCCTCGTGTGTGGATTCATTAATGTCAAATAATTGGAAATGCATGAAAGGAGGTGCAGAGATCATTATTGTATAGAGTTTATCCTAAAGTAGGTTATTACTGTAGACTTCATATCAAATTGTAATTATGAACTATTTTGGTTCTTATTGTGCATTATTGGGCAGCAAAGACATACTGTATTATATGAAGACACTGGTCAGAGGTATAGCTAGTAGTTGAGAGGTTGTCTGGGCCTTGAATCATGTGAAATGTCTCCTCTTAATGTAAATGTTACTTTTGATATTTTCTCAGCTGCAGAGGCTTTTCTGAGCAATAGAGAGACTTTGCAAAGCTTTCAACTTCGACTTTTGAAATTATCCAGTGTTATACAGTACTTCGAATTTAAGAAGCTTTTTGCAAATTCTGTATCCAAGTGGAATGGATCTTGGGATCTTGGGCAAGCTCGAGCTCGAGGCCTTTCGTAGGCGTTAAATGAGTTCTCGTTTTCCTGATGGTTAACACAGTTGTTTGCCTTTAGTCAATACCGATGTGTGAGAAAGCTATGACAATGGTCATGAGGTGGCTGACAGTAAAATCTGCAAATGGGAAAATTATTCAAATAGCTCTATATTATTAAACTAGGGACAGGTTTTTGATCGAGTTTACTACTGGTAATATTTGAGCCATTCAGTCTTTACCTTGACCCTAATGAGTTGTCTGTATTTCTGATATACAATAATTCCTCCTCCATTGAAAGATTTTATTTTCGCACCATTGACTTTTTATTTGTAAGATGTAAAAACAGTTGTAGGCAAGAACCTTTTGTCATGAGCCAGGGATCTTGTTACTGTAAATGCTGCTAAGTTCTAATGGTGGTTCTTGATGTTAAGCTCATGAAAGTTCCTGTCACAAAGTTCGTGACAGCTGTAGTCAAACCAGTTCTAGGATAATAGAAATGACAATGAAAAGTAATTAAAAAATGTTTGATTTTTTTCTTGTCAAACGATTGTAAATTAAAAGTTTGGCCTTAGCCCATTCATGTCTAAATTTAAAAAAAATGTAAATAAAGTATTCGCATAAATTTAGTTAGTTACACATTTATCTATGTTACTTCTGTATATCAGAGGACTCATAAGGCTGTTTAACAAATGTAAAGCGTTACAGTAGATATATACCCGAGCTTTTCAACCATGTGTTGTTGATGCTCAGTACAGAACAAATTCATTACAAATGTCGGATCCTGTCTGTAAATGGGGAAATCTGTGAGCTGACTGATTGCGTCTTAGCAAATTTATTCATTAAATCTTGAAATGATCATCTCTGATAGATCTAGACTTATTTGTACACTTTTGGGATTATAAGATTAATTTAGTCAGTCTGAATTATAGTGAAAATATTGTTTTACTTCGTAATAATGCAAAAATTATTTTCAGGAAAGCTTTCATGCTCTACTACTTTGGTATTTATAAATATAGGTTGAAGTAGCTAAAAAATGTATAGTTTAACAGATTCTCAGCCTTGGATAGCATGGATGAGATTGCATGTTTGCAGTCTTGTCATCTTTTCAGGTAATATATAGAGCAGGTGGATTATCAGTGACAGAGATCCTAATTTTGATGTAAAGGAATTATGTCAATAATTTTGTATCTTCTAATTAAGGATTATATTTGTAACGAGCTGTGACCTTAACGTTATTGACTGCGTGTAAAGTTTTATTTGTTATTTTTTTTTTTTTTTTTTTTTTTTAACATTATGAAAGGTAGAATCAGTGGCTTAATCAAGAGGATAATTACTGGGACCCAGTTCATTGTCAGGTATTGAATAGGAGATTGAGTTAACAGCACATTTTACCAAAATTGCATATTCCTGTTGTAGTGTAGCACCAGCCTAGTCAGCTGATTTCCTCCACCTTGCTGCATGTCTGCGTTTCTTGTCGGGGCATCATGCCCAGTAGGGTTTTATAACAGACTTTTTCTTAGACATTCCATTCAGACATGTAGCATTTGATTTATTTGCTTTATGATGTAGACTTCTGCTTCGTGGGATACTGAGAGCGAGCTTGTATATGCAGCACATTCACCAGCAGAACATTTATGACAAAATTGCTGTTATCTTGATTGCCTTATTAGTCAAGGCAATGAACCATTGGTAGTAACTGGTCTCTAATTAAAAGTTTATACTGTATAGGAACATCTCGCTTAAAACAACAAGTCTGTTGCGTAATAATGAGTCACACGTAATCTCAAGAGGTGGTTGATGAGTTGTTAATGAACTTGTTAAAAGTGTGTTGTATGGTATATTGTAGTGTAGGTGTGAGACAGTGGCATACATTACTCCAGTATGGTCTGCCTTGTAACATGTGACGTGGCAGTTGATGTTGATTGTATCATTTGCAACCAATCATAACTAACTGCCTGCACAAACCTATTGAGGAGCTTTATTTTGTTGGATAAATAAAAGTAAATAATGGCAATTAAGGTGTGTTCTGGGAGTGGTGATGCAGTGGATGGTACGAAACTGTAAATGTTACTACTGATTACTTTGAGGTACTGTATTAAGAATGCTCTTTTGGGTTCAAAAGAAGGTATGGGGGTAATTGAGAACATTGTTGTATTCACTGATCCTCCCAGAATGTTAAAAATTCGGCTCTGGTCAATATAAACATAAACAGGAAATGTTGAAGAATATGGTTTTTGAGAAAACCAAGGAAACGGTTCTGCACTATTTTGTTTTTTGGTATGATGTAGTTTTTATATTAGACATAATGGAATTAAGTAAATTTTGCTGATTAAAAACCAAACAAAAAGAAGTCCCAACAAATGGATTTGACTGGACACATGTGTTTGTGTGTGTGTGTACATGTATATATATTTACATATGCATGTGTATACACACTTGTATGCACATATTGACAAATTATGACATAATTTAATGCATTTAATAAACCGAATGGTAAAATAATAATGAAAAAAGGGTAACTTAGAGTTGGTACTGCTAACTTTACATGTGCAGAGTGTTCCCCTGAGGTTTCTTTCAGAGCCATGATGTGTTCCATATTGAAATCATTGTATGTAAGTGAATGGTAAATAAATGTGTATATTACCTTGCTTTGTCAAAATGCCTTTTATATAGTATGTGGCTTATAATTTCTCGTAAAGCATTTGGTTATTAGTTTTTTGTTGTGTGTATTTGTCTTCACATACGCTACTTACCCATGAATATAAATACCATTATCTTCTATTTCTAGATAGGTCTTCATTTGACTTCTGAGGAAAGAGTAGACGTAACATTAGTCAATAATCAACATGAAGACTAAACATCTTACAGGAGGTTTGCACACTTTGTTGAAGTCTGAGAGACTACAAGGGGGAAGGGGGCCAAGATGAGAGAGTTTTGGTTAAGAGGGCAAGTGCCAGAGCATCTTGATGAAATAATAGGATGAAGAACACCAGGTTTGTGAATTTTAGGGAGATGACAGATATGGAGAAGGTTCAGATAACACTGAAATGTTATTAAATGTGATTGAAGTGTCATGCAACAGTGTAGAGGAATGAAGTTAAGTCAGGCTAAAGTTTGTAGAATTTATCAGTAACAATTAGGAGTATGAAATGAGTGAGGATAATGCCTCCAAATGCATTAGACTTGACATACTGGGATTGATAGTGATAAAATAGTAATTTTCAGGATGCATAAAGAGTACTTTGAGGGTCATTTTATTTTAATGGAGAAAATGAGTAACCAGCACTCTGATTTCTTATACAGTAATAGAATACTGTATACACAGATATTTCATGAATTAAAAATCATGGTTTAAAACATTACTCAAAATTCAAGAGGGCTGAAAGTGATCACATTCAATTTTCCCTATGTAACATAACCCTCCCTCAGTAGGTGATGGCTTGACATGGGTGAGGGGCTTTTGTGCACCGCCCAGGGGTAGGAGGTGGGTGGCTCATACTGCCTTCTCTTGCCTGTTGTGGTGGTGCACAAGCGAAATGCGTCCCCATATGTTAGCCAGATATGGAGAACTGTACATTCCCTTTGTTCCTTCATCTAGGAGATGAGCCTAATTAATTAATTATGGGCTCCTAGAAGGCAACACATTTCTTTGATGAGGGCAGGTAAAACAGGAGGTTCAGTGCAGCCCACCTGAACCAACTGACTCGTCTGGTTAGCCCCACCTAGACATTGGGTCAAGTGAGCATTGTAGGGTTAGTACCTCTATTGGTCCCTGGGATACCATTTGGCCCTTTAATGGTGCCCTAAGTATACTATTGTAGGTTGAGGTTGCTTGCCCTCGTGGGCTCTTGGGTTGGGTGCAGGTGCTGGACAGTGAAGTCTTTGCTATTTTTCTTGATAACTTCTGACCTTATTTCTCACTCATGGGGTGGGCGACCAGGCCCTCGTGTCCAACAATGATGGAAGAACAGGCCCAGTAGCCCCAGACCAGACTGCCATTTCTGGGTAGGGAATACATAGCATTCATAAATATACTATTTTATATGTACTGTATTTAATTCTTGGTATTAGCTCACAGGGAGAGAGAGAATATCAGGAATGAGCTAGGGAACAATGATAAGGAAATCTGATTTGCCATGAAATGGAAAAGCTGTCTGTAAAGAGGGTGGGGAGGAAAACTGTTAGGGAAAAGCAGATTGAGTGTGAAAATTTACATGGAAGGATAGATTGAGCTGACGTGAGCATGTAAGTTAATGCCTTCTTTTGATAGTTACATAGTGAACATGGATGATGGTCTTATCTATCGCACCTATTTTCGTTGGGAGTACATAGCCTTACCGGTTTGGTGCCTTCTTTTGATAATTACTTACTTTCGTTGGGAGTTTGCCACTTTTCTGTTGGATATGGCGAGTCTAGCAGTGGGTGACATGGCACTAAATTACAATGTAGATTCAAATTATAGCTTATTTGTTTTTACAGTAAAAGCCCAGGAACATAGTCAACCTTATAAATTTATATGGAATACTATCAATGACCCCAATGGATAACCATGGAACTAAAGAACCTTATTAGAAATAAATTGGCATCGGTAGAATATATAAATTAAAAAGTGAAATATATCAAGAATATACACAAAAATTATTAAAAAAAGTAAAAACAAAACTGAATTCATTATAGCAGGTAGGCAAAAACCAACCCTAAAGGGTTCTTTGAGATATGCTGTATTGAAAACTAGGGAGAAGCCTGCCTTGACAAATAAGTATTCTAAGCACTTTACTGGAGAAAACGGTTACCAAGTAAGAAGTTATTAAACAAATTAAGGCCCAACAATGTCAGTTCAAGTCTCTGCCATGGTCCTTTAAAAATGTGAAGATAAGTTTGGTGAGCTCTAGACTTCCATATTTAGCAAATCATAATTCAAGCAGAGTATCATAATTGTTGTGAATATGTTGCCAATCTTCTAGAATGGTGAATTGATTGCTTTTGCATCAAAGTGATGCAAAAACCATTTGTATAACTCTTGAAAAATATAGCTTGATAAAGGATTCACAAAATGGCTATATCAAGGGCTACTCATGTTTAACAAAGTTACTCTATCTTTCCAGCACATTTGAAGTATGAGCCTGTACTGTAGTTGATAATGGAAAGAATTGTGAACGTACCCTGGAGGTAAAAACTTCAAAGCCACTTCATAATTAGTGCTATTATCTACTCCCTGGCCATGATTAGGTTAAAAAGGTCTGGTTGGAGAGCGGGCCGTTGATCCCCGGAACATCAACACAAGGTAGGTTAAGGATAATGTTAGGTTTGGTTAATATGGTGTATTATTCTCAAATGTAAAATATGAAATTAAAAACTATTTGAGTATCCCAACGATTTATAATACAGTACTATAAAATAATAACTATTGAATATTCACTAGTTAGGGCAAAAGTTTACTTGCCATTTTACAAGTGTATTATTGGAACCATAATATGCTTTCAATCACATATCTAGATATTTAACCAGATACATATTACAGAATGCGTACATACACTCATACATAAAGTAACTTAGATGGGTTTGAACAACAAAATCAGTTGAACGGATCCAGAAAACTCAAGTGTTTTAAAATCTAGATAGGCTTTTAGAATGGACAACAGATTGGTAGATGCAGTTTATTGCTGAAATATGTAGTTTGGAATTTAGTTATGTATAGTTACCAGGTATATAATTTCAACGTTGCTGGGCAATGTTGAAATTGCAAAAATCTGAATGCAACAAAATATTGGAATCATGATTATTATGCAGTAAATGTTTGAAATAAGGCAAATAAGATAATGGGGTTCATATCCAGAGGCATCAGCAATATAAAAATCTGTTCTTCAGCTTTCCCTTATCCTTGTTAGACCCCATATAGATTATGCGGTTGTTTTGGTGACCTTGCTATAAAAGACATGAATGCCTTGAATGGGTAGAACAGGATGACAAGGTTAATACCAATAATTAGGAACAGCTTATGTGAAGAAATTAAGAAAGCTTAATTTATATTCTCTAGAAATGAGACGAGTAAGGAACGACATGATTTAAGCATGTAAATAGATCAATGGGTATTATAAAGATGGTATTAATTATCTTTCAAAATATATTAACACAATAGAACATGAAACAATGGGTAAAAATTTAACACATCAAAATTCCAAAACAGGCATGGGTATACTGAAGTGAGATCAGGGTTGTTAATTTATCTAACAAATTACTGGGTAACAGGTGGGATATCTGCATTGTTTCAAGCATAGGTTGGACAAGTATTATACACGAGTGAGTTTTGTTTGCCAACCTGCTTCAGTCTTTCTAAATGAAGTCATGTTCAGTATAGTTGTACAGCATATAGACATTAGTCATTATTTGCTCTTGAGCAAGCTGTAGAAGTTAAGATAGCAGTTACTTAGTGGGTGCTACACAATCCTTCCAGCCTGGAACCACTTATCACTTTGATAGTGCCTTCTTTTGATAATTACTTACCACTTTGATAATTACTTTCCTAATGGATCTAGTAATTAAATAGGTGCAAAAAGGAGTTAATTAAAGTCCCATTTAGAAATTACTTAAATTTATTGTGATCTGAACAGACTCACCGAAGACAGTATAATAATTAAGAACAAATCTTCCTTTGAATGGCAAACATACATACTTCCCTTGAATGGACACCGGATAAAAATACAGGACTAACAAAAAAAGCAACACATGAAAAAGAACCTAATGCCTTGCCAGCAAGTAATTTCTCAATTTCTCCATGCAAGTAACTGTGGATCTTGTGTAAAAAATTAGAACAAGAGTAACAACAAAAGTTGCCAAAGTTCCAACAGATCTATACTACATGTATTTATTTAACCTGCAGCATCAAAAATAAGTTCAGAGACCAGTTATTGTTAAAACAAATGCCTTGGCAAAAACCAAGAAATGTCTGAGTAGTTTCACAACATTATATGGTCATAGTATAGTATAGTTTAATTGTATGTACTACAGGCCACTGTGCTGTAAGCCATTTTATCCTAGAAGCATAATACATTTAACAACCAATGTGGCTGGACAACATTGTGGCATGTGGTACTTATTCTGCGTACATAGCAGGGGGTTAAAAACGGGGCAAGTTGGCGGGAAATCTTAAGCAAGCTCGGTGGCTACCAAGGATTTGTATACACTTGGGTTCCCAAGGGCTGCTATCTGGAGCTTGTAATGTGTGAAAGTTTGATTACTTCAATGTGTAAGTTAATTTCACACATTTCATCATGACACAAAAAGGAGTGTCAAGTCTCTCAAAGCAATAAATGATAAATGCCTAAGAATTTTTGTAGTCTATTAACACACTCACAATAGGTTCAAATCACTGGCAAGTTCAATGTCACATTACACAAACCCACACAGTATATTAATATTATTTTTCCATGTTAATCTCAAGTTTAACACTGCAGTAAAAGCCAGTAAATATATTTTCACTTTAAAAAATTCATGTCAATCTTTGCCGCTGCTTGACCAAAACCATTGCTTCAGTAGTAGACGAGGATGAGGAGAAGGTAGGCCCAGGCTACCCTACAGTTGCAAGGCTGAGGAGGGAGGAGGCCATCATCCTCATATGTACAACATAGTGCAGGAATAAAAAGCCTCAACCAAAAAGTATGCAGGTCCATCTGTGCATAACACCATCTGGTAAAATAAAAGAATAAAATTGCCGTTTGATTTTTTAGGACATGCACAATATAATGCAAACATAAAATATAATCCATATAGTAAACATCAACATAGGCTTAATATAATCTATTAAAAGTACGGTTTTTAATATATATTGTTACTCCTGTGCCACAGTGCCAAGCCTTTGAAGATGATTTTCAAAGGCTTGGCATTTTCTTTTGATAATTAGCAATTTCCAAATACCCTGCATATCAATTTATTATAATACATATTTGATGCCTTGCTTCCTCTGAGACCTTAACATTCTTATAGAGGTCTCAAGTTAACACATCTGATGGCTCAACCATGTCTACATTAATATCTAACCATTAACTTTTATTCCATTTCAAACGCAAATACACTTTAAAGCATTTAATAGAACTAAGCCAATTTCACACATGCTCATCATTCTTCAGAGTTCTCCTCGCGTAACTACTTCGTAGTTCATAAATAAATGTACATCTTACAATTTCTTGCACAATCTCCACAAGCTGTCTCGCTGCAAATATCTAAGCCTGCGAACATTCTTCAACCTTGTTTACCACTTGCCAGTCAATTTTTCCCCCTTTTTCCTTTCCAATCATCATCCTGCCATACACTTTACTATATACTGTACTGTATAACAGATACCACAGCTGACACCACGACACACACTTGTGTGATGCCACGTTGCAGACACCACAGTCTAAAAAACAAATGAAAACCCAGACATAATAGCACTCACAGAAACAAAGTTAATGAAAACCATGACAAATGCAGTGTTTCTGCAGGAATACTATGTAGTTAGGAAAGAAAGGGAAGGAAAAGGTGAGGGTGGAGTAGCTTTGCTGATAAGAAGAGACTGGAGTTTTGAAGAGATGGTTATCTAGGGCTGTGAAGATTTCAGTGACTACGTAACAGGTACCATAGCAATTGGGGGACAAAAACTTATAGTAGTACAGTAGTCATATATATACCCCCCCCCCCCACCAAATGACAGAAGACCCAGACAGGAATATGATAGAAACAACATGGCTACCATTAATATAAGAGGGAGACCAGCTTCTGTCGCTAGCAGGAACAGGTCTAGACTACTATTTTTATTTTGGCGGGGATATTCCTGCATGGGCCTTAAGTCTCTGGCTGGCCCACTAAGTGTTGTTTTTGTTTTACTTGGACGGTGTATGAGTATTTATGACTCGTATGGTTGCTTTAGTTAGATTTTGCCCCATGTGTCTTAACAACAACTGCTCTATTCAATCTAAGTTGAAATCTTATTGGGTTTGTAACTGTGTACTGTGTTAAATAATGTTCCAGTGGTCTGTCGGGCATTTCTCCACACTGCTGACATTTCCTCTCATCATCTGGAACCTGTAAGCCTATTTCCCATGCACATGGGTAGCCAAGCCTGATGCGATGTAAGTGTTCTACTGCTTCCTTTCATCAAAATAAGTGGTTTATAGTTGGTTGAATACTTGTACCAACTCGCAGATCCTGATGTTGCAGCTGCTAATATCCAGACTGCTAATCATGAGACTTCAACCACGGAAAGACAGATTGAGAGAACAGAGACCCACATGGAGGACCAGACACATGGAGAGCTAAGCTGTTGGATGTGGCAACAAGAAACTTTCTAAGCCAACACATCAAGGGACCAACAAGAATTAGAGAAGACAAACCAGCAATGCTTGATCTGATATTCACCCTGAATGAATCAGATATAAGGGAAGTTAAGTTGGAAGCCCCCTTGGGAATGAGTGATCACAATATATTGATCTTTGAGTACCTGGTAGAGCTAGGAGTAATCTCCCCCTAAAAAGAACTAGAAAACAAGGGGCAGGCATATAAAAAGGGAAACTATGAGGTGATAAATCCTAAGAGAAGTACCATGGGACTCGGAACTAAGACCGTACAAGACATGATGGACTATGTCATCCAACAGTGTCAGGAGACAGTAAACAGGTTTATCCCAGCCCAAAAGAAAAAATGAGAAGCAAAAGAAAAATCCATGGTTTAACAGGGCATGTATTGAAGCAAAGGAAATGAACAAAAGGGTGTGGAGGAACTTCCAAAATAACAGAACAGAAAGCAGATATACCAGAGAGCCAGGAATGAGTGTCAATGTGAGAAGAGAAGCAGAGAGACAGTATGAAAATGATATAGCAAATAAAGCCAAGACTGAACCAAAACTGCTCCACAGCCACATCAGGAGGAAAACAACAATGAAAGAACAGGTATACAGAATCACAAAGAGGTATGTGAAAAGCTCAAAAAGATTCCAGGAGGTATTCACAATAAAATGAAGTGAAGTCCTTGAGCTAGGAGTAACCAGAAAACCAGGAGGCCCTGGAAGGATTTGAAATTACCAGACGAGGCTAAAAGGCATCTGTTGGATCTAGAGGTGAGAAAGACTGTTGGTCCGGACAGAATCTCACCATGGGGTACTGAAAGAGTGCATGAGTACTTTGCTTGCCACTTTCCATGGTGTATAGTAGGTCACTGGAGACAGGAGACCCACCATAAATATGGAAGATGGCTAATATAGTCTCAGTATTCAAAAAGGGTGACAGGCAAGAGGCACTGAACTACAGGCCAGTGTTTAACTTGTATACCATGCACGGTGATGGAGATTGTGAGAAAAAAACTAGTAGCACATCTGGAAAGGGACTTCCTGACACACCACCATGGGGTCAGGGATGGTAAATCTTGCCTCACAGGTTTAATAGAATTCTATGATCAAGTGATAAAAATTAAGCAAGAAAGAGAAGGCTGGGCAGACTGCATTTTCTTGAGCTGTTGGAAAGCCTTTGACACGGTACCCCACAAGAGACTGGTGCGTAAGTTGGAGAAACAGATAAGAGTAACTGGTAGGGTGCTCAGTGGATATGGGAGAACCTAAGCAATAGGAATCTTATTTCTATTCTCTGGTAAGTTTACAAATAAAGTTTGCTTCTTAAATTAAGCACCCATTGGTGGTGGGTGGGAACAGCTAAGTACCATTTTATTTAGTCATTATAAATACAACAAAATAATAATAAAACAAACTCACCAATGAGCAGATACAGGTAAGCCAGTTGTAGAGAACTTGTACAGGTACTTGTACTCTTGAACTCACTGCTGCCAATTGTTTCATGCTTTACTTCACTCAACATTTATGTACTGTACTGTATTGTAAATTTATTCCAGCATAGTTTGTTGCACATTCATTAATGTATGCATCTTTTTTGACTTGTTTAGAGCTAAATCTACATTGAACAGATTTCAAAAGATGGCCCTTTCCTTTCGCCACAATGCAACAGATGAGGTTGTGGTTATTGACTGGGTTTAAGATCGTATGGGCTACCCATCACAGTATGCAAAATGGAAAAAGCACTGAATAATGTTTGATAATTCGGTGGAATGACAAACAAAACTATTGATGTAAGCACCTCAGGCTCGTGTCTTGTCGATTCAATGTGTAATGCATGGTATCTGTATCAAGCTCAGGCCATTAGAGTGAAGTTCACTATTCTATAATTTTTTTATCTTTTTTTATTTATGTATATATCTAATTTTGATGTACAAACAGTAACGTTTAATGCATATGAAAATAAACGTGTGGGGTAGAAACCCTCAATGTACCGCCATAAGATGGACACACACACAACTCTTTAGATCACTGATAGTTTTTAATCAACTAAACATTTACATTTTAATAGGATTTATATCACACTGTAAAGTCCCCTAATTATGAGTACAATACAGTATATGCAATCATTTACAACACTGCTTGCAGGATCACCAAGCCTCACTCTCGCCAACACCATAGTTTGTCATTTTCTTCTTGTCACATGTAAGAGAAACGATGGAGAATCAGGTGCTGGTCTTATAATCTAAGCTAGCCATAGTGGTATGTAAAACAAGAGAATGTACCAAACACTGATAAAAATCTACAGGGACATACACAGTATGTCAACCTATAATGACCAGATCTAACGTTTAGACAAAAATTATATGGGCGAGCATCATTTGTGATTGACAAGCAGGGATGGCTGCAGCTGGCCATTACCATGTCTGTCTCAAGCCATTAAATCCTATATAGTGTCATGGGCTCCCATCTTGGAGGAGAGTTGCAGGGAAAACAAGACATCACAGACATGGAGAAAGACAGATACACAATAATGCATTTGATATCAAATTTAGAAAAGCTGATAAATAACTTTTGTTATTTTTACAACAATATTTGGGAAAATAAAGTAACTGGATCTATATACATTCCTAGCAAAAATGCAAATGTGGGAGTTTATTTGTAACTAGTTCCCAAAGCTGCTGTCAGAGGGTTACTATATTTCAAAACTATACAGAACATCATATGATCCCCAAGGCACATGTACCAAATTTAAAAACAAAATAATGAGACATCAGTACAAGGAACTGAAAAGCAGAAGGAAGAACAGAGGGGCCAGAGTGGTAGCGGCAGCTGAGCAAAAGTGCATAATTCCTTCCTCTATTTAATCATTACATTACTTTTGACACCGATACTAGATTTCTGACCACATAACCCCCCTTCCTTCCCTATAACAAAACATAATACCCAGAGGCTTAAATTAATCTATAAATTAATGCTACTCAAGTTGATAAAGACTTAAGAGTAACTACACAGACAGCAAGGATCAACACAGCACACCTTGGCCCTAATTACCAAGGGCTAAGACAGCAAAGACTGCCAATTAAAAAACACTTTTTTCCTTCAAATTCAAAGAACACTTAACCTGGTAAAACATATCCTGGTACCAAGATATTTATGTATATATTCTAATTCATAATGACCCAAATTCATTGAAAATGGTCTATCTCAACTTGAAATGACGGGCCTACTTATTAAATACCTCCACTGGTGAGATAGATTAACCCATAAATTATAATGCTTTTCACGACTTACCAATGCAGGTACTACTTACCAAACTGTCGAGCAAACCCTTAAGCAACAACGCCTTTTTACTCTGACAACTGCCAGCTGTCAGTTTGAGCTTCTAGCATATACACTGTAACTTGGCACTCTGATTAGTTTTCAAATTACCACAATATTGATGTCAGAAACATGACTGACACCAAGCATCTGCCACTTATACCAACTTACAAACTATCAGCTGTACATGCAAATGAAAGCATCCAGTGTCATAATAGGCCATATATAGGCTACAAACACTGAGAAGTGATCTTTTTGTGGGTATTATAGAAGCGTTTATGACTGCTGTCTGGTATTATCTACCAAAATCTGGCTCAAGACGTGCACAAATTCCACTGTAGGTTTGTTTTTGGTGATCAGAAAAACATAAAAAAAATATAAAATATTAATTTGGCATGGTTCCCATCTTCCTAATGGTTAATGTAAGCAAATCTGTTTACTATTTAAAATCAAACAAGTTTTGTAATAAGCAGCAGCTTATTAAGAAACAAGCAGCTCATAGTATAATCCTCAAGAGATCATAAGGTTAGTTACATGTAGTTAGTCCCTGTGAATGTTCATAAGGTAAGTTACATTGATTTCCACACAAGCTTCCTCATACCATTTACAAAAATCAATGCAGAAGAAATTACCTTTTTTACAATTTCCTCAATAAACAGCTTGCTCTCAAGGATACATTTACAACACTTGTTACACACTCAGGACGTCTACTCAAATCTACTTAATCTGTAGAACATGATTTATGTTCTTAAATTTATTTATTCATTAACATGGCTGCACACATGCTTGTGATATTGTACTTATTATTTTACACCAATTTCAGGATGGGGTTTCATTTTGATGATACACATTTCAAGTTGATACAAGTGCTCTTGTATTAGTTACTTGGAAACTAAGGTTTTCTTAGGGATTCACAGCCAATTTACTGAGCAATTTCTGCTATAACACAAGATACAAACTGGTATGAAACTAAACGTAGCCAGCTTCATACAACTGAACACCTTTAACCAAAAATTACAGTCAAGAACGAGAAGAAAACCGCATTTAAGTGGCTTATGTTAAATAATTTGATTTATGTTGTTTTTCACGTCACTGCAGCAACTCTTGATACGCCAAGTCATACCAGATGCTATAAACATTACCAATCAAAATAGCCATTTCCTTGTTCAGCAGTGTGCGCGCGCACTAATCCAGAAAAAATTTAAGCTGTATAATATCGGATAACTACAAACTAAACTGAAATTAGAAGAAGGTGCTCGTGCAATTTCCTACTTCAATTTCCTTGGTAGATATCAGCTATATCATTACGTAATAAATATTTATTCATTGTGCTTTAGGGAAGAGAGGAGGGAAATGGGAATAAGAAGTGATTTCTCCTCCTTAATCTAAGGTGCATTATACTACAAATGCAAAGGTTGTCCTCATTCTTTACTTAATGGTGTCTAAGACAGTTTAATATCCAGTAGTACAAATTTAAGTCACCTCCTTAAACTCTGTAACAGCTAAATATACAACTTGGCAAATGTTCCTGACACCAGTGTTCCAAAGTTGACACTAGCATGAACTATTGTGTTACCCTGGACGACTCGCACGGCTTTTGTTCAGGGAAAACCTGAATAAAAGCAAGCACACACATTAAAGAGTGGAAATGTAACAAAATTTCTCTTCTAATTTACTAAACAGAAACTCTCACAACTACAGTATGTGTGATCAAAGGGGAAAAAAAAAGAAAAAAAAATTGAGTTCCAAATGTATTAGGTTTACAGACCCATCTCCACAAACTCGCTCAAGGTGCATTGACTGCTTACCTGCTACACATGGAATACAGAAACTATTTATGTTTATTCCTGTAAGTCATCTCTAGCTTTTTCCTCCCGAGGCTTTGCTCCGCCAAATATACTGCTTGTTTGCGATGTTTCAGCAATCTGATTTACAGGGTCCTTTTTAGTTCTTGGCAATAACTTCAGTCTTGGCCTCTGAGACAATTCCTCTGAAAAGATCAACATTTGTAAAATCATCTAAGCATGTACTCACTAAATCACCACAATCCAGTTTCCAACTTTAAATGGGTAGGGAGGAATCAGCCTAGTAGAAATAGGAGAGCAACATATAACTTATGGTATATGTTGCTTATATCATGTTGAGTTAAATGAGCAAGATGCAATATCTTACTCATTTAATTAGCATATTGTTAAATCTGAAAAAAACATTTCCTACAAGTCATCTATGGTTCAATACCCCGTCCCTCCCCCCTTCTCTCTTTCCATAAAGAAATAATAATCTTAATAAATTTTTAACGAGTTTAGTAAGAGAAATCAAAATAAGATTATACGGTACACTTCTGCTGTTTATTTCACAAACTATAATTGCTTTCCCAAAGTAGCGGTAAGTGCAAGGTTAAAGTATGAACTTAAATAATATAAGACCGAGAATCTCTTCTAGGACTACGAACAAGGCAATACTCGTTAAGTTTCACTATTCAATGTATTTCTAGATCACCAAGAATCTCCCCTTCCCATACGGGCAACCCCCCCCTCTCCCCTCATTTCACAGCAAAAGACATTCTACAAAATAATTGAATACATAAACATCATGTAAATATTTCAAGTCCAAGTAAATTTACTAGGGATGATGTCACGAGTTTCTTTATCAACGTAAGTTAATGCCGTCATCAATAAGTTACTTTTCTCCCTCTAAAATAATGACTTTAGTCTTCACAACATAGAAGCTCCAAGTCTGGTGACAGAGCATTTGATCTTAATGATTTAGTTATCTAAAATCTCAAGTTCATGACACGAAACATTATTTGATGGTGTTGTGGTACTATTCGGGAATAAAGATGAAGTCTCCACAGAGAAAACATATAAAACATTAATTAACATGTGCCAAAACATAATCATTAAGTAAAAATATAGCTAACCATTTGGCTCTGCTTTCACAATCCTATTAATTTGTTGTTACTACCAGACACTGTCTAGTGACTGGAATCCCTTTCTTCCTGATTCCTATCCTCTGGTGTTTTGGCAAATAAATATGTAATTCTACTTTTGAAAGCCATACTGAATTTTCTTCAGTGATTTAATGTGTCCTTACAGCCAACAGATGAGCCATAAATCATGTACTGTACATGTTGACCAGACCACACACTAGGTGAAGGGATCTCGACGTTTTGGTCCGTCCTGGACCAATCTCAAGTCAATTAACTTGACTTGAGAATGGTCCAGGACGGACCGAAACGTCGTCGTCCCTTCACCTTCTAGTGTGTGGTCTGGTCAACATTCTTCAGCCACGTTATTGTGACTCATCGCCTGCATGTACTATACATCCACTACGTTAGCACACTAAAATCAACAACAGATCCAATAGTAGATTCAATTGTATACTGTGCAAGTATTAAAAAAACTGCTATTTCCATATGCTATACGAGTTAATGTTTGTATTTTTCAAAGAAATGCAAGAGTAGAAAAATATTTTTGTTTCCAGTTACTTGACTGACCATATTGTAGGCAGTACTAACTAAATGTTTTCCTCCAACTGTGTTTGATAACTAAGAGGGGGAGAGAGAGAGAGAGAGAATACGAGTGAAAGAGAATGCCTGTGAGGTGTGTGTATCTTTTTTTGTTTTGGTACTGTGCACAATGAACAATGCTTATGTAGATCAATATTCTTGATTATCAAGTAGTTTATCTTGTTTCTTTCTTTAGATATTCAAGACTACTTCAGATATAATTCATTGTTCATTTGTTGAGCAGTATTGAACATTATAACATTAAATAAAAATGTTTACTAGTATCAGGTGCCTGAACAAGACAGAATATATCAATATGGTACAGAACAGCCTGCATGGCCAAGCCAGATTACATCCCTGTAAATTAAAATAATAATAATATTAACAATAATACTAATAACAAAGCAAAAATTAAGTAAGTCTGAGCCTAAAACGTTATGCGTTTGATTGTCAAGTGTAACAAGTCAGTAGTTTCCTAACAACCGACCAGCTGAGAGTGGTGGGGAGCCGGAGGGTGGGGGAGACTGCAACGCCGCTGACAACGAAACTCCCACTGGATAATGAAAAAGAAAAAAAACATTGTTATGAATGCAGTTTTTCTTTTCAATTCTATGTAGACTTCAAAGGATTTGTTTTGGGTGAATTGTGCTAACCTGTGTTTACATGGAGTAAAAATTAGTTGCTGGGCCCCGTAACCGGTGCTTTCATACTTTCCAAAATTATAAACGCTGTCATACTTGCTCTTGCCATTATGAATCTATGCAGCTCCCACAATTTATGGTTCAAGCAAATTCTATTTCATTACTACTCAAAATGATTATGAATATTTCATTGCATTTCTGACTTTTTTCTAATCTTTGAATTTATCCTATTTTTGTCTTGGGGCTTTACCAGCCCTCCACTCCCAAGGAGTGCCGGACCAACCGGGCTGTGGTGGGTATGTGGGCCTGCGGTCATCTCCAAGCAACAGCCTGGTGGACCAAACTCTCACCTCACAAGTCAAGCTTGGCCTCGGACCGGGCTTGGGGAGTAGAAGAACTCTCGGAACCCCATCAACCAGGTAACCAGGTATCCTTACAAACTGTAATGTCTTGGACACGGACACGATGAGTCCTCCCAGTCTCGTTTACCCTCTGATAAACTTATTACATTACATTTCTTGGAATTTAACTCCCGTACCTGTAGCTTGTTCCCAATACATAGATCATCATAAATACAACAAATGGATTTTAGTAATAAACAATTTATTTAGTGATAGCTGTTTGATGCATTCTTGGCAAGGTCAGTCTCTGGCCTAGAAGAAATTCATCATTACGCAATTAATGATGAATATCAAAATATCAAACTTCCTGACCATAAATATTTAAAAAAAATAAAATATTTCCTCACCCCATCCTGCCCCCACCCCTCCTCTCCCTTTCCTGCTCCATATCCTCCCACTTTCCTGCTCCATATCCTCCCACTTTCCTGCTCCATATCCTCCCACTTTCCTGCTCCATATCCTCCCACTTTCCTGCTCCATATCCTTCCACTTTCCTGCTCCATATCCTCCCACTTTGATATCCTCCCACTTCTCAATGCTCTCACTTGGGCCTATCACCTATCAAACTGATTTCTCCTTTAATTGGCTTACTTCCTCTCTTCTGCAGGATTACTTAAACAAAAAAAAGAGACTTAATAACCGACTCCATAATTTTGTCAATTCCACTTTGCAAGGCAAATTCTGTCTACGTGTATAATTACATAAGTGTAGTTACAGGACGAGAGCTACACTGGTGGTGTCTCGACTTGCCAGTACTCCTTGTCATATGACGCTTTGTGACGCATTTCTTAGTCTACTTACTTGTGGGGGGTTAGAAGCCCACGTCCTTCTATTTTCTGTCAACTGTACTCATTGAAAATCTAATCACGAAAAGCATTCAGATTATTTTTGTTTTTTCTCTCCAGTATAGATACTGGCACATAACTGAACAGCATGTTTTTTTCACTATTCTTGCCTCTTTGCTTGCATGCATGCATGCATGCATGCATACACACATACATAAACAAATAAAAGTACTCCCACAGTGACTCGTTTCATCCATGTTATATCAATTGTACAGTACTCTCTGGTACGAATCATCCTCCCACATTTTTCATACATTCCTCATATCTTGCATGCAGTGTCATTTCTAAATCCCTTTTCCTGCCATTTTCCTTCTCAGATTATGCCCTTTGTGTATCTAGTTGTTAAATATGCTAATCCTCTCTTTCAGTTTGATGTCTTTAATATTTTTGTGTCAGATATGTGTGGAAAATTATTCATTTACATGATTTTGTGACCAGGACCTAGATTCTTCTTGAGGTTATCTTGAGATAATTTCGGGGCTTTTTAGTGTCCCCGCGGCCCGGTCCTCGACCAGGCCTCCACCCCCAGGAAGCAGCCCGTGACAGCTGACTAACATCCAGGTACCTATTTTACTGCTAGGTAACAGGGGCATAGGGTGAAAGAAACTCTGCCCATTGTTTCTCGCCGGCGCCTGGGATCAAACCCGAGACCACAGGATCACAAGTCCAGCCTGCTGTTCGCTCGGCCGACCAACTCCTACCATGCCTGTAACTTATCTAAGTTTCCACAGAGCCTCTAGTATTCGTCCTCACTCATCCTGATTCTCATCAACTTTGTTTCATCAACAAACACAAGAGCAACTCATCAACGGCATCATTTATGTACTGTATATAGTACAGTACTAGGAACAGCAAGTGTTCTAGCACCAATTCTTCTGGGACTACCAATTCCTATCTTGCTTTTCCACCCTTTTACCTGCTCACGAAGCTCCATGTATTTCTTCATAAGTATGTGTGCTACGAAGGTTCCTAAGTACCGGCTAAGAATGCGCCGAAGGGCGATTCAGAAAAGTATTCTTACAAAGATTTTTAAGTAGTTCACTTAGGTCTCGCTAGATGTCACTAGGCTTTTAGTTTGGCCAATCAGAGAAGGTAACATTTTTCATCTTACAGCTGTAGCCAATCACGATGCTGACATATACGAGCTTATCCGTGACCACTTGCTACTTATTTACGTCGAATTTTCTTATAAAATTAGTATATTTCAAAGGTAAAGTAATTATAAAAAAAAAAGGCGCCAAACCGGGAAGGCTATATAGCACCATCAAAGAGCGAAATAATCAGAGGGCACTAAATATCACCAAGAATGCCAATACGAGAACAGAAACGCATAAGGCGAATGATATCAAAAGTATCCGATTCACCACAAATTCTATCGAGGGACAAGAGACCGCGAGGGACGGTCGGAAAGCAAGACACGCTCACCCTGGAAGTCAGGACATTCAACAAGGATATGCACAACTGTAAGAGGGACAACACAATTTGGACAATAAGGAGCAGGGCGGCGCTCCATTAAGTGACTGTGGGTTAAGCGAGTATGGCCAATCCGCAGCCTTGCTAAAGCAGTTTCCCACTGCCAGTTACGGTGGTAGGACGAAGGCCACGGGGACACACTACGTTTGAGAGTACGCAGCTTGTTACGGGACAAGAACAGATAGCTTCCCTAGCGGCAACATCCGCACGCTCATTTAAAGAAACACCAATATAGCTGGAAACCCAGCAAAACTCTACTGATTTAAATTTACTAGAAATAAGAAACAGCCAATGTTGAATCTCTATGATCACCGGATGAACAGTATTAAAGGACCCTAGAGCCATGAGGGCACTACGAGAGTCAACTACAACCACAAAGGAGGAATGAGAATGAGAAAGCAAGAGATGGAGAGCATAAAGAATAGCATAAAGTTCTGCTGTGTGAAGACGCTAGCCTCCGAAGGGAGGCGACACATATAAGTGCAGTCAGGAAAAACAGAGTAGCCCACACCGTCCGCAGACTTAGACCCATCGGTGAAGATGGAAATAGAATGGGAGTGGGAAGAAAAGTGCTCAAGGAAAAGGCATTTCAGAACCGTAGGAGGGGTAAAAGCTTTAGTGATGCGGATCAAGGACGTACAAAACTTTGGAGTTTTTAAACTCAAAACGTTACAATTCAATCGGAGACATTAATAAATTAGAGCACTATCTTTGTGGCAACTCCCAACTAACAGCTCGGGTGGAAGAGAACGCCCCGGACGCGTACTTTGTCAGCGCCTGAATCTTGCCAGACTTCCTCGTCCTATTGTGGCCAAAATACGTCACCTACGATTTTTTTTATCACTTTTCCCCGTGATCAGGAAACACATTAACAATCCAAGAAGAAATTCTTGCGCACAGCGGTATTGTCAGCTATTAGCAGCAGCACTGCCTACGTGTTAAATCTTATTCTAATGAAATCCCATTCAAACCTTAATCTTGCAGCTATTTTCAATATTTTCTTTTTTTTCCTGACTTTGTTATATTTAATGTTCTGAAGGATTCTTTAAGTTACAAATAGAAGTTCTTATGTTTGCTAGATTTTGTATGTTGAATAGGAGACCAAGAAGTGACGTCAATCACACGGTCACTAGCCCTACCTGTGGTCACCAGTTCTCTCTGTATTGCTGTTCTAGTCTTCTTTCTGCCATCCCCATTCTCATAACTTTGCTCAACTTACTTGGTCTGAAACTCTAAAATACAATTGTCTGACCACTTTTTCTGCCAAACTAGGCCCTCTTGCTGCACTTTGAAGTTAATAGCATGAGTACATTCTTATGAGCTTACTATTGTCTGTAAATAGTAATATGAATGAATATAGTTTCTTGGGCAGATATAGATCACAAACAATAGGCCAAATACAGATCCTTGTAAAACTCCATTTGTCACCTCACTCCATCCAGGCTCTGTATCTCTCACAATTACTATTTTCAATCCCATTTGGATATTTTGTACACAGTCCAGACCAGTTTCCCCTTATACTAGCTTCTTTCTCCATCTTTTATACTGGCCTTTTCTGTGGGAGTGTTAAAGGCCTTTTGATGAATAAGGAAGATACCCATTCTTTTCTTTTATCTAATTTTGGTTACTCGTTTCATCCCTGTTCATACCCGTACAGTACTTGGGTACAAATCATCTTCCAACATTTTTCATACGTTCTCTCTTCAAGATCTTGCAAGCTGTGTTCTTTCTAAACCCTTTTTCCTGCCATTTTGATTTCCGTCGACAGAATTCACTTAAGTTTATTAGGCACTTTTTATTTCCTGAACTGTGTACTGGTACAAGCGTGTGTGCATGCTTATCTATCTGTAGATAAGCATACAGATGCAGCTATACAACAAGATACACAAGCACAATTCACCCTAAATAAATCCTTTGAAATCTACATGTGTACAGGTATGTCGTCGTGTTAGGTAATACTCAAGGTGTAGTGGAGCCCACTGCTACATACACTGCCCTACTCCTCCACCATCCGCCAGCCACATTTACATAGTTTGTGAAGAGTGCCTCTTAATTTGTGCAACGTAACCAGAAACAAAAATAATTATCTTCGACTATACAGTAAATGGTAGTTTCAGGGGGTATTATTAGCCTCTACTAAATATATTATAATAAATATAACATTAGCAGTAGAAATCTAACACTGCCTATTAAATTTCATTTCTGCAGTGAATGCTCTAAAACATTCAAATAAGTGCAGGGATGTTTTGGCATACAACCAGCAATGTATTACTCACAACTTCAGAGATGTTATTGTGGTATAGGAATATATATGGCAACCAATCATGCACAACAGCAGGACCGTCTCTTTACCATAAGTATAGCATGAGTACATTCAGATGGTAAGGAAAATGCATCTTCCTTACCCCCCTCCCTACTAAAGGCCAAGTATCTCCCTATCCAATGCAGTGAGAAGCAACATCCCAACGATCACTCTCGGCCAACTGTGCTTTATTTAACTGTTTTTTCGGCATTTGTAATACGTAGCACCTAGCCCTCTTGAAGTGTGGAGACAATAGTGGAAAACCACTTGGACAGAATAATTTGTTCTAGACATGTTCCTTTATACCCAATTGAAGTAATTTTGCTTATTTTTGTGCTTCAGTTAATATTATTTTCATTAGTGAAAATGAGAGCACACCTGCTTGTGCATATTTTATCTAAATAACTTGGGAAAAGCCTTGTTTAATATAAAAATTTATTAGATTGATTTGTGAGTTCAGAACACTGCATTCTGGTCGAGTGGGCGTTTCCTTGGTTATCTGGACCCCATTTCCATTGCACCAATTACCTATTGGATTGGAATTCTTTCATCGCATCTGATTTTCCACTCAGCTGAAATTCACTCGAATACGCTTTTTTAATAAAGGATTATACGGTACTTACAAAGCCTGTATAGAAATTTTACCAGTACTTTGTGAAATAGGAGTTATTTTGAGATCAACGCTTACATAGTTTGCATTTTGACATTTATTACAATAAATGTCAAGAAAATAAATAAATGTCTGGGCCTGGGTAAAACTAAATAAATAATAAAATAATGAGTACTAGATGTTAAACATCTATAAATAATGTTATAAATAAGATTAAATTTACCGGGATCTGGTTCCTTGAAGTCATCAAAGTTACGAGAGCGATCACTGTCTCGGCGGTCACGTCTCATATAGCCGCCTTCACCGGGGGCAGCAGCACCGCCTCGTCCAGGGCGATCCCCACTAGGTGGTCCGGGTGGCCCTCCACGACTTCTTCCACCGAAGCTTCCTCGATCACCCCCTCCTCGCTCGCCACCACCACGCTCTTCAAATCCACCATACCTACCACCTGTACCTGCAGGAAAACCTGCACGACCTCCACCTCCTCTTCCACCTCGGTCATCTTCCCTTCTATTAAAACGACCTGATTTAAAGAAACATAATACATTAAAATGTTGTAATTAAATAAATTCATCTGTTGATAATTCTAATCTATCTTTTTTTGCTATATTGAAACCTAACTTATCTTGCAATATTGAATTATGAAAGTATTCTTCTCCACACACATAATTACAATACACTACATAACAATTTATCAGAATGGGTTGTGAAGTGAGATACTGTGATGGAATGGGTTGTCAGATGAGGCTCTGTGATGCAATGGGTTGTGAGGCAAGGCTCTGTGATGCAATGGGTTGTGAGATGATACAGTGATGGAGAGACTGATGGAGTGGGTTGTGACACTCCCTATCTCTTCCTAAGACTTGTGTTTTACCTGTGTAATCACAGACTTTCTGCCTTTCTTAATCATGAAGATTAAAGTCACCACTGCATAAAATGAAGCATTATCAGATAAAATGAAATTTCAAGTGTTACACCATATACATAATCCAACACTTTGTGCATCATAACCATACTCTTATGGCACAAACGAGTAAAACCCTTTTGCAACATGATATAATCAAGCCTATATATAAATCCCAAAATACAATGTTTTTTAACAACTCACCATATCACTTTCATTAACTAACACACACGGACTTACCACCAAAGTCATCTGAAGCATCTCGTCTTCCTCGGAAATCATTCATGTCCCCACCTCGTCCACCGCCTCGTCCCCTGCCACGACCCCGATCAAATCCTCCTCCTCGCTCTCCACGCCGAGACTCTTCAAAATAAACACACACATCTAAATGTTACCTACAACTGTAAGCAACTCAGAGCATTATGCCAATGCATTCTTTAAAAAATAGAAATTCAATATTGTATGCTGAAAAAAAATAACATCTAAATAAAAACTTTTCAGGATTAAATGTCTTATAAGCATCTTGTTGGGGATGAGAAGGGCATAACATGCACACCATTTCCCTCCCCAAAAAGGCTAACTACAACTGAAAAGAATTTCTCGACAGCATAGTCAGCACTTTGTGCTCACTTCAACCTACGTGTCTTATCTTGCAACTAATTGTGCTGTTGCTTACTTAATCACTAAACTGGCAGAAATATTAATTTCATATAATTACTTATAAATCCACTCATTAACAATAATGTAATCAGAAAGAGACAATAATGTATTAATGTAATCAATAACTAAGATTTATTCCATTATACTCCGAGAGGATAGCTGCAAGCTCTGATTAACAAAGCTTTACAGTACTGTATTTCAGCTCGTCCTTTTTCTAAAGACAGAGCTCATCTAGTGACTACACAAGCTGGCCAGTTTACAAACACGCTGGGATTTTAAAGTCTTAATAAACATAACTTTTGGGCAGCAACACATTAAAAATCACTATAATATTTAATCAATATTTATGAAACAATAAGTCTGGCTAACATACTGAAAACTTTTGCTATTTATGTTTTTGTAAGATATGCACACTCTTTATATTAAAAAATTAGATTTGTATTATTTAATTGAGCTTTAGAGCCCTATTTTAATGGCAGGGACAACACTTTAAAAAATAACTTTCCCTATGCTTCTCAACACACAGTAAAATATATTAATAATACTTTGCACCTCAAACCATGCACTCATTTGGGGAAAAAAAAATGCCCTGCAGTTTAAGGGTTAATGTAACAATTAACAAGATAACAAAAATATGCACTACCTTAACTTTAACAGGGGGACCAGGATGTACAGATGAATGATAAATTACTTACCAGCGATATCCACTCTAATGTTTTTGTCAATAAATAATGCTCCATCGAATGACAGTGAATCTTCTAAACTTTGAACATCTTCAAATTCCACATAGCAAAAACCTTTAAATTTCCCAGAGTCATTGTCGTGCACCAATCTAACCGAGCGAACCTGGAAAAATATTATACATTAAAAAGAGTCTTTGTACTATGTTAAAAACTTGATATATTTTAACTGTAGAAGATCAAGTGAGAAATCTCTGGCTCCCATGCTAAACATAGCTCACATTATATGCAACAAATATTCTAAAATGCAAAACTGCCTACCCCCCCCCTTTCTGTGAATATAGGCCTATATTAAAACGTGGGCATGTAGGAGGAGTAGTAGTATTTAGGAGGCTTTGACAGTGGTGTAGGTGTAGCAGTGGTAATGAGAGTTGGAGGATGTTGGTGTGCTTATGAGCAGTGTATGGTAGGGTGGGATGGTGCCTGTGGGAGCGAGGCTATCCCGAGATGGGGCTTATAGTGTCCCCGCGGCCCGGTCCTCGACCAGGCCTCCTTTTTGTTACACTCCCCCAGGAAGCAGCCTGTAGCAGCTGTAGGGGGTATACTCACCTAGTTTTGCTTGCATGGGTTGTGCTTTGGCTCTTTGGTCCCACTTCTCAACTGTCAATCTACTAATGTACAGATTCCCAAGCTGTTCAAGCTCTATCATATCTACATTTAAAACTGTGTATGGAGTCAGCCTCCACCACATCACTTCCTAGTGCATTCCATTTACTAACTACTCTGACACTGAAGTTCTTTCTAATGTTTCTGTGACTCATTTGGGTACTCAGCTTCTACTTATGTCCCCTTGTGTGTGTATCACACATGATAAATGATCCATCCTTGTCTATCCTGTCAATTAAATTGAGAATTTTTCTATGTAGAGATCATGTCTCCCCGAACTCGTGTGTCTTCCAGTGACGTGAGGTGCAATTCACACAATCTCTCTTAATAACTCATGCCTCTTAGTTTTGGGACTAGCCTAGTGGCATACCTCTGAATTTATTTCAGCTTCGTCTTGTGCTTGACAAGGTACGGGCTCCATGCTGGGGCCGCATACTCCAGGATTGGCCTTACACACGTGATATACAAGGTTTTTGAAGGATTCAGAAGTGTGGGAGGAGAATGGAGTGGGGTGTAGGAGTAGAGAGGGGGGGGAGTAAAGGGGGGGGGGGAGAACAAAGGGGTGTAGGTGTATGAGTGGTGGAGTATAGGGGTGTAGTACTATGGGGGGGAGGGGGGGCATGGGAGTACACGGGGAGTTGTGGGAATACGAGGGAAGTTGTGCATGTACGGGAAAGGGGGGGGGGATAAATGGTAATGGTTTGGTTAATTTTTCTTCCCTTAACTGTATCTCTATGGCAGCATTTCTCAACCGGGGTTACACGAAACCCCATGGTAACCAGGGGTATCAGAAGAATGAGTAATAAGTAAACTAATTCTTATCATGTGCAAAATGTATTTTTGAGTAGTTTTTGTGTTTAATTTTCTCACTTAATTAGTATCAAGAGCAAAGGTTGAGAAACACTGCTCTATGAACTTTATTTCACATCAAATCTTTATCTAAATAGCAGAGTAAAAGTAAAACTTTTAATATGTTAAAATCTAAAAATAAACTGTTCAATATAATTAAGTCTTATAACATAATAGCAGGCAACAGTCCCCGCGGTGTAGTGTAAGACACTCGCCTGGCGTTTCGCGAGCGCTTTGCTCTGGGTACATATACTGGCCGGGGAAGGATTTACTGGGCATCAATCCTCAACTGTAGCCTCTGTTTACCCAACAATAAAATGGGTACATGATTGTTAAACAATTTTGAATGTCGTATTCCAAGGAATATTAGGATTAAGGACTTGCCTGAAATGCTATGCATGCTAGTGGTTGTACAAGAATGTAAGAACTCTCGTGTGTGTGTGCGTGAATACCAGGAGAAAGAGTAAGGTGGATGATGGGTCAATTACCTTGGGTGATCTGGGATGCCATCTGTTGGCAAATTGGTGATAATTAGGGTTAAGGTTGATCACCTGCAGCAACTATCAGCTGCCTCGTTTACCTCAATGCTCATTTATTTCTTACGACCAGTGGAGTATTTTGTTTTCCCTAACCTTTCTGGCAGGTTTCCTCAGTTATGGGTAGACCGCGTGGAGCCAGGTTCTCAGGAAGTCAGTACTGTATGTCTAATGTGGCCTGAACCAATTCTCAAGGATTACAATACCAGTGTGTAACCACTTCAGAATGACAGGCTTTCCCCAGAAAAATTATTTCTATGCCCAAGGGCCACATTATCCAATTTCATTAAGTTACTCTCTTTTTGCTCAACTTTTAAGCTTCAATTTGAGACAATGAGGGTTTTAAAATATTAAATAAAAACCTGTTGCAAACAAATGAGAAATAACATACCAAGATAGTGTTCCTCCTACCAGGGATAGGCTACCTGATTATATCAGGGAATTTAACTGTGTGTTTCAAAGAAAATACAGTATGAGGATTAAACATTACATATAATTCACAAAAAGATCCAGTGGATCTTCAAATCAATGATAAAACAACACAGTACTCTATTAGATACAGTATTAACATTCAGGTTAATCATAAATATAAATATATATATATATATATATATATATTTATTTATTTTGCTTACTCTTTGATCTTTAAATATGTGGTCGATATCCCCTTGGACAATGCCGGGTGGGAGGTTCCCGACAAAGGCCGTGTAGGGGGGCTCAGTTGGGAGAGGTTTCCGGGGTCGGCTTCCTCCATATCCTCGACCGCTATCATTGTAACGTCCTCCACCACCACCACCTCCACTCCCACGATAACTGTTCCCAGGAGAAACCCGTTTAATAATTTTATATGCCATGAAAATATTGTAACTACAATATATACCTTATTTAAAAATTATACTAAAACTATCTACAAACAGCTTTTATCTCCTAACTTTCTTGGAAAATAGACTAGACTTGGGTAGAATTCAAAATTTTATTACGGTAAATACTGTACCTATAGAACCATTTTATTCACCTCGGCAACAACTTTCATATTCTGAGTAACTTTCATGATGAAAGCAGTAGTGAATATTGAGCAGTTTATTATTATAAATTATAACATTCTGATGATGCTAAAACTCATCATCCATACTCAGTAAATGTTGGGGATGACGCTAAAATGCACCACTCATCTCAAAATTCTAGGATATCATTTTTTTATCGGAGAATGTGTTCTTGGGCCCACCCAAAGTATGTGGGAACTATCCAGATCCCTTCGGCCAACTATCAATTACTCAAGATGATGATTGCTCTGCTTTTGAGAATTTTCACTATTCTTTGCAAATTACCTATTGGAAAGGCATGACAGTTATGTTTTAATTTCTTTCCACAGTAACACACACACCAATAATGTGTCCACATTTCCATATGTTTTATTTTAATTTTGTAAAATAAATGAGAAATGTTGAGAAATATATTAGAAAGGTTTAGATGTTCATAAAATTTGCATATTTCGCAAAGTTATGAAAAACCTATTATCATATTGCATCTACATTCCAGCAAATTCATCAGACATTTTGACGCCAAATTTATAGTAATAACCCAAAATGAAAAAAAAATTGGCGAATATAAATTTTTTTTAGGTGTCACAGAGTGGGACCCTGAAATGCCGGGAGGATTTACGATTATGAATGTGCTGATGGGTCAGAACATTAAAAATGTTAAAAAGAACAATTTTTCTAAGGACACAGGAGAGTAAGGATTAATGTTATTAGAGTATGAGTAAATTTGGATATGATATGAGATGAGCAGTCTGATTCTGCATTTTTAAAAACAATAGAAATGATGTTGAAGACTCGACTTGTTAAGTTACATAACGAGCATTTACAGTACCTTCAAGATGGCCGAGTATAATGGAATAACTCAAGACTAAGAATAAAGCTTTCCATTTAGTTAATGTGTACACAATTTTACTTAATGGAATATTTTGTTTTCCAGAATGTTAACAGGCCTATGGTGTTTGCATGATGTACTCCATATCTTTGTCTAGTACATAGACCATATTCAGAATAAATTTATTTATTCAAGAGAAATGAAAGAATTGTCTGAATAATGAAATGCTACCTAGTCTAAGAATTGTGGATTTGTTAGATACAGGTCTAGGGAGACATTAGTCACTTCATACCTACGACAGTTTATCAACAATTTTAAAATCTACCAAACCCGAACTAACACTACCTAATGTAACAATATATATACAGCTTTAACAACTAGAAAATGAGCCTTATTTAAATATCTGTAATATTTGACCATACTCCCTATGGACTGTTGTGCTATTTGGATAACACTGGAAAAGAACTGGATAGTCACATAACTAGCATTGTGGTGCTGGTACATATCTGCCTACAGAACCCAATTTTATAATGTATCCATATTATGTATGGGTCCCAGTTGTCTCTATCCAACACACACAACCTTTAGGCTTGGTCAATTCATTATGTAGTTGATTCTCAAATTATTTTCCAAGAAATCACTGCATAGGTAAAAATGGGTAATACATGAATAAAGACATTAGTATGTTAGACAAGGGGTCATAATTTTAGATAAAGTATTTATCACCCAAAACTGACACCCCAAGACCTATAAAACACAAGTCTTAAAAGGTTAGCACACCCATAAAATTTTGAAGTGTGTGTACAGCAGTGTCATTTTGTCAACTGTATTTGTCAGTATATAACATTTTTTTAACCCACATTTACTGTCTTAATATATAGAGACCCTGAAATAAGTCATGTTAAAGATCTCTTATCAAAGTTCTTCTTAAAATCTCCAATAATTAAAGTAGTAACCCTGACCAGGAATGTTCCCTCCCAAAAATACTAAGTTACCCCTAAAATTGGCTAACATTTTTCTTAAAAAGAGCAATTGTTGTCCATATATTTCAAACAGTTTGTACACATACGACGTAAAAGCAGCCCAAAAGCTAGTTAGGCAAGTCTGAATGAAAATCTTCGAGCTAATAAACGAATTTTGAGATATCTAGTGATAAGAGCGTCTGGGCCCCGGGGGAGGGGAGCCTGCCTCGCCTCCCCCTTCACCTCACCTGCTCTCAACTACACATATATCCCACACAATGCTATGTCCAGCCCCTCGCCCTCGTTAAAATAACCACAAACACACCGCCATCAAAGCCACAAGAAACAGGACAAACGGTTCAAATACTCGAGCAAATATTTGTGTCAATCTGGAGGGTTTAGAGAGACGAAAACACACCGACCTTACATGTCATTGTCAGCCATTGTGGTGACTCCGTGAGCACTAACGCTGGTGCTGGCCAGTAGAGGAGACGCCACGCCACCTGGGAGCCGGGGTACAGCCTCTCACAGCCGGGTAAATGAGCCGCAGACTTCTGGAGGCCAAGAGGAATCACTGAGAACGATATGCGCCCACAGCCGACCACACGCCACTCTGCGAACTCTTCAACTTTTCACTCTTTTTTACAATGGAACCCTACCGGGTAAAGAGGCTTTCAGGTGCCCCGGGTGCTTAGCGACGGGACTGATCACGCTTCGAGGGTAATAAGTAGCTCTCTGATTTAACACGCACTGGAATATTCAATCTTACCGGGAATACTGATCATCATAGAAACCTGCCATGTTGGTTTCAAGTGAATGACGCGGCGAGTGTGGTCGAGAAGAATGCGGCACCTCGCCATCTCTAGTCTCTCAACACATACTCCGTTTCCCACCTCCACGCCAATGTATAAAATTAAAATAGACATTTTATTGAGGAGATGTGCAAGTGGAAGTTATTCGTTGGGTACTTCAGGGGATGATATATGTAAACAAAGGTATCGAGCACTCTGGCCGAGATCCAGCATGGCGGCGTGAGGTTTGAGCGTTGGGAAGATGCTCTCCTTCCCGGCGAAATTTGTGGCTCTTCTTTTGATGTTCTGCCTTCTTGTTTGTAAGGATTCTTCATGCTCCAACATCTTTCTCGCATCAGATAGCATCGCAGCCATTGCAACTCTCAGCAGTGTTGTGAAATGAGCGAAAGTACGCCCCGAAAAAAAGTTGCATCATAGTCAACGTGATGTCAATTTCTACGGAGGCAAGAATGTTGATGTATAACTGATGTTCTATAGTTCTAACTTTTAAACAAGTAAATTGAAATCTGAAGAAATATTCTTAGATGTCTTAGGAAAACTGTCGACACAGCATAAAACCATGTCGCCACAATGTTTACAAATTATAACTAAAATACATCTCTTAGGAAATATTGAACAGAATTATACCCGATTTATTGCATATATTGAAGTATAACATTTATTATCTAAATTCCATATCACAGTCAAGTAGTCTTGGGCCTTGCATGAGCGTCTAAGAGTTCCTGCAGAAGCAACATGTAGAGACTAGTGAAAAAGACTAAGAAAACAATTTGCTTACTTCCACATATACTGAGTTAAATGCAATACAGCTACCTGAATTTCCCTGAAGGGTCTCTATTTCTCTAGTGACCTTGGTGAGAACAGGAAGCCGGCGGCTTGTCAAGGGTTCCCCTTTTGTCCTGAATTATTTTATTGAACTTGACCTTGAACTGTAGCAGTGGTTTTGCATTTACGGCTTCGGCGGGTAGGCGGTTCCATGGGTTTATATCTTTTTATGAAAAAAACCATCTCCTATTCTCTCCAACAATCTAACTTGTTGAACTTGAAAATGTTCCTTGTTTGTATTGCATCTGACATTTTAAAGAAGTGATCATTATTAGCCATTGATACACTGAAAAATACAAGAGGAGCAGTAATTTTGTTTAAAAACACTTGAAAACCCATCATTTAAAATATATACTGGGAATTATAATGTAGATTATTAATAACATAATGATATATATATATACAGAGCAAGTTTCAGAATCTCTTTTGCAGGAGTACCGTCTCATATTGTCTAATATGATAGACAAGGTAGCCGAAACTAGGACTAGGACTTGAACTAGGCCTTTGAAATCTTTTTGATAATTATTTACTTAGACCTTGGTATCTCAAGATCTTGTCAAAGTCACACTACAATAAGAACTTGATCTGACAAGAACAATCGCTGCAATCAAAGAGTTATGGTATGTTATGAAAATCCTTAGGAACAATGGGAGACCTTTGGCAAGCCGCTGGCTTCCTGTCCCCGTCGAAGCCACTCTAGGGAGATAGTGGCCCTCGGGTAAATTTAGGTACGGGTAGCACTAAACAATCAACCAGTATGAGTGACATTGTAATTGACAGTGATAGGCTGTGGGATATCACTACTTATGACAGATAATGAATCTCCCAATAGTCAGCACTCCATTTGTAAACTTAAAAAAGTAAAGAGCGTGAATACAGTAACACTGTACAACCCGTCCTCAGACCAAGTCCATTCTATCCAGCAGTTGACCCCAAATACGCATTCATCAATTTTAACACTGTTCATTCAAAACAGAATTTTTCTCAAATATAAATTAATATTATTAAATATTAGCATATTGTGCATATTTAGGCACTGATTAAGTTAGGTTAGGTGTTTAGGTTCTGTTGCCGATTATTTGTATTTGTAGTACGTGGGTGCATTTACAGCGTTGTACTTCGAAAACAAAAAAAATCGTCAGCGAAGCACTTGTTCCGGAAGTGTTCGGACGTCATCAGTTGTAGGTCGTGTGTAAATCGTTTTCATTCATAAACAGGGGGTTTGGCAGGAGCATGGAATGGATTCTGGGTCTTTGTTTCGAGGACGGGCTGCAACCTGGTTGATACCTGGTTACCTGGTTGATGGGGTTCTGGGAGTTCTTCTACTCCCCAAGCCCGGCCCGAGGCCAGACTTGACTTGTGAGAGTTTGGTCCACCAGGCTGTTGCTTGGAACGGCCCGCAGGCCTACATACCCACCACAGCCGTCCTAACACTAGGCTGTTTAAGGCAGTGGCCGTCCTCCCCAGACGCATTCATGAATTTTAATGTACTGTGTATTAAAAATTGATTTGTTCTCATATAAAAATTAATATTATTATACTTTCTACTTTCATGAGGAAAACGAAAATTGTCACTCAGCTTTAGAAATATCTTACGTTCAAGTTCAACCAATATAGACTACTGTAGTAAAGTGCAGAACATATCCACATTAAACTTGGCCCAGGGGTGATGCATGATATCCGGATATGATAACGACTAACCAGAAATGTAATACATTTTTTACAAGTATATATAACTATATAAATTGTATATTTATTTTAAAATTAATAACTTATTGACCATATGCAACCTCTATACGAATAAGTCGTTATATTTTTTGTATAATACGATAGACATTGAAATTAATATACAGTATAAATCGCTGCATTTTGGATTGCAATTTTATAGAAAACGCTTCAAGTTTGTAAAACTTGAATAGTTATGGTTTGCCTAACAATCGACGTACATATTTGTATTTCAGTGATGACAACGCCTGCTGCCACACTATAGGCCTACTGCTCACTTGTTAAGGCCTACTGTGCGCTTGTTAATTCTCTGCTGTCGCACGATAGGCCTACTGCTCACGTCTGCATTTCCTGTTGCAACCTGTTCCCAGGCTAGGCTCATTCAAACGGCGATCAACCCCCCCCCCCCCCCCAATGACGCATTCTTCAGTTTTAGCGTACTATGTATTCAAAATTTTGCAATTGCTCCAACATAAGGTAATGTTACATTATGTGGGTAGGCTACACTATTAATGTGGGTACCATGTATTAGTAGTCATAATGTGGGTACCATGTATTAGTAGTCATAATGTGGGTACCATATATTAGTATTCATAATGTGGGTACCATATATTAGTAGTCATAATGTGGGTACCATATATTAGTAGTCATAATGCGTGTTCACCCTTCATATAGTAGTTATAATGTGTGTATCCCACACTATAGCATTCATAATGTGGGCACCCTATACAGTAGCCACACCCTCTCCATCACACCAGTGCTAAATAGCCCCGTCGATTCCAGCGCTTGGCCCCAGGCCAAGTTCTCATTCTCCCTCCCAGCCAAGGTCGCTAGATATAGCGTCCTCCAGTACCCGCATATCAAGCATGCTTCCATTATTACACCCTTGCCATCATTCATTTTTCAGAACCTTTTATCTCGTATAATGCATAAACTTATCATTTCTTGAAGATTGCATCTTAGGTGTTTCATATTTATAAGGACAGTCTTAAGTTTACTTTGGTCTGCTACTGTACTATTCTCCGAGTATTCTAATATATGGTAGATAAACTCCACATTTGTCTTCCTCATTAGACAAACACCTTATGACAGTCCGCAGTATTTTTATCCGTAATAGAACTAAAATGATTTTGGTCTTTTGGGTGGAAATTAATATGGAGCTGCCTCGTATGGACCAGTAGGCTTTCCACAGTTACTGTTGTTCCTAATATAATGTCATATATATAATATGTTCTTCTATCCTTCCCAAAACAATAAATTTGTCACTTTCAATGACAGCTGTGACACAGTTCATCGTATATTACCTCGCGTGTTTTGACACAAATATTGTCTAAATTCGTGAGGAAATTCGTCATTCTTTGGTGAATAAACTCTGAACAAAAAGTAAGTGAGCTGACAGATCAAGGCGTGTCAGTCTGTTTAGATGATGACGTAACACACACACCTGTTATTATTTTGCTTTATTCTATTACAACACATGTCTGGCTTTTGTTTTTTCTTCACACAGATGGGTCCAGGAGCAGAAGCCTTCTGACTTTTGTTAGCAGGATGCGGGTTTTTCCCTTTCCATAGCCTATTAGTTTTCCCCTGGAACGCGAGCCGCCAATCAGTTAAAAATCAGGTAGCCAATTACTGTTGGGTGAGCAGGGGCTAACTGTTAAGGCTCGCTGCCCAGGCCAGGTTATAGCTTGCATTAGACAAGGGCGTGACAGCGATGTGCGCCTTACTTGATCATATTAAACTGCTGGATCTGGCCCGGAAGAACAGCTTCGCCCCTTGCTAGCAGTCTGGTATTTCCAAAGCACTCAAATACAACCTGGTATATCATACTGAATGTCATTCACATACACACCCCATCCCATTCTCTCAATTTGTCACTCCGTCAAAAATGCAACTGTTTTGCTTAACTAGAAACCTACTAAGCTAAGCCCCGAAACCAACACAAGGTAAGGTAGCCTATGTATTAAAATTGCATGCAGAGTGTGTATCTGGAGGTATGGTATATTATATAATGCCTGCGAGAGAGTAAGATGATAATGACAGCCATTCCTGGTACACAGTGTAGCTAGCGTGTGATAGATACGCTGATAAAAGGTTACAATACTCCCGTGAAAGTCTTTCACACTCTATCATATTGTGATGGCAACACTCCCAACTCCTTGCGATACGCGCGTGCACTTACACCCAAACACACACGCACCTTATCCCCCCCCCTCCTCACACTCTTACACACCCCATATGCACCCACACCTCCCCCCCCACCCCTACACACACACACCTACACATTCCCCCCCCCCCCATACACACAATTTTAAATTAAGAGCAACATTAAATTTCTATCGCATTGCGTTATTCTAATCTGCTAAATTACCTCTCAATATGAATTATTATACATTCTTAATATTTCATAACATTTGGTGGCCTTACTAGGTGTCGTGCAAGTCTGTGGTAAAATAAGTGGTGTTATATTGCCATTATGTTAATTATTCTAATCTAACCTTCCTCATTTGGACGGCCTCATCAAATTATCAGTGAAAATTCAACTTAACTTATCAGTGTGTGAGTTAGGCGCACCTGACAACTGCTGACAGTGTGTGTGTATTCAATAAATCTGTCATTGAGTGTATTAAATAAAGCTGACAATGTAGGTATTTAATAAAGGACTTTTTTTTTTTTAGTGTCGGCCTCCATCTGTAACTGAAACTTCTGCGCCTCCAACTCAAGACGCTTCAGTGCTAAATAAAGCGACCAGGTAACCTGGGGCCAGATTCAAGAAGCAGTTACGCAAGCACTTACGAACCTGTACATCTTTTCTCAATCTTTGGCGGCTTTGTTTACAATTATTAAACAGTTAATGAGCTCCGAAGCACCAGGAGACTGTTTATATCAATAACAACAGTTAATTGGGAAGTTTTCATGCTTGTAAACTATTTAATAAATGTAACCAAAGCCGTCAAAGATTGAGGAAAGATGTACACGTTCGTAAGTGCTTGCGTAACTGCTTCGTGAATCTGGCCCGTGTCCTCAGACTATGCTCGCCAAAGCAGCGGCTAATTCTCAAGATGAATTCATTAAGTCTACAACCCGTCCACGTCATCAAGGACGAAATACTAGCTAATCCAGCCGCCAATTCCCTATTTATGAGTGAAAAACACTTCACACACAAGCGGACGATGAGTCACAATAAAGGGGTTGAAGATATGATGTCCAAACTACTCAATTAAGAAACGACGACGTTTTCACCAGTCCCAGACCATTATCAAGTCGTGTGAGTACCCATAAGTCATGATTTACATACCAATTAAAAATCTGAGTTCTCGTATGCGTATTGCTATAATTAAGAATTTAAGATGATGTATGACATCCTCATATGCAAATTAAGCAGTCTCTACAGCTTACTGACTAATCTGCATATGCTTATATTATTTACTTTAACCAACATTTGCATTCTCAAGATGCGAATATAGGGTTTCACTCTTAATTACTATATGACTTGCTAGTATGTAAATTAACGTATGCAAATTATGATAGGTTACTTAAAGTAAGTTACGGCAAACTATTCCGTAGCATCAATAAACCTGACTGACTTCAGTAAAGCTAACAGGAATGCGAATTCAAATCAGTGTTCTATGAAAAAAAGGACTGCCGCAAAATGTAATACAGTATTGACTTCATCTCACTTATTTGGCATTTCCTGTTTCTCAGTATTTTGTAGGTGGTGTCATGGCGGGTCGCTTCGTTCCCCATAAGAGATACGCACCCGCCCTGAGCTAGTTAGTCGGGAAGCATCGGAGATTCTTGCATATAATTAACCTTTTCAGATGAAATAAAAAGAACCCGAGGCATTTTGTTGACATATATGAAATCTTGTAGAGTAACATTAGGCTATCGATATTTAATCCTTGAATATCCTAGTCTCCGGCCTGCTAGGGGTTAGGCAATGCCAATACTCGGTCAGCTGGTGTGTGTGTGTGTGTGTGTGGATTAGGCAACTTGCCAGTGTTTTAGGGAGGCTTTAGGTCAAGGAACAGATCAAGGTTGTCTGAGAGAGTGCGTTAAGATGCACTAGGTCTCATTTTGCCGCTCACCCTCTTGTCCATGTGCTCTTGTCTTCCTGATGGAGCCAGTGTTGTCATCGAGTTGATTTTCTTCTGTTGTCTTATTATTAATTATCAAGAATCTTATTAATCTCAAGAAATCATCTCAAGATGTTGTCATCTACATATTGTCGTCTCTTTTCACCCGTATATTGTCGTGTGTCTGTTGTCATCTGTACTTTGTCGTCTCTGTTGTCATCCATACATTGTCGTCTCTGTAGTCATCCACATATTGTTGTCCCTTTGTCGTCTCTATTGTCATCTATATATTGTTGTCTCTGTTATCATCCGTATATTATCGTCTCTGGTGTCATCCTTCTATAGTCTTTCATCGTCCGTACTGCACTTCCTGTTATGTACTCACGCACCTGTCGTTGTCCATCTGTTATCCTCCATACAGTGTCCCGTTGCTGTCAGGTAGTGGTGGTTTGGTGTTGGGACTAAGGCCTATCAACCGCCGGGGGGTTGTAAAGGTCATTACAATACTTTACTGACAAGTCAGCAAGGACGTTCTCAACTGTCCGGGATTAAAGTAAACTTTAAAGCCTGAATACCCCTAGAGGAAGGGGGAGGGTTACCTTTCGGTATACATATGTATCCCTAGTTACTTTGGTATACATATGTATCCCTAATTACTTGTATTAGTTAATATAAAAACAGAAATACTTTTATTATGGATGGCAAATCTTTCAATGCAATTAACTATAAATTTTATATTTGAACTCAAGAATTATAGATAAAATACATTATTATTTGCCTCAAAAAATGTTCTTCCAGCTGGAGATAAATAACAAAGTTTATTTCTGTAGATTATTTGTGTATACAGTACTACTGATTTTCTTATACGAGACGCCCTTGAGCTCCTCGAAACCATATACATGTCTGGCATTGTCATTTTGTATCATATAAACAAAAATGGTTCACTCGGATTAACTGCAAATGAATAAGAGATTACAATGGGCAGCGCCAGATAGCAGCCTCTTACACTAGCGCCCAAAAGCATTGAACTCCGATAATAAATAACGGATGAAATATTATTGCCAATGATGAGAAGCGGAAAGGTCGGATCTGTAGCGGTCTATCGCGTCGGAAAGAGTCCACTCTCGGCCACTCTCTCGGCAGGTGAGGACCTCTCTAGAGCTCCTCAGTAGGTGAGGACGTCTCTAGAGCTCCTCAGTAGGTGTTGGTAGGTGAGGACGTCTCTAGAGCTCCTCAGTAGGTGTTGGCAGGTGAGGACGTCTCTAGAGCTCCTCAGTAGGTGTTGGTAGGTGAGGACGTCTCTAGAGCTCCTCAGTAGGTGTTGGCAAGTGAGGACGTCTCTAGAGCTCCTCAGTAGGTGTTGGCAGGTGAGGACGTCTCTAGAGCTCCTCAGTAGGTGTTGGTAGGTGAGGACGTCTCTAGAGCTCCTCAGTAGGTGTTGGCAGGTGAGGACGTCTCTAGAGCTCCTCAGTAGGTGCCGGCAAGTGAGGACGTCTCTAGAGCTCCTCAGTAGGTGTTGGCAGGTGAGGACGTCTCTAGAGCTCCTCATTAGGTGTTGACAGGTGAGGACGACTAGAGGTCTCTCAATGGGTGTTAGCAGATGAGGATTACGCTTGGAGAATAAGACAAATTCATAAAAGCGATAAACCTCTCGCTGGAACGCTGCCAATGGGCCCGAGCAACGCTTCCAAATAGACTCAGTGGGTATGGTTATCCTTGTCTCCTGCTGGTAGTGAGTAAGTGGGGTCAGAGTTTACTGGGATTCAAATTAATACAAACAGATTCTCTGGGATAGCCTTATAGTGGCGAACTTTACCTAAAAATGCTGGACACAGCTCTCAGAAAATATATAACACTAGCTGCGTAACTCTTCAAGCTCCTCATTCTGAGGATTTTTTATTAGCTGTTCTTTCGGGCGCTTAATAATTATGTTTCCCTTGACGTTATCGCCCATATCTTCACCGAGCACAGGCAGGACGAGACGTTTAGGTACGTTTCCTTTCACCTGATGCGTCTGTTTATCTTGCAGTAAATAGGTGCATAGGACTGAAAACTGGTGTGGACTGCAGGTGAATGGGAGACCACCAGTCATTATGTAGAGGGGAAGGACTGGTAGATATACAGCAGTCAGAGACCGAATATGTATCTTGTACGTTGTATGAATCTAAATATATATCACAAGAAACAATTAAATAGGGGCACCGGGTCGACCCGGTGCCCCTATTCAATAAATATACAGATACAGTATACAATAAAATATAAATATAGATATCAACATTAATATAAAATTACAAATAATAGATAGAAAGTGCATTTATATCAGAAACTCCATAGCTCTGTAAACAAATACTTGTTTACAGTACTATGGAGCTCCATAGCACTGTAAACAAATACTTGTTTACACTGCTATGGAGCTCCAACTTGCTCCAAAGCTCCATCTTGCAAATCTTGTGAGCAGAATGTGTGGCTCGGGACCCCGGAGGCTGCAGATGATGACCGCCACAACACACCAGCTGCTGCTGCTCCTGCTGCTGCTGGGAACGTTACTTCCTGTCCAGTGTAAGACGATCCTTCACCTCGCTCACTCTTCTCTTAGTGCAGCACCACTAGGCACCCTCTGGCCTGTACCTCAGTGTTGGACTCTGCTAAGGAGGTAGGATCTAAGACCTGAGAAAAGTATGCAATCCTCGACGCATCGCTTCTCTTTTTTTTCTTGTTAAACAAACTTAACCTAACTCAATGTAACACAATTTAAGCAACCTAACCCAATCTAACCAACCTAACCTAACTCAACACAAACTAATCTAATGCAACTTAACCCATTCGAACATAACCCAGCCTAATTCAATCCAACCAACCTAACCTAACCCAACCTAATGTTAGCTAACCTGAATAAGAGATAAAATGTTATATATATATATATATATATATATATATATATATATATATATATATATATATATATATATATATATATATATATATATATATATATACGTATATATATATATATATATATATATATATATATATATATATATATATTTTATTAAATATGACCGAAAAAGTAAGATTAATAATTCTAACACGAATTTTCTCAATCTTTCGTACATTATGCTTCACTGTTGGAGGTAAATCAAAATCACTTCTCCAAAATTCATTTTTATTTCTAGTCTGACGCGACACGGGCGCGTTTCGTAAAACTTATTACATTTTCAAAGACTTCACAAATACACAACTGATTAGAACTTGCGTTTCCCTGATTTTATATCTACATTTGAGTGAGGTGGGAAGGGTGATGTGGCATTACATTTGAGTAAGGTGGGAAGGATGATGTGGCATTAGAGGATATTAATAGGGTATTAAAAGTATCAACACAAGACAGAACACGAAACAATGGATATTGAATAGAAGTGTTTGTAGAAAGCCTATTGGTCCATATTTCTTGATGCTTCTATATTGGAGCGGAGTCTTGAGGTGGGTAGAATATAGTTGTGGTAGAATATAAATACGTATATATATATATATATATATATATATATATATATATATATATATATATATATATATATATATATATATATATATATATATATATATATATATATATATATATATATATATATATAAATGTGTGTGTATGTGTGCAACAATAATATATAACACTGATCTATTAAAATGCAGAATAACAGCAATTGAAATGATAAGTAACAACTGAAGTGCTTTCAGGTTATTATCTTTAGGAGCTTGAAGATGCTGAACAGTGTATTACATTGTTGCTGGTGCAATAATGTAATACATCGGTGGAGGGGTAACAATACAATACATATGTTGCTGATGAAACAATACAATACATCTGTGGAGTGCAGCAATACATCTGAGGAGTGCAACAGTGCAATACACCTATGGAGTGCAACCGTACAATACACCCGTGAGTGCAACAATGTACTGGCTTCCGCATGACGGCTGGAGAATGTGATCAGGCTAGTCTGAGGTAATAGCCAAAGCTTGTGCCAGGGTCAATGGCACTCAGTCACTGGGTGCCAAGTACTGACTCACTCAGCTGGTGGTGGTTGTGTGGGGGAGGGGAAAGGGGGCCATGATAGCAGGGAGGTGTGGTTCAAGTTCAAGTACGTTTATTGAGACTAAAATACATATCAAAGGGATAGAGTAGCTTAGGCTATTTCTACCCCCCTTCCTTTTCCTGAGGCGTCCTGAGCACCGCTCCTGTGCCAGGTAAGTCCACTACGGGCTCACCAAAGTCCATGCTACTTGGAACTTGTTCCGAGTAGCTGAATCTATAACAACAACAACCCGAGGCGTGGTTGTCTAGTGGTTGTTGTGGTGGTGGGTTGTGGTCCCAGGGTTGAACCGAGAGAGAAAAAAAAGAGGTCGTCCCACCGTTCCTTGACAACAAAGTCCTCGGAAGTCACTATTAGAAATTTTTTCTAAGCAGTCAGGAATGCCTGAAACGCTACCTGTGCAGCGAGCTTCAAATTAACATAGCAGTGTAATATGATTTGTGTAGCTGTGTAATATGAAGTAGAAGTTGCCAGAGGCCCCACTCCTAATCGATGGTAAAAAGATTGAGCGCAAGACATTTCGGAAATTACGAGCATTCTGCTCACTGGCAGTGATCAATATTAGACACTGTTAAAGACGCATTTTGTGATCATTATTCATATTCATCTTGAGTCTGCAGACGCTACATTTACAAATTGAGATTTCGTGCATTCTTCACATCAGGCAGCGAGCCAGCTTTGTACGTGGCAAGGTACGTGGTCGTACACTACTCACTTGTGGTCGTACACTACTCACTCTTGTGGTAGAAGTTTGTGCTAATCCCTTCCTCTTTGTGGTAATCAACATTCGTGTGGAAGTTATGCTGCACTATTTTGAATATAAAAACAATATTCCTTTCGAGATAGGCTATGTATTTCTGGCGAGTAAATTAGATTATTACAATATTTTCAAATAAATGCCTAGAAAAGTATTTTTGCAAAATTACGGCTCATTTGGACTCCCACTGATTATAATTTATTCAGTGAAGATTTTTGATTGGAATCAATTTTCGTGAATACATTATTTGTCATTACAGATTTCGTTATATTGATTTGATTTATGTATGAGTTACCGAGAGATATCGACAGAAATTGTCTTCATTATTATTCACGATAGTGAATTGTTATTAGTGTATTTCTGGCATATAGGGATAAGTGTATGGTTAATACGCCGAGTTTAGAGTGAAAGTAGCCTATTATTCGGTGCCTGGGTCGACCCCGAAAAGATTATGCCATGGGGGCTGATTCACGTTAAAAAGGGGGGGGCAATGGGGCCAGCCCTTCCAATCAGCCTATGACAGTCCCTCCAACCTATCACCTGTCTCCATGCAAAGTTGGGTGAGGCTATTCGCTCTCTGTTATTACAGCCTGGCTGTTATTGATGCTACGATATGACCCTAATTATACATATTGTTGCTGGGAGTTGGGGAACAGGGTGTTCATCTGTGATTAGGCTGCGTTTGCAATGTACAGTTAGATGTGAGTGTATTCCAGACCCCTGGCCTGTAGTCATGTTATTGTGTGGCGTAATAGTTTAATTTACAGCAGAACGAGCGTGTAATTCGCATGTCGTGTTCAGTCAGTTATACAACCAGTTTCTAATTACGTTAAGAAAATCTACCTCGTCGCTAGTGCATGCCGCTCACATCTTCTTTTGTTAGTCTGACTGTTTTTGCTTCCTCATTTACGTCTTTCGGTACCTGATATATATATATATATATATATATATATATATATATATATATATATATATATATATATATATATATATATATATATATATATATATAAAGAAAAGTATAATTTTTAGGAATGTACAGATTGTGGATGAGCTGGGACGGCTCTGATGATTCCTTCACAGTTGGGTTAATTCAACCTATTTCGAGATATTTAACAACGGGCTAGTACTTAACATTCAGGTGTTCATTGACCCTTTACATTGGCCGGCTATACCACCCGATAGACAGAATTCCATCAAAAGTACTAAACACCATGCCTATTACGGTGACTCCAAACTGTGTATTTTGAAAGTGAGTGGCAGAAGAGTTGGACTTACATATACAGACCCCCTACGCTAGTCATGCTAAAGTCTTCAAGGAACCCTAGCCACGGAGAGGCAGCGCCTGACACAGCTCAGGCAAGCTAACTTGAGGAAGTTTTTATCAACAGTTCACTACCGCCCGCAGGATATAGGTAGCAGCTGCATAATAAATTAACTATACTAAAGCAGTTGTGAGCTATATAGCTCTATGCAGGCGATGAGTCACAATAACGTGGCTAAAGTATGGTCCAGGACGGACCGAAACGTCGTCGTCCCTTCACCTTCTAGTGTGTGGTCTGGTCAACAGCTATATAGCTCCTTGAGATATCGCATTAGGCAGTCGAATGTGTTCTAAACCATCATTACCCATCTTCATCTCATTCCTCACTCCTACCCACCTCTCCACCGCCCACATGTTACCTATACAACCTGTCCTTCCAGACGGGGAGAGCATCCAGGTGCTGGAGTTCCAGAAGGATGGAGTGGCGAGTCTGTCAACAATGGCGGTGTACAGAGGCAAGTTGGACCGGGCCTGGAGGATGGCCTCCCTGAGCCTCTGCTGCCGCTTCAAGCTCTTCTTCCTACACACCAGAGCCACCGTACTCCAGCTCGGGGACACAGTCGACGACCGAGGATTCCAGTTCAGGGCCGGTAGGACGACGTGTCAAGTCAGTCAGGCAGTTGAACAATGAGTAAACAGGCAATTCGCCAGATAGGTAGTTGAGGATATTGACAGTTAGCCAGAAAGAGAGTTGAGGAAACTGTCAATTAATTAGGCAAAAAACAAGGCTTTACAGGCTCATACAGCGAGTCAATAAGTCTGTACCAGTCAGTTATTCACTCAGATTGCGAGTTAGGAAGATATAATGAAAAATATAGTATTTCATTATTAATAAGTCAGAGTGAGAGACACAGGGATCAGATCAATACACTCTTAGAGCTGAGCCACACTAAAGTTAGGGTGATGACTGGAGTGGTCTCAACAGAGTTATGGCTGGACCGCGTGAGGATTGTCTTGGCCCACCGCTGGCAGTTCCAACTTCTCCACACCAAGCTCAGGACCTTCAGGTGCGTATCGTTCGGAATGAAAGCGCCCAATTCTTTGTTGATAATGTGCTTCTTGTTTGGTCTTTATGTGATCTTGTAGTGGCAACACAACAATCTCGTCTTCCGCTTCTCTAACCCCCCACCCACTCACCTACCCCTCACTCACTCTCACTCTCTCTCAGGTGGTACCAGCTGTGCCTCACCTACGACCACCTGGAGCACGCTTACAACACCTTCATGAACGGGGAGCTGGTCTACAAACTCACCTACAACGTGGAGGGTGAGATCTATGGCGACAACGCTCGGCTCGGCCAGGGGGACCTCCCTAGTGAGAGCTTCAGTGGCGCACTTTCCCAGGTAACTCGGCTGGCCTTCTTCCGGGTCGCGCAAACTGTTCTTGGCGGGGCGTGTGTACTCACCTATTTGTGCTTGCGGGGGTGGAGCTTTGGCTCTTTGGTCCCGCCTCTCAACGGTCAATCAACTGGTGTACAGATTTCTGAGCAGTGTGTGTGCGAGAGAGAGAGAGAGAGAGAGAGAGAGAGAGAGAGAGAGAGAGAGAGAGAGAGAGAGAGAGAGAGAGAGAGAGTGAGAGAGTGAGAGAGTGAGTGAGTGAGTGAGAGTTACTTAGTTCGATCCCATCGAACTACCTGAATACTTCCTGGTGGATACATGCTGTTCTTATATTATTGTGATGGTGAATGTCTGGGTTATCTCTTAAGACGTCCATACACGCTAAGCCTGCGTGTTGCTGGCTTGTCATAACATCAATTGATCACCAAAATCTGTACTAAAATCATTCACTCTAACCGTATGCAGATCAATAAAAACAAACTAATAAATAAATAAATTTAATCACGGTTTGAGATCATTTTGACTCACATTTGTATTATTTATAAAGAAATGGCTCATAGTTTTTATCAAAACTAATATTGAAATAAATTTGATACTCATCAATAATCATCCTCTGACTAGTTCGGTCATTATTAACCTGAAATATTGTGTTTAATTTAAAATGCCAATTCTGATTAAAGGAAACACATTTTCTCTTGATCTTATCAAATATTTTCACCGATTAGCATTGAAATATCTGTAATATATATGCTGTTTACCTCATTATACATAATCTTCGATCATTTTAGCACGTTATTATTTCATGTTTACGTTCGCAGGTAAATATGTGGGACTCTGTACTGAGCAGGAACGCCATAGCTAGCATGGCTGCGTGTAAGAGCGATCTTCAGGGTAACTACATCTCCTGGGAGGCCGGGTGGGAACTTCATAACGTCACAGAGTACGACGCCTCTATGGAGTCCTTCTGCCAGCCCAGTACATACACGAATTACTTTGGGTTCCCTGAATTGCCACAGGCTCACGCCTTTTATATATGTGAGGCATTGGGCTCTCATCTGCCTCTGCCAACCACAATGAAAGAGGTGACCTTCTGGTACAACCTTTCGTACCAAGTGTGGCCTCATCAGGACAACTTGACCTTGTGCAGTGACTTCCTGTGGTCTTCCATCACTGATGCCAACCACGACGGGACTTGGGTCACTCACTACGATAACGCCCTCGCTCCTACCGTGGCCTGGAAAGTTGGCGAGCCCAACGGCTTGGTCTATGAGAATTGCGCCGTGATTGAAAAACTCGGCTTGTCGGATATTGTCTGTGCCACGAGCAAATGGTGCGCGATATGTGAATTTTCTGATCTGCATGTCTTCACCTTGTTAGGTACTTGTGAGCTAGAAGAACACAACCTCAACTTCATCGCCTACCAGGAAGGTCTGGGAGATCTTTATTTCAAGGGATATGGAGCGTACCACATCAAGAAGGTGGAGGGAGAATGGTTGTGGATCAACGTGGTAGAGAACAAGACTCTGGCCAGACTAGACGTCGACGCGCCCTTCAACATGCCCATGGGCCGTCGGGTCTGGCACCTCGAGTCACCAGTGTGTAACCAACGAGAAGGTCCGCGGACCCTGGTGCTCACGCCTTGCGGACCGGACAGTTACTCTTGCGATGACGCCACCTGCATCCCTCACCAGAATCGATGCGATCAAAAATACGACTGTCTGGACCACAGTGATGAGGTCGCCTGTGAGATCATTGGAAAGCCTGAGGATTACAAGGAAGATATACCTCCACTGCCGGGCAGTGATAAAGTGGGCACGAGTCTACCAATAACTGTCAACGTGACAATCGAGTCCATCACCATCCATACCACCCAAATGACCATGCAAATGTCATACAAGATTCAGATGATTTGGTTTGACAATCGTCTCGTTTATCGTAACCTGAAGACTAACGAGACCTTCAACAAGGTGAATTACACGAGCATGTTGAGCCTCTGGTTACCGACCTTGAGGTTCGTCGGTACAGAGGGACATCGACACACGACGGTAGACCAAGAAGCCTCACTACACGTCCAGCGACTTCGCCCTCCGAACCGAAGGGACAACACCGTCCCCCGCGAAGGTAGAGTCCAGGCTCCTCTTAGTGTAACCTTTCCTTTTGTTTGCTGCCTTAGAAAATTCAGTTTCAAATGACTGGATATTAAATAATTGTTTTACAGACATTTTCAATCTAGAATTTCAGGCTATATTAAAATTTGACAATTAATTATAAACTAGCTGAGGCATCCAGTGTACAGGGACCACATCTTCACAACACAGTGTTGATCACAGTAACATATTCATTACTACTATGGCTAACCCTCCTGGAACCAGGCGTTCACCAAAAGCCAAATTTCCTGGTGTAGATAGACCTCACATGCACAGTGAACAACAGTGTTCACAGTCACACAAGTGTTCACAGTCATAACAGTGTACACGGTCACAACAAACGCAGTATCTGCTAGTGCAGTTCTACGCACGATCACCATTATTGTAACATATTGAGACCAATAGTCCTGACTCCCCAGGGTTCCCACCAACATTGAAATTCGCGGGTTATGCAACCCGTCGTCAGGCTGTGTTCATTCCATCCAGCGGCCGACCCCAAAGACGCATTCATCAATTTTAACACGTTGCTTATTCAAAATAGGCATTTTCTCATATCAATTAACATTATATATTAGCACATTGAGTATATTTAGGTGTAGATTAGGTTAAGTGTTTAAGCTCTGTTGGTAATTATCTGTATATTGTGTTTGTAGTACGTTAATGAAGCATTTACAGGCTCGCTGACAGAGGTCGTCAGCGAAACACTATTCGAGAAAAATTGTAACATGAGCTGAAAGTTTTACGTGAGTCGTTTTTATTCATAAATGGGCGGTTTGGCGGGTGTATGGGAAGAAAACTATCAGGAGAAAGCGCCAAGCCATTACGACTATATAGCACAGGGAAGGGATCAGGATAAGGATTTGGGATAGGACGAGGGGGAAGGGAATGGTGTCCAACCACTTGGACGGTCGGGGATTGAACGCTGACCTGCATGAGGCGAGACCGTCGCTCTACCGTCCAGCCCAAGTGGTTGGGCGGTAGAGTTGGTGGGAATGGACTTTGTTTACGAGGACGGGCTGGATGAGGACAGGTTCCCATCCTCTTATAGAGTGCGTACTTCTTTTCCCATGTTCGAAGCTGTCCTCTCATAATGCTTCATTCACATATTGTAAATTACCAATAGAACCAAAAACACCTTACGTAATCTGTAGGCCTGACTATACACAATTTTTTTTATATAATATAAATATATATGTATGAGAAAATGTATTGTTTTATACATTACACAAAAATTAAAGAACGCACATTTGTGGACGGCTTCAAATTAAACGAGAATACACTAAGAATCGTTGTTATATAGATAGTTTTTTTTATCGTCATTGATGACCTTATGTTACTTAAACTCAATTGCAAGTTAATACAGCACTGAAGATAATTATGACTGTAAATCACCTTATATATTTAAACCTCTATGGGTCTTGTTAATGAAAATTGTTGGTGCTTTTCGCAGTGGACCTGTTCTCTGGTGAGGAGAACTCTCTGATCCTCTCCAGGAAGTACACCACCGCCTTCACCTGTGACTTCGACCTGGTGCTCTACCCTTTCGACGTCCAGTACTGCGACATGCGCTTCCGAATGCTTTCCGGCTCCAAGGACTACCTCATTTTCGAGGAGGCGGCATCCTCCGCCACCTACCATGGCAGTACCCTGCTGCTGGAGTACGAGGTCTGTGGATACACATTTCCAGATGTTGTAGACACTTCTGAAGATAAGGATAATCAAGAAGTAAATATATTAAAGTTAAGCAGCTGAGTGAGAAACTGGTAGATATATATACGAAAGAAAGAGTTAATATTGTTCATGGAGAAAGACACTGTACGTATGAATCTTTTTGTCATGTGAGATGTATACAAGAAATGCTAAGTTCAGAACACCAAGGAAATGTGTGTGTGTGTGTGTGTGTGTGTATATGTGTAATTACCTAAGTGTAGTTACAGGATGAGAGCTACGCTCGTGGTGTCCCGTCTTCCCAGCACTCTTTGTCATATAACGCTTTGAAGCTACTGACGGTCTTGGCCTCCACCACCTTCTCACCTGTGTGTGTGTGTGTGTGTGTGGAGTTGGAGGCACTGGTAGATGAGTGAGAGGAAGTGTATGGTGGGGGCGAGGAGGTGACAACACCAGTGGGTGACAGTAATAATATTATTCTGGATACAAGGTAAATAAGAGACAAAAGCAAGAAAATGGGAGTTTTGTGAGAGTAAATGTTATATGAAGAAATTATTTAACAAAAATAGAGAGCAAGTGGGGGAACAATAACAAAAAAATTAAAGAAATTCTCTCACAAAACATTTTTTTTAAAGAAGCAATGAAGTACGACAGGAAGAATTATATGCAGATATATAGGAATATTAAGGACATACACGGAAGCATGCTATGTAACGAAGATGGCACTAGAAGCAGACGAAGAAAATGATGTTTAGAAAGTAATGAATGGACGTGATGAATGAAGTGCTAATGTGACCATGATAATATGTGATGGACTGAGGAGAGAACACGATAGTGTGCCAGCTGACGTATCTAGGGAATGGGTGAGTGTATCTGCCAGGAAGCTCTGGAACGTGGGGAAGATGCAAGTATTGATGTACAAGTTACGGAAAAAAACTCAGTTTGGAATAGATGTGGATAACATGGCAGAAGGCCCCCTGATAGTAGTAATGTGCCAAAGAGTTTGGTGAGATTGAACCTCTCTCTATACACATAGTAGCAAACACAGCAAGAGAAGGAATTATTGAGGTTTTGTTCACTTTGTTCACAAAGTGTTGTGGGCAAAGTGAGTGGCAGAACACACGATTTTCCTGAGAAACTGATCAGTGATGAAGACGGTGGATGCCGTGGTAGAAGACAATGTGTAGACAAGATAATTGTCTTCAGACTGCTTGTAAACTGTTGGAGTGTGGTGGTGGTGGAGTTGGTGGGGCTGTTGGAGTGTGGTGGTGGTGGTGGTACTTGAGTTTTGTTGACGTGATCGGAACAGGCTGGTATAAGTACTGTATTTTGAGTGAAATAATGGATGGACGAATTTTATTTGTAATTATCATTTAATACCAAACTTTGTACTATTATATTCATGGTTTTCATTTTGTGCTGATGTCTCCCGCCACTATGGAAACGGGTTAATGAGTATGTAATTATGTCAAAAGCTAATTCATTTTTTGAAAGTTTATCTTTTTCTTTCTAAAGCAGATCAAGCAGCCAAAGCTTTTCTACGACAACAGTAAAGAGTTCAGTGAGATGCTGGTTGAGATCACACTCCACAGACGCGCCGGTTATGCCATCCTGAACATCTACACGCCCTCCTTGATCCTCCTAATGATCAGCTATGTCACTCTCTTCTTCCGTCCCCACGTCCTTGAGGCGCGCATCATGACCACCCTCACAGCCCTCCTGGTCTTGGCTACACTCTTCGCACAGGTGAGACACAGCTGTGAATATTCACACACCTGCCGGAACAACCGTGGACATCTTCAAGGGAAAACTGGACTGTTTTCTAAGAGAAGTTCCGGATCAGCCGGGCTGTGGTGGATATGTGGGCTTGCGGGCCGCTCCAAGCAGCAGCCTGGTGGACCAAACTTTCACAAGTCAAGCCTGGCCTCGGGCCGGGCTTGGGGAGTAGAAGAACTCCCAGAACCCCATCCAGCAGGTATCAACCAGATACCTGCTAAAATCAGCATCAGCAGGTGTGATTAACGTGGCGTCCCGGTGGGATTTAGCGCTAATAACAAACACAACTTTGAAAACGAATTATGTATAAGAAAATATGTGTATTTGTAACCGCGAATCTGGTCCTTCTCGGCTTCACTGCTCGTGGTTCATTAGCGATATGTTTCTTAATGTAGCGTTTATCATCAGCCTAACCAAGGTGTTGTAGTGTTGAGTTGAGTGCTGTGATTTGCGTCAGTGTCACGAACGAGGCTTAAATGTATGTATTTGTGTATGTAGGTTATTTTAGCACTTTTAAAAACACTACAATCACCTGTGGTTGATTGTTCAAATAATTCACTCAACTATATATATAACAGATCTCTAACGCTGTCCATGGAGGACCAAACAAATATATATATATATATATATATATATATATATATATATATATATATATATATATATATATATAAAATAATATGCATATATGGTATGTATGGCAATGTAATTGTATGGCCACGTCAATGGTAGGGAAAAAACCCACTCACTCTTCTCCAGATGTAAACAAAGGCTTGCTTGTATCTGTGGCAAGTGATTTTCACCTGATGATAATAATAATGAAATTTAAATGCATAAAATATTATCCCTGGGTTATATTACATTTACATGATACAGCATTGTAGTGAAGATGTTGGTATAATTCAAGTTCAAGTATGTTTATTGAGACGAAAGAAATACATCTCAAAGGGATAGAGTAACTTAGGCTATTTCTTGCCCCCTCTATTTCAAGTCCCTCAAGGGGCGCACAAATTCAGTGAGTACAAATAGACAAATCACAGTACAAGAATCCCATTTAATATTTGCAGGTTAATATAGTAAGCACCGTATATAAGTGTTACACTCTTGGGACAAAATTCTTGTAGCTCCTAAGTATACTGTCTATCATACCATTATCACACATCCAAACAATTTGATGTGGTACACTAATGGGTATAATGATATATAGCCTCGTCAAAGGGGCATATAGTCGTGTGAAAGACATGCTAAGTATATAATATTATATCCCACTGCTTAACAATTCCATTCCGTTGCACTGTGTACTTTCTCCCTTGTTCATAACTGATGTATATGTAACTTTATTCACCTACCCTCTACTTCACGGAGACCCATCGAGTAGGGTTGTTGAATTACGGAGCAAATTACCGGGTAACATAGACGTGGGTCCGATAGATTGTTTCAAGCGTAGGTTATACACATATACGAGTATGGGTGGATATAAATAGGATCTACCTCACGTGGGTCATAAGCTACTTCTGTAATTTCCTTTGTTGTGTTTTTATCATTCTCATTCTCAGGCCTCTGAGACGCTGCCCAAGACGTCGTACGGCAAGATGGTGGACGTGTGGCTCCTCTTCTGCATCGTCATGAGCTTCATTATAATCATCTTCCACACCATGATTGACCAAAGCCTCAACAAAGCCGAAGTGTTCCCTCCTGCAGCGCCGACGAAGGTGTGCCCGCCTCTCGTCAACAGCCTCACTCCACCCGACACCACCAGCCTAACCGTCTCCTCCAAGAGCCTCATCCTTATCTCTCGCTCTAGCCTCATCGTCATCTTTGCTGTCTTCAATATTATCTATTGGTCGTATATATTTGGGTAATCTGCCAGTGTGTTCTCTCGATTTGTCACGCCGTAAGAAAGGCATCTGTTTGCTTAACCAGAAAGGTACAAACCCAAGCATCACACCTAACATAGAGAGCAATGCACGGAAAACGTCAGTTTTAAAGCTCTTCAAGTTTTGATTAAAACATCGTATTTTCATTGATTGGTCGATTCCGCTAAAAATGCGATGTATTAAGTGAGAGGACAGGTTGTTACGAGCTTATGGATTGAATAAGATATAAATGGTAAGGTTATTTGATTGTACGAAATGGTTGATATGTCTGAGGCTGGTACTTGTTTTAATTATTTCTTGATCTTTGAAGGCTTTCTATCTCCTATACTTTGTCTCGAGATTGTTATTTTCTAACTGTTTGACTTTGTATCAAGCAAGAAGAGTCTTAAATGTTTGTGATGAGACTGTTATCAACGATGATAGCTTATTCAGATATATTAATAATAATATAATAATACTAATTTATTTGCAAGTAGGTACAATGAGTTGGTGAGATTACATAGGATTGGTATTTTTACATTCATGAAAGCTACTAACATGTATAGTGTTTCTGGTGTTTGGGGCATATATATTCATATATGTTGTTGATGAACTGTAACTCTGTAGCCTAGTGGTGACTCGTGGTATAAATGTCATATATATATACATTAATTTACAAAGGAAAAACTACATTACATAGAGTTTATATAATTATCAATAAGCAATGTTTCATATCACCACAGAGCATGAGCCTTAAACCCCAAATGTTATACAGTACTTTATCCTGCCTCTTTCTTGCATTTTATGTCAATATAAAACATTAAAAACCCTTTAAATCCACTCTAATTCTTGGGCCACATAATGCTTCATGAGTATCTTCAATCCAGTTTACAAAAACAACTTTTTGCTTACAAAAATAAAATATGCATATTCTCATTTTCAGTACATTGGTCACTTCCATTGTTGTTTCTAATGCTCAACATCAACAACCCATCATTAGTAGGGAGCGTCTCAAGAATATATCTATACAATCGAGGACGAAATATGGAGGGATAAGAGACCCAGATTGCTTCATTATTTCTTAATAGTACATTTTCTGCGAGAATAGGGAGGGGGGGGGGGGTAAAGGGATGGAGGACAGCTTGAATGGTCTCCAAGCCTGTAAATCACTAATAACTCTTTAAGACGTTACCAGGATTCGAATCTCCGATACCAGGGCTCATTTCTGTGGTTCGAAGTTGTAATCACTGATGATCCAAGCTATTTTTTTAATTATTATATACAAGAGTTCTTGCAGTCTTGTAAAACCACTAGCACGCATAGTCTTACAGGCAGGTAATGATATATGAATAACATGCAGGCAATGACGCGCACAAATGAGTTCTATAATGAATATTCGTTTAGCTAAGGAAGTTCCAACACAATAATAGAACTAAGTAATACAGTCGGGTTCGTTCTCGAATCAGGAATTCCGGGTTCAAATCCTGGGCTGAAATGTTTGGGCGCATTTCCTATCACCCAATGCGCCTCTCAATTTAATAGTAAACAGGAGTTTTTTTTTTCAGTTAATTTGGGGTTGTATCCTGGGAGGAGGTAAAAAATTCGACTCTAGGGGCGACCTCGATATAAGCATAACACTTTGTCCCCCGAAACATGAATTATCATTACATTGATGTATTGTTTACAATAGTAATAGTCTACCATCTAAGAAACCGCCGAGATACGTTTTCTGTAAAAACGGTGGTAAAGAAAATGAAATATGTAAAGGTTAACTAATAAGAAAATCTGTACTAGTAATTGTTCTTACAAAAATTAAGTTCGTTTTGCCAGGAACTGGAAACCTGAGTATATATATACTCAGTATATATATATATATACTTTAAGCTTGTATCAAAGTGCATTGAAGGTCGAACTACTGACTCTTCCCAGGATACAACCACAGAACTGACTCCTGAGCACCTAAATATAAAAGGGAGTCCTGACGGCTGAGTTGACAGCGCTCGACGTTCGTAGTCCTAAGGGTTCGGGCTCGATCCCCGGCGGAGGCGGAAACAAACGGGCAGAGTTTCTTTCACCCTGATGCACCTGTTCGCCTAGCAGTATATAGGTACCTGGGAGTTAGACAGCTGCTTCCTGGGGATGTGTGTGTGTGAAAATTTGTCTTTTTCAACTTTGAATTGAAAATTTTGAAGAATTCAATTTGTCGACCAAATTGTATTTTTGCTGTTTTTCTGCCATGTTCCCCCCTTTTTTATTTTTATATTTTCTCAACACAATTTATACTTTAATCTCAATTAGTATTAAGTTTTAGTCTTTAGTGTTTTTCCTGCCCGAAACGCTTTGCGTAATAGTGGCTTTAGGCATTGTATGTACTAGCTCTATCTATAAATCCATCAATGTTTGTATCACCCCTTATATGTATGTACTTTACCTGAATAAACATTTGAATTTGAAAACTTAAGATTTAGGACTTGCCTGAAACGCTATGCGTGCTAGTGGCTGTACAAGAATGTAAGGACTCTTGTATAAATAAGTAAATAAAAAAACAAATAAATAAATTTGCTGCTAGGTGAACAGTGCATTAGGTGCCAGGAAATGTGCCCAACCATTTCTGTCACCCCTGGAAATTGAACCTGGGATCCCCGATTATGAGTCGAGAACGAAGCCAACTGTACTTCATAAACAATTTAGTTTATACCTTTAATAATAAACTATTTAGTTTACAATTTTCGGGAAGGATACCCGTAAGGCGTAAATGTCTGCCTTGGGAAACAACGGTAACCTATCCTCAGATCAGGCTCGTCCAAGCGGCGACCGCACCCAAAATACATTCATCCATTTTAACGACGAATGTGTCTTAAAGAGTTCGACAGCCGCCTGGACGAGCCTAGCCTGAGGACAAGTTGGCGAATCGTGAGTAAACCGTTTTTCGTTCATAAACTGGCGGTTTGGCGGCTGGTTCAATGAGCATTTGGCCTTTGTTGATGAGGCCGGGGTACAAGATGCCAGCCCGTCCTCCAAACAAAGATCCAAAAGTGATTCTATGCACCCGCCAAACCCCCTGTTTATGAATGAAAAGCGGTTTACACACGACTCACAACTGCTGACGTTCGAACATATCCGGAACAAGTGTTTCACTGACGAATTTTGTTCGAATCACAACGGTATAAATGCTTCACCCACGCACTACAAATACAAATAATCGCCAACAAAACCTAAACACCTAACCTAACCTAACCTAACCTATGCCTATATATACACAATATGCTAATATATTATAATATTAATTTATACTTGAGAAAATTCCCGTTTTGAATGAACAGCATATTAAAATTTATGAATGCGTCTGTGGGGTCGACCGCTGGATGTAATGGACTTGAGTCGAGGACGGGTTGAAGATGCCACGGGCTCCTCGGGGTTCACTTGAATACTTTGTCTACTGCTCAGCCCGTCCTCATAATCAAAGGACAAAAGTGATTCCATCACCCACCAAACCCCTTGTTTATGAATGAAAAACGATTTACACGACTCACAACTGATGACGTCCGAACACTTCCGGAACAAGTGCTTCGCTGACGACCTTTGTTCGAATCACAACGCTGTAAATGCTTCACCCACGTATCAACTCATTCTCGACTCAAGTCCATTTCATCCAGCGGTCGACCCCACAGACGCATTCATAAATTTTAATATGCTGTTCATTCAAAATGGGAATTTTCTCAAATATAAATTAATATTATAATATATTGTGCATATATAGAGATAGGTTAGAATAGGTGTTTAGGTTCTGTTGGCGATTATTTGTATTTGTAGTACGCAGGTGAAGCATTTACAGCATTGTGGTTTGAACAAAATTCGCCAGCGAAGCACTTGTTCCGGAAGTGTTCGAATGTAATCAGTTGAGAGCCGTGTGTAAACCGAACCGTGTTTCATTCATAAACAGGGGGTTTGGCGGGTGCATGAAATCACTTTTGGGTCTTTGTTTGGAGGACGGGCTGCATGTACTACAACTGTAAATAATCGCCAACAGAACCTAAACACCTAACCTAACGCGACTCCTGGTTCAACCTAGACGACGAGCGGACGTCTGGACACCTGCTCCACCTGGGGGCCGCCGGCTCGCGATTTTGGATTTTTTTATACTGCAGTTTGGCGTTCCTATTCAACGGTCCGGATTGTTGCTACGCCTGCCTCACATATCGTCTTGGGTCACAGGATAGTTGGTAGATCTTGAATGTTTTTTTTCTGGCTAGTTCTTCAGGCAGGGTGACGGTATCCGGCGCCGGCTTGGCCAAAGAGTGCCGGGAGTTAGTGGGCTCCAGGTGTACCCTCAGACGTGGTGGGCAGGAGGCTTCTGCTCTGCCGGGGACCACTGGATCACTTTTTGTGTTTTAGTTTGGGGACCTAGTTTTTAGTTTTACTTCCCAGTATGTGGGGTGAGGCCGGTGATTGCCTCCTTTGGGGCACCCCAATCATCTACCTGCCCATCTGTGTGTTTATTGGCCGCGAGACACATTTGTTTCCACCGACAGGGGCCATTCATTTCGGCCATTAGGCTTCGCAATTAACCCTTCATGGTATGCCGGGGCGCTCCGATCCCTCGATCGTCGTCGCCCCCTAAATCAACAACAGCAACACCTAATCTATCCTAACCAATGCCTAAATCTGCACAGTATGGTAATATATAATAATAATATTTATTTATATATGATAAAATTCTTATTTTGAATGAACAGTCATGTTAAAATTTAATAATGCGTCTTTGCGGTCAACCACTGGATGGATAGACTGAGGACGGGCTGCTACGCTCCTTGTTGTGGGGGTAACATATTAAGATAATTCTCTAGTTTCTATTCGTCGCCAAAACTTGATTAACATACTTTATATTGCCATTTAACTGTATCACCAGAGATATATTCTCGTTTGTTTAATATTGAAAAATAATATGATTGCTCTAGTTAGACGAGTTTATAAAACGATCAACATTAAAAAGATGTAAATTCTCGCCCGATGTTACCACCATAATTAGGCTCTTACCCCCTTTTTCATTTTTCGTTCGAGGTAGTGCTATAACATTATGCAGTACCTGATAGCTTTATAAATAATCAATGTTTAAATTCATAAGTAAGAATTGGAATTAATACGAAATTAATAATTTCGTTAACAATTAGTTTACACTTTGCCTGGCAACGCTGTCCTCAGTGGCGGGCGGCTGCCCCGAGGGTCAAGACGGGGGCCGCCTCCCTGCTTGTCCAGTTTACACAAAGACTGTTTCTGTGACTCTGCTTCCTGACCTCGTATTATGGAGTGCTTGTTGCTCGAATATTATCTACCAGCTGCCGTTATACACGAGAAGATATTGCCAGTCGGGCTGGGACGCGTTGACAGAACCGTCTACCGCCGAGGGCAAGTCGCTTTATCATTTCCACCATTGATGAAGAAAGGCCCCGTGACAGGTATACCGTCTTGTAAACTGTCTTGTAGACCGTCTGGCACCACGCATGGCGGAGCCTCAACCTCCACCAAGTTCAGGTAAGTGAATTACTCGCATATTTTACATTTTGGTGGTGACGCCATCCTTTTTCACTGATCCTAGTCGAATCAGAACACTCGAACACTCGATCGACTAGGATCAGGATCAGTCGATCCTGATCCTAGTCGAATCAGAACACTAGACCATTGGGTAATGTGGCAACATGACGCAGAACTTGAAGGTAATTATTACGTGAATAATGTATGTCTGTTCATGAATCGATAATTGTAATTCAGTGCACAACGGATTTTTTTTTTTTAAATAATCCGTGGCAGTATTAACCAGGAGTAAATAGTGGAGATTCTCCCCCTTTATGATATTGCTGAACAGCGAAGTTCACCATTTGTTCACCTTGTGTTCAGTATTCATTTTAATTTTATAATTATTTACTTGGTTATTGAAATAACGCTCCAAGGCTATTATATTCGATTAGGTCTTGGGCCTGTGCCCAATTGCACAGTGGGCAGCATGACTTGACTGAGGGAAGGGAGGGGAAGGGAAGGGGGAAGGGGATGGGAAAAGGGGAGAGAAAGGGGAAGGGGTGAGACTCGGGGGACAAACAGCCTCCTGCAACACCTCG